GACCACGTAGTTGGAGGATGCCAAGTGCTTGACAAGCACAGGAAGTACACCTTGCCACTGTTCCTTTGTAATGATGCTGCGGAAAGTGTATAGATACTTGATGGCATCAACCTTGAGAATGGGGTGAATTCCATCATCGGCAATCAGGTCCGCAGCAAGGTGTTGCTGGAAGAAATCGGTGATGCTAACGAGGCTGTTGGTTGCGGTGACACCGTGGCTGGAGGTTGCCACACCCTTGGCTGCGATAGCAGAGAAAAGGTAGGTGGCGGTGTCCTTAGCCTTCCAGTTCGAGGCAGGGTCCTTGGCATACTCGGCCAGGTAGTGCTCGGAGTACTTGAGGACGACCTTGCTCACAGACTCCTCGAACTTCTCGGCCAGACGGCGCAAGAAGTCAGTCGCAGCCCGACGTCTAGTCTCGCTGTCAGATCCCTCCAAATCCCGTCGGATAAACTCGATGGGCTCATCCTCGAAGAGCTCCTCGTCGGACTCGCGCAGGCTAACATTGGGCAGAATGACCTTCTCGATAATCTGGCTCAGCGTCTCCTCAGCCTGGAAAGACGCAGCATGCTCGGGCATGCTGGCAACCGAGGTCAAGAAATGCAAAGCTCTGCTAACCAAGATGTCGTACTTGGTATCTTGGCCGATAGTGGTCAAGAAGCCCCAAGAGCTCTGGATGAACTGCCCAACGTGAGGGCCGAAGGCATCCAAGAACTTCTGGACATACAAGGTCAGGACCTCGAAGATACCCGCACGCACGTATTCCAACAGGCCAGCCTCCGTATCGTCATCTGTGTGCAGGAGCTGGTTGTCATATGTAAGGTACTTGAGCAAAATCGTCGCAATGCCAGAAATATTGTCTTCGAACATGGGAGGAAGGTCATGGCAGGATAGATCGTAGAAAAGCTTGATCATCAAGTTGAGTTGGGTGAATGCTAGTGTCAGATTCTCCTTGTTGCTCTTATTCTGTTCAATGTAGTTATCGATAGACTAATGGAGAGAAGCCGAAGTTAGCACGGATACTGAATCGATGATCGCTGTATCGAATGGAACATTGAAGACATACCTCGAGGAGAGAAAGGAACGGTGTGCCGAACTTCTCCAGAACATGGTTGATCTCCACATACAACTCGTTGGACTGGAAAAGTGGGCGCCATCGCTTGAAGATGGAGTGTGCAACTTGCAGAACACCAATGTTGACGGCAGGGTCGGTGGGAGACAACTTGGAAACGAGGTCCTAGACGGAAAACAGACAAAATGATTAGTTTAGTCCACCCCAGTGCAGCGGATGGAACAGACGCCGCAAGTATTGATATTCACTCACATCCACAAGGGTATCCCACCGCTCCCAGAAATCACTGTCGGCGATAACACTGACGGCCTCACCAAGCTGAGACTGGATTCCCGAAGGCACGGAAAGCATCAAGGTAATGAGCTCACGCTTGATGGTGGTAACCTCGGCCTCTGGCAGCTTGTAGTTTCCATCTTCATTGATCCACTCGCGCTTGATGAAGTTCTTGAAGCAAAGGGCGCTGGCAAGACGAATATTGTAGGGATGGGAAGCGGAGGCCGTGATCTGGAGGAGTTGTAGCGAAAAGTTGGGCTTCTGTTCTTCCTGACGAAGGGCCTGCTCGGCTAGAATTGAGGGGAAAAAGACACCGGTCAGTGGCAGTCTTGGTAATCTATGATTCCATGTACTCACCCTCCTTGTTCCGTCGAGGATCCAAGCTTGCCTCCAACAGAGCTCCAAGCGCATCCGCCATTTTCACCGAACGTGGGGTATCAACAGAGAAAATAAAAGGGAGTAACTAGGCAAGAGAAATAGAAGGACGAAGGGTGATGAATGGAGGTTTTTAAAGAAAAATAGGGAGAATAGGGAGAGAAGACTCTTCCAGGTGAGGGGTGGTGGGAGAAGGTGGGATTGAAGATAAAAAGTGAGTCCCGGAAATACAAAGAGAGCTCACCACCGGGCAACCATAACAAATAGAGGGCTCCGATGATTGAGCGGACAGCCCACTTACGCTAGTCCTGATTGGGTTATATTACTGCCTGGGCTTTAAGGTGTCATTTATGAAGTTTGCCAGGTGCGAGATTTCAAATTATATTTACTCATGCAGTGGAGTAGTATAATATGATTGTTATATTGTATGTGTTGGAATACATGGAATCATGCATGCGATTCCGCTGTCTAAGATAATTTTTTATGGTTCATACGCCTTGTGCCGTTCATGCCAGAAATCAAAAAAAAAAAATGAGGAGGGTACCAAATGGCGAGAGAAATAGAAAAAGAAACTGCCGTTACACCATAAACCCATGAGCGAAAGATTAGATGACAATGTTGTCAACACCGTTCGTGATCTTGTCAGCCTCAGTGACCTGAGAAGCCTTCATGACCTCGTCGAAAACGCCCGCAGCGGTGGAAACGAAACCCAGGAAGGGCTTGCTGGGTGCCAGAACACGAGAAAGGTACTCGGGGTGGAACTGGACACCAACGAACCAGGGGTGGTCCTTCAGCTCGACAATTTCCATACGCTCGCCTTGGTCGTCCTTGCCGATGAAGTGGAGACCGGCAGACTGTAGGCGGTCGATGTACTCGGGGTTGATCTCGTAGCGGTGACGGTGACGCTCATCAACCGAGGTGCGGTCAATGCCGTAGAGAGCACGGAGCTTAGACCACTCCGAGTTCTCCTGGAAGAGTGTGGGACGAGAACCCAGACGCATGGTACCACCCAAGTTGACCTTGTCGATCTCAGGCATGTAAACCACGATGGGGGTGCTGGTGGTGTCATCCAACTCAATCGAGTTGGCTCCCTCAAATCCACAGACATGACGAGCGTACTCAATGACAGCAATTTGCATGCCAAGACAGATACCCAAATAGGGAACCTTCTTAGTACGCGCCCACTCAGCGGCGAGAATCATTCCCTCGGTACCACGAGTACCAAAGCCACCAGGGACCAGGATACCGTCGGCAGTGGTAACGTCGTGCCAAGCTTTGTGGTACTCTTGGGGGTGAGTGTCACGGGCAGTGTGCTCCAGGTGTGAAGCATCGACCCAGATGATGTTGAGCTTTCTGCGAGCCGCCATGGACGCATGTTCTAGGGACTTGATGACGGAAAGATAGGCATCATGAAGGCTGACATATTTGCCAACCAGGGCAATGTTGACAGTGTCGAATGTGTGCTCCTGCGCAGTAGTAAGAACCTTCCACTTCTTCCAAGTGGCCTGGCCCTTAGCATATAGCTCTTGTGGGATCTTCACAGTTTGTTGAATCTTGAGAATATCACCAAGAACACGTAGGTAGCCCTGTTGCTCAAGGAGGAGAGGCACATGGTAGGTGGAGCTGACGTTGTGGACGCCAATGACATGCTCGGAGGATTCAACCTGGCAGAACATGGCAATCTTCTCGATGGTGGCGCGATCGAGAGGCTTCTCGCAACGGCAAGCAATGAGATCGGGGCTCAGACCAGCAGAGCGCGCATCACGAATAGCCTGTTGGGTAGGCTTGGTCTTGAGTTCACTGCCAATGACAGGAACAAGACTGACGTGGATCTGGAGGAAGTTATCCTTGCCAGCGCGACGACGCAGCTGACGCAGAGCCTCAACGAAGGGAGCACTTTCAATGTCACCGAGGGTACCGCCCAGCTCGATGACACAGACATCAGGCTGCTCGTTGGTGCCGTCTGCAGGAGTCCTGGCGACACGCTCGATCCAGTCCTGGATAGCATCGGTCAGGTGAGGAACAATTTGGACGGTACGGCCCAAGTAGTCTCCTCGACGCTCCTTCTCAATCACGTGCTTATAGACCTTGCCGGTGGTGATGTTATTATCCCTTCCGAGGGTGACGCCCAGGTAACGTTCATAGTTACCCAGATCAAGATCGGCCTCTCCACCGTCGTTGAGCACGAAAACCTCTCCGTGCTCGGTGGGGGCCATAGTGCCTGCATCGACATTCATGTAGGGATCGATCTTGATAGAGGTGACGCGTGCACCCATGGTCTTGAGCAGCAGACCCGTACTCGAGGCTGTGATGTGTTAAAACAAGAGCAAATCATTTGTTTCATGGTGGAGTAATACCGATAACGCCCTTTCCGATGCCGCTGATGACACCTATAATCGATATTTGTTAGCAATCGAATATTTTTTGGGTTGACCGAAGCCTTGAAAAAAAGCAAGAAAAAAAAAAAACTTACCTCCCGAAACCAGAACGTACTTCATGGTGAAGAGATTGAACAAAAATATGAGTGAAAGAGAGAGACTAAAAAGAGTGAATCACTGATATATTGAGACACCGGTAGAAGAAATGGAAATGTAGGGTGCCTGTCTCAGCTACTGCCGAGGGGGAAGAAGTTTAGAACGTCGCGGCAGGCGTTGACCGTGAAACTCTCCTGCTCTCCAAGTGGCTTACCGCCCCCCACTTCTGAAGTTTTTCTGCCAGACCCACATGACGCCCTCTCGGGTCACCTGACTTGGACACCTCATGTCCGCCAACGAGTTGGTCCCTGCAACACCCATGCTTCTATAAATGTGTCTGTAATCCCACCATTCGCTTCGTCAGGCTGTCGACTTCTTCAAGTTGCTATATATTTATTCCTCGCCGCACCTCAAGCTTCGACATCGCACCTTACCCCATCATTGATCCACAGGGGTCCCCGCTTGAATATCGTTTCCTGAACCGTACTTTTGTCGCAGCTCGCGGGGTACCATTTCTGGCTCTGAATGTACTGTGAATCTGTATAAGAGCTGCCCTTGTGGTAATTAGCTCTAGTTAGCTTGGCAAATCAAGGTAAGAAGTCTCCAGGTGATTGTGAAAAGGCGAGGCTCCACCCGATCCGAGCTCTCCTGATCGTTCTTTCCCCAGACTTTGGTTGTATCACATCATATTTCTCTATTGAACGCATATACTGACCTGTTCGGGCGAAGCGCACAGTGAAGGAACGTATATTACTTCTCCGACCACCTCAGGTCGAATCCGAGACCCAGATTTGCCGGCGATTAGGCGGATGTCTCCCGACGATGTTCCACCTGCACCACAACACAAACCCTCCTCCACAAGCTTCGCGGATGTTTTCAAGACGCTAGGCGTTGGTCGCCCGAAATCACATTCTCCAGTTTCCTTCCAGGAAAGTAGTAGTGACTCTTTATCGCATACCACCGAAAGCCGTGGATCACACCGTCACATCCTTGGAATTGACCCCATGCACCGCGCAAGTATCGTCTCAAGCTCTTCGGACACCCCGAGTGGTGGGCCAGACTTTGAGACAGCCGTGCGGACTCTTTCACAGAAACAGAACTTGTCTCAGGCGATTGATGAGGCCGAGAATGTATCCAAGTCCCTTCCGTGGTTCAGTCCCGAGCAGTCCATTGTTCTCTGGGAGGCAGCTGAACACCTCCTACATCATGAAGACTCCGTGGATGCTCAAAGGAGCGGGGCCAAATTGCTGCAGGCAATCTCTGCGAGACAGGATTTAACACCAACCGCGAGACGAATCATATTCGAGGCAATCGCTTGCCCGACTGAACCGGAAGTGATACCTTCCCGGGTTCAGTCATTGATATCTTTATCCGATCACGGAAGGAAACTTGAGTTCGCTAATACCCCCATCCTTCATATCATTTCCTCATGGATCAACTCGCTCTATGGGCTTATTGCATCGGCTCGGGCGAGAGCGAAGAAGGGAAAGGGAGTCAAGATCAATGGACTGGACCACGATGAAGCCATCCTTGCGGATCTTTTTCAATTTGCAATCGATTTGATTACCCTGCAACGCAAGCCGTTCACGGAAGAAGAAATTGCAGGTCTTCTTCAGGAAACTATCACCATCTGCCGAAAGACAAGCATGGCTGTTGACATCAAGAATTCGCTGGCCGTATTCGATGCAGTTGTGATGAACTCGGATGTGCCTGATGCCAGTTTTCTTGATCTCCTCGAAGTCCTCTGCAGTATCCACGCCTCTGTGAAACCACTCTCCGGCCCGACATCGCGGACAGTGCGGAGTCTCGCTAAATCCCGAAGACAAACTGAGATGGTCAACATGCTGCATACCTTTTTGAAAGATTCATGCTCCGAAGAGCAGAATCGTAACTTGACTGTCCTTCGGGGTGCAATTATGGTCTTCTGTGATCTTGTGTGTGCATATGGCCAGGCTGGAATGCCGCAAATTCCTTTCGATCAACTGATCGACTCACTTGCAGCAATCGCCCAGAGAAATGATGGCAAAGTGGATTCTGATATCTTGGACCTGTGTCTGAACATTTTAGAAGGGTCCTATGTTCATGATGCATTGGAATGGGACTGGACCAACTTCATCAATTTAGTGGTCCTCTGCTCGAGAAGGGTGTTTGAGGAACATGAAGATTCCCCCGTTTCCCCGGCAAGCCCACAACAAGCTCTTGCCAAATCGGGACATGACGAATCCAAGTCAAACATTCTTGCAAACATGATCCGAATTGCATCTGCTCTAGAAATTCTCTGGGAACAACTCAACGGAGATCAAAAACAACAAGCTGTTCGTTTCTTGGCTAAAGGATACCAGCACATTGAGCCTTCCCAAGCAGAGTTAATCATCAATATGACGAGAAAAGATGCCCTCTGTCATCCTTCAGATGATCCAGCCTGGGCCCAGCATTGCCAAGAGCTGATTACACGTTTCATTCAGTCTCGAACCCAGTCACCTGACATTCGGATCCTGGCTCTGGATACGTTGAAAGAAGCCCTTGCCGATAACGAAAGGCTACTTTTCTCAGAGGAGCATGGCCTCTTGGACCTGATTCTTCAGGACTTTTCTGCAGAGAACGACCTCCTGTTTCTGGAATCCCTTGTTTCCTTCATCACTGATCCGGCTATCTATTCCAGCAATGATGATGCCTTCCAACGTCTAGTTGATACCATTGCTGCGCCAATGATAAACGATGCCGTGAGAGATGAGGCCCGTCAGGCCTCGCCCATGTATCCTTCACCTCGCCGAACCTCTGCAACATCTGGAAGCGTTCTAGAGCTTACATTGGCGAATGTGTGCGCTGTTGGCCTGGTCAAAATGATGCTACGAGCGTTGAACTATTCTGCCACCAAGTCCGTCATTATCTTCGAGGCTCTGTTGCAGATAGCTCAATCTCCAGACAGGCCAACAGACTCGCGACTCACAGTGCTGAAGCTGCTGTTTCGCCTGCGTTGTGATTCAGCAGGCTCTGTGACCGTGGTTTCGACGTCGGAAAACGACTTCCTCATGAATGTTCTCGGTCGAAATGTCGATGTGAGCTCCAAGCCGAACGAAAGCCCCCCTCGAGATGTTCCTCAGCCCGAAAACCTCCCGCCCTCCGTTGGCAAAATTCCGGGCAAAGATCTTCCTGCGCCCAGTCTGTCCAAGTCTCTTCCTGGCCGTGGTTCGATTTCTGCCGCCCGAGCATCCAAGCTCACACCTCCAGTTTGGACATATGCCCAGCCGCAGGTCTTGCCGGAACAGCCTCCTGGGGAATCAAGTCATGTTGTCTTTGCTTATGGACAAAGTGAAGCCCAAAGCCCCTCGAGTGACACTTTTGCATCGACGGGCATATTGAAAGTGAACATGTGGCTCGAAATTGTCATTTCGCTTCTCCAGCGGGAGACTGATTGGGATATTTACAGCTATGTCCTGACTCACCTCGGCCCACAGCTTGGAAACAAAGACTTTTTCAGCAACTCCATTCCGCAAATTAAGCTCCTACGAAGTATTCTTTGCGACCAGGTCAAGAACGAAACCTTCCACGAGCCCCCCGGGCATACTGGTTTGAAGAAAAGCGATGTGGCTGCTTGTATTTTCGATGCGCTTTGCATGCTGGTCAGCTATCATGAATATTTTGCGAAAAGCGAAGAAGATGACCTTGTCCGGGCATTCATGCTGGGAATCATAGGCTCATGGGGCGCAACATCTCGTGGTTGTATCCAGGCACTCTCCTTGTGCTGTCACGAAATTCCACTCTCGGTTACCAAATCGCTTACAATCATTCTTGACAAGATGTCCAAGGTGATCACGATGTCGAATATCGCTGTTCATATCCTGGAGTTCTTGGCCCTCCTCGCACGACTTCCTGATGTGTATGTCAATTTGCGCGAAGAAGAGATTCGCACCGTTTTCGGTATCTGTATTCGATTCCTCCAGACCTCCAGGGAACAAGAACTCCGCTCCAAAGCCTCGGAATCTCCCGTTGTCAGGGCCACTATTCCACCACAGTCGCGGCTCAGTGCTGGCTCTCGTGAAATCGCGTCTGGTGCGGCCGAGGCCATGGAATCGACCTCTCAAGACGCCATGTCAAAATATGTCATGACACTAACTTACCACGTCATGATATTTTGGTTCTTATCTCTTAAATTGCAGGACCGACCCAAACATGTCAACTGGATCACAAGCCGACTCATCTTCCCTGACGAGCACGGAAAGGACGTGGTTGAAGAACAAAGTCAGGTCTTCATCGATTTGATGCAACGAGTTGCATTCTCGGATTTGGGCGAGACGATCCCATTTGAGAAATTCCCTCCCACCCCGAAGATGGCCCCGTGGCGAAGAAATCCTGGGTTGTGGGTTTGAGTATTGTTAGTGTGGAAACAGCGGGAGTGTCTGGTTTGACCCAAATCACCAAACGACAGGCATCTGGTACAACCTATTCCGTTTACCAGCAGCGGACAGCACCGGTACTTCCTCATCAAGTGCCCCCAACGCCTGATGCCCATGTTCATCCCTCCGATGCGATGCGCACAGCTGTTTTCCCCAGTCACATCATGCTCCAGATGACGGCGACTGCCTTCGCCACTCCTACAGTCATGCAGCCCATTCCAGTCCCTGAAGACGATATCACTCGACGAGCCATTGGTAGTTTCGATCGCACCGACATTGTGGATGGACATCGAATCGGTGTTGTTTACCTTGACAACCATCAGACCAAAGAAGCCGAGATTCTGGCCAACTCCGGTGGCTCTGCGGATTACGAACACTTCTTGTCTGAGCTTGGAACCAAGGTATCTCTCCGAAATGCCCAGTTCAATACCCAGGGACTGTACGCCGATACCGATGGAGAGTCAACTTACGCTTGGCGTGACCGTGTGACGGAAATTGTCTATCACGTTGCGACAATGATGCCCACGGACTTCGACCACGATCCCCAGTGCATCAACAAGAAGCGCAACATTGGCAATAACTTCGTCACTATCGTGTTCAATCGGTCCAATCTCCCGTTCAACTTCGACACTATCCCGTCAGAGTTCAACTTCATCAACATTGTCATCACCCCATCCAGCCAAATTGCCTACGACGAGTCTGGAGCTCCCAAGGGGGAGACCGACCCGGAGAAGCAGTACTACCATGTTAGGGTCATGAGCAAACCAGGATTCCCTGAAGTTTCCCCAGCCGCCACACCAAAGATTATCTCTGGCAAGAATCTGGCACCCTTTGTTCGAATTCTTGCCCTCAATGCCTCCGTCTTCTCCCTTGTCTGGAACCACCAAGGCGGCGAGCACATGTCTTCCTGGCGCACACGTCTTCGCGAAATTAAGAAGGTTCGCGAACGTGCACTGGCCGCGCAAGCCCAAAGTGCCGAGGCTGCTGAAGGCGCATATCCCGGCCAGCGCCGCAATACCAAGGCCAGCATCTTCTCTGAGGAGTTGCCAACCCGAAGCGCACCAACCAAGACAGACTTTGAGTCCGAATGGACAGCGGTTTCCGATACGAATGTCCTGCAAAACCTGGATTTCGCCCGCTGGAGTCGCTAGTCTTCTCTACATGACAATTACTGATTTATTCCAATTCTTTGTCCCTTCCTCTCCCCTCACCTCTCTCTTTCTCGACATATTTCCTCCGACACTATCCTTTCCTTCCCCATCCACTGGACCGCAAACGCCAAATATGACACTACACACGACTTTCCTTTTCAAATGAACGACCAAAAACCCCATACGATTTCATGTACATCATCTTGCTCTTTTTTTGTAATGCGCACAGCATTTGTGAATACCCCAATCGCCCCTAAAAGTTTTGTGTTTTTCATGCCTGTTCAGACTTGAATCCACGGTGGAAAACCCCGCAGTCTTGGATCTACTTTACTTTCTCAAAAATAACTGGCAATGACAATGTCCTATGTACGATGAATCGATAATTCTCTTTCCTCCTCTATGTAGAGACCAAGTAGGGCTATTTCTGTTTTTAGAATCACTATTCAACTGTCAATGCATCCCGTCAGTATGACGACACGATCGTGCGATGCGAACCGTCGGAGCTGCGGGATTTGCAGAAGGTCTCCGCTATTTATCACCCCACTTTCATCTCCCCATCTTCTCATCATCATCCCACTACACTCTACTAGCTATATAGATTCTCCTCGCCAACTCGCATTCTGCTACTACTAGTACTCATTCACAAACACATTGCCAAAATGTCAGTTGCCGAAATCACAAGGTGAGCATCATACCAGCTTGGACCGCCAACCAGTACGGAGTACATCCCTAACAACCAAACTAGCAAAGCCGACTTCCTCGCGAAGATCCTCAACTCGGAGGACCTCGTTGTTCTAGACTGCTGGGCACCATGGTGCGGGCCATGCAAAGCGATATCTCCTAAAATCGAAGAACTCAGCCAAAATCACACCGAGGCCAAATTCTACAAGGTCGACGTCGACCAAGTCCCCGACGTCGCCCAGGAGCTCGGTATTCGCGCTATGCCTACCATAATTTACTTCAAAAAGGGCGAGAAATATCACGAAGTTGTCGGGGCTAACCCCCCTGCCATTGAGGCCGGCGTGAAGGAACTTATTGCCGCCGCTTAGCCTGGAAATCAATGTGAGAAGCAGCCCAGCGGGTTGGGACTGTGGCTCTGATTCGTGCTCTTTATGATTGACGACTATGGACAAGGAGAGCTGCTACATTGTGCTTTTCCCTAAGACAAGCTATGCTTTTATACTGCAAGCCGCTACATAGTCTATATTTGATGGACCTACCCCGACGGCGCATCGGGATCTGGATTATTCCCCCAATTCCGCGTCGTGATGCCGCGGACAGAACCTTCTTCACCTGTAGGCTCCAAAGCAAGTACCTCTATCTTGTTATTCTTCTCCTTTAGATAGCAGCCAGGCAGATATAGTGTTTGCTGAGGTCCGATCGTCCAGTAACGCCCTAGGTTCACTCCGTTCACCCAGACGACTCCTTTGGTCCAACCAGGGAGTTCGAGGAATGTATCGCCCACCTTATCCACATTGAAAGTGCTTTCGAAGAATACGGGGCCTGATGTGTTTGAGACCTGAACACTGCCGGAGGACGATTCTGGTGGCGACGCAAGTGGAAGTGGGTAGATCTGCCAGTTCGACAGCACGTTGTCGCCCAGGGTAACGTTGCCCACAATGCCCTTACGCTGTTCAACAATCCGCTCGCCATAGTTGACACGGCCCATATTTTCGACTAGAAGATCTAGCACGTCGTTCTTCTTGAGATTCAATTCAACCGTATTTGGCGCCACATATAGGCTGTCGATCACGCCGACTCGATAACCGTTCACATAGATGAGAATTCGGTCTCTGGGGTAGTCTCCGACATCGATATTGCCCTTAGTGGCAGAGGTAGCAACATGGCGATAAAGAATGAAACCAACAGCCTGGCCAAGAGCCTCCATATTGATGGGAGACCTCTTCAAAACTGGGTCTGGTAGGGAATCAAACAGCTTGCTGCTGGGATTGAGCTTGATATTCGAAATCTCAATCAAAGGCTCCTCATCTATGACATCCGGGATATTATCCTCTCCGACATGCGAAGCGATGGTCTGCCGAATAGCGCGATAAATGTCGTTCGTTCGACCACTCTCGTCAATGGGGGAACCGTAATCGTAGCTGGTAGTAATGGGTTCTAGGGAATCTCCCCAGTCCGCACCATTCTGGAATCCCCAGTTTGTTCCACCGTGGACCATATAGATGCTGAAGGAGGCATTTTGATTCAAAATCCAATCAAGATCGGACTGAACGCCTTGGATACTTTTCGTATTCCCCGAATCTGTCTGGAAGGTATTGTTGCTGGCCCACTGATCGAGCCAAGTCACGTAGTACTCGCCATCAAGTTGCGGCCCCAAACTGCTAGGATCAGTCACATATTGATCACGAGCAGCAAATCCAGTCTTCGGATCTCCATCCGACTCCGCCAATACCCCAGAGATCTGTCCGCCCTTGATCATAGACTCGCCGCCGCCATCGTTCGTGTACAGATGCACCTTATTGCCAAATGCAGCTTTGAGCATATCTCTCATCGCACCAATATACACATGATCATCACCGTAAGAACCATATTCATTCTCAACCTGAACCATCAAAATCGGCCCCCCATTCGTAATGAGAAGCGGTTTCAAATCTCTCGCCAGATTCTGCAGATACGACTTCGTCGCAGAGAGAAAGGGTTTATTATTCGAGCGAACGACCATGCCGGGAACTTCACTCAGCCAGAACGGGAATCCGCCCCATTCATGTTCGCCGCAGATATACGGCCCAGGCCGAAGAACGACGTTCAACCCGTGCTCCTGTGCAGTTTTGAAATACTTCGCGATGTCGTTGTTCCCGCTCGTTTCCCACTTCCCTTGGACAGGCTCGAGCTGGTCCCAAAATACGTAGGAGAAGATCGTGTTCAGACCCATAGCGCGTGCTTTTGCGAGTCTATCGCTCCATAGTTCGTGCGGGATTCGCTGCGGGTCCATCTGGCCGCCGATCATTTGGAAGGGTTTGCCGTGCAGGAGGAAGGTTTCGTTTGTATAGCTGAATGGTTCGATGGTGGTGGCGGCCCATCCTGCCGACACGAAGCCGAAGGCGAGAAATACCTTCTTGAGAAGCATTTTGAAAACTCGCTGGAAATCCCGGGATTGATTTTCATTGTGAATTGGCGATGGTTGGGTTGTTTTATAGACTTGATGGCGTCCTTTGCTCGGGCCCTTCGCTAAGGCTTAGCTGTTGCGACGTACACTGCAGATCTTTTATTGTATTAGATCTTTACAAAGTGCATACATACATGTAAGGCCTTTGGTTGGTGCATCTCTTTGTGCCTGATACCACATCGTTACTTGACGATGCTAACCCCGCACGCGGGAAACCCAATCACTCGATGTTACAGTGACATTCTTGAATTCAAGATGTTTTTGATCGCAAATTGTGTTGACCTTTTAATATTATTTTGGCTAGGACATACCCGATGATTCCCACCGGATAATTATTTGAGGGGTTGGTATCTCGACATTTTCTCCCGATTTATTTTCCGATTGGACCCGAATTAGGACGGCGTCTGATCCCATGAATTTGAACTGCGAAGAATGTGATCCCTTTGAATATATCATGTTATTCCTATGGCTATGTAAAATAAAATTGTAGTTGCGAATGTCTTCAGCGTCTGCAGAGCTAATGTCCGATGACCATGCTTTGAACCTTCTTCTCGTTCTTGTGCTCCTTTTGCCATTTCTTTGACTTCTTGACACCGAAACCAGTACTGAAAACATCTCGGACAGCCTCCAGAGGCATGCCTTTGCATTCAGGGAAGCAGAATAAAATGAATACCCAGCCGAGGGTGCAGATCGCCATATAGAACCCAAATGCACCACTGGGAGTCCATGCTTTCATCATTGAGAGGAATGTTGAGGAGATAATGATGTTGGTACCCCAGCAAGTGACAGTATTCTATAGAAAGCTGATTAATATATGGAATGATGTGAAACAGGGTTGGTAATATAACTTACCATCATGGTTCCGATCGCGCGGACTTCGAGGGGAATAAGCTCAGTGCCAATCCAAGCAATAGTGGCAACACCAGATGAGTAACAAGCAACATAGAGAATAATCATCACCAAGACTAAAGTGCCAGGCCAGCCGACATTATCGCTCTCGACCTCCAGGGTCTTGAGGTTAACAGGAATATAACGGAATGCGATGACCACAACCATCATGCAGAGCGCCATTCCGGCAACGGTGAACATCAAGATAATTCTGCGACCAAACTTGTCAACGATCACCAGGTTGACGACGGAAAAGACGAAATTTGTTGCGGAGACGGTAATTCCAACGGCAGTCGCGTTCTCGAAGCCAACAATTCCAAAAAGTGTCGCGGCGTAGTACATCAAAGTGTTAAAGCCTCCCAACTGGCTGATAGCCATGATCATGCACGCAGTCAAGACAGCGCGACCGGTATCCGGAGTGGTGAAAACTCGTCTAATACCTGTCCAGACTGTTTCCTCGGACATGGAATCCACACTCTGTTGTAGTGATAACTCAATTGAGACAATCTTGGCTTCACGCTGAAGAATGGAAGATTTAGGGTAAATTCGTTTCAAGACGGCCTCGGCTTCCTCGCGCTTGCCATGGGACACCAGTTGTCGAGGTGACTCTGGGCAAAGAGTAAGGAGGCCAGCGAGTATAATTGCTGGGGCAGCTCCGATGGCAACAGTGGCTCGCCATCCTTCACCCTTCACCTCGGCGAAACCTGCACCGAGGGCACTTGCGAGCAGCTGGCCAAAGGTGACGCTCATGTTGTTGAAGGCGACCATGCGTCCACGATATTGTGCTGGAGCTAGCTCACCAACTTTGAATCGGTCAGTCAATCTCCGTGGGTGAAATGGGCGAGGAGGTCAGGGCGAGGAAACTTACTGTACAGAGGCACGATCATAGCCGCACCTCCCACCCCGAGTCCCACCACGAATCTTCCTGCCGCAAATTGGGCAATGGAAAATGCAGCAGTCTGCAAGACTGTTCCAATCACGAAAAACACACACGAGCCCCAGATAGGCCAGCGGCGACCGAAGCGATCAGCGGTGAGACCAGCCACTACCGCGCCCACCAGAGCACCGCCACTGGTGAGAGATGTTACCATTTCCTGCTCATTGGATGTAAGGGCACGACCGAGGGATGTGCCGATGGTGACAAGCACCGATGAGATATATCCGGTATCATACCCTACAATTGAGGTCAAATCACGGTTAATTGTGTTCTATTCTATATTCAAACGGAGCTAGGGGCGACGAACCGAACAGCAGACCACCGATCGAAACCACAATCGAAATGAGCCATGCCGCTTTGGACGCAGCGGTGGATTCAATCCCACTTAGTTCATCCTGATCTGTAGAGCAGGCCAGCTGCTTCATGTCTCCAATTTCCTCGACATACTCCGCAGAGGGGTCGTCTGATTTGAGATCATCTTTGCCAGAACTCATATCTGGATCTATTCCCCGGAGGAAAATACAAGTATCAAGGTGGAATGTATGAAAAAGAAGCGGAGAAGCTCAATGATGGATATCCAATTTTGCGGAGAAATTGGCTCCTTTTATATCAGCTGCCCAGATTGATGGTCCGGCAATCGACTCCATAGATGACATACTGCATCGCACCCCATGTGGAATCCTGGCAATCCCCGTGGGTAGTGCAGATCAAGACGGGGAATACTTCTGGTTTGGAAAGGCGAGAGAAGGCGGACTAATTCTATGTCGCTGATTGGACCGATGCCAAAGTCAAACTATCATGACATTTCGGGGGCGATTGCCCTGCGATGCATTCTCCACATTCCCCGCAGATCTACACCTATCACGGCGCGCTGGAAGTGATCCAGGCCTACGAATCCCCCATGGGCAACTCTGCCCGTCGGTCCCTATTGCCTTCTTTCCTCTCCCGCCTCTTCATTAACTCTGTTTCAGATCGTTATCTCGAAGGAATGACGGCTATTGAATCCTCTCGGCGTGGTGTCTTGGATACTTGGCCGTTGGAATTAATTCACGCATTGCGATGAAGGAAACATTGCCCGGTGTGAGGCTGTTGCATTCCTTCCTTGGAACGGTTAACCGATTATCCTGTCCATAGATTATTAGCAGTACCTCCACTCTCAAACCTACGGGTTTCAACGTGGTTGTTCCCCACAAAATTAATACGAGGATGACCCGTGGTCTAACCCTCTACGTCACGAACTGAAGATTCTAGATTGGAATATAAGCACTAAAATTCAATTGCAAGATTTGGATAGGCCGGAAGTTCTTGTAAGTTGTTGTAATTGCCTGGATTGAAGGTTTGAGACGCGATATTTCCTTGTGATAACGCCATCCTGGTTGATCTCACTCTTCGTCCCTTTTGTCTGATTATAGCGAATGCCATAAATTATCCGCGACTTCTTGATGTCCTTTTTCACATATGATGGCCTCTATTTACTTCTTCCGCTGACGAGCTATAAATTCGTAAACGTACTAAAACTGCTTAGTCCTGTAGTGGGCATTCATTGGCAGAGAGCGTCAGACATAAATCAGATTTGGTGAGACTAGGGCTAGTACTTATGGATCTATTAGAAGAGCAAGTTTTCGAAGTCTAAGTTCGGCCAGTTACATCTTATGATCTCAATCATACACTTTAATAAATGTTTCTTGTTAACCTCGCAGCGAATACTAATTGAAGTGTAACTATCCCTTCAATTCCAAAGCTCACTCCAATTCCAAAGCCGAGCCAGTAGCTTTCGAAAAGGCAAACCAGGATTCAATGAAGTGTTTCGTTCAAAATCTCACTAGTACGTCTGTCTCAAAGGTCATCTTCATTCCTCGGCGGCCAAACGCTCCCAGTAAATGGATCTTCGAAGATCGTTTTGTTGTTCTCACACTCACAATGTTCCCTAATCCAATCTAAGATGCTTACACACGGCCCATAAATCTTTTGAATGAGATCAGCTGCAAATTCAGGATTCCTTTCAGCCGCTTCCAGTAATTTGAAGCTTCGAGCCAGAATGAATGACTCAACAGACGCCTCAGCCAATATCTCACGCACCGGATGCTTTGATGGCAGAAAGCATGCCGCAGCAATATGCTTGCAGTCAATGAACTGGATATTGCAGTCGTAGTCGTGGTTGTAAATCTTGTAGGGACCGCTCAAAATAACCTCTTTGATATACAATGCGATTGGGGCTCTTAGCTTGGGCACATCCCACATGACTCCAACTCTTGCAAGTTCTATTGCGCTCAGGATTTTCTCGCTGCAATCATTCACATTGAACTGTATTTTTCCAGCGTAAAGCCATTGAATGAATGCTTCGAAAGTGTGCACGGAAAGGCCATCCCCCTCTTTCAAGTTGGCTGCTTGTTGTTGTCCTTCGATGAAGGGACCATTGAACATAGCCGAGAAATAAGCCGACTCTGAGCAGAGGAGGTCTTTGAAGATGACATATTCCCGATGGTGAGATCCGATCTTGATCGTGACTTGGGGTCCCTGGTAAAGTAACAAGGTACTAAGCAGAAAAGGGTCAGAAAGGAATTTTGGGGTAGAGTCACGCACTCACTTCAAGACAAACTGATTTGAAACAGGTTCAGGTAGCTCCTCCATGATTGGTTGTATGGTAGGGATAGCGAAAGACGACAAAGCAGATTTGTAGTTTGGGAACTTCAAGTGTGCTGGATCCTATCAGATGTGAAAGTGTATTGAATTTCAGACTTGAGTCGGATGCAATAGGTTGTAGGTGCGTAGGGGGAAGTTGAAAAAGTGATTCTCTGGCGGAAAGGTGAAGCTTTTTATGTTGATAGGCGGAGAAAACCGCGTAGCAAAGTCCGTTTGCTATTGCGTACCTAGGCTGCTGCGCTCCATGGCCGCAATCGGTTCAGTAGATGGAAAATGGGGAGCTTAGCCCTGGAGGGTTTCAATGCTAAAGAGAGATATATATCTTGAACCTTCTATCTTCCTGAGACAACCTAGAGATGTTTATTTGGCGCTGTTCTTGTTGATTTGGATTTCAACTTTTTGCATTAAATTATCAAACCCATCTCTTTTCACGAATGATTCTCCTTTTAATTCTCTTTGAACCGTATTTTGCGGCAAGGTGCTAGCTGTTTATCTTTTTGAAGTACAAATTGCTGGAGTGGAGATAGTATCCGCGGAGTAAGATCAGTTCAGGTTTGACATCGCGTAATAATCTACCAAAAAATGTCGGTTGAAAGTACACAGGCATCAACATATAGAGCCTCTGACATTCGATATTCAAAACTCGAAATCTATAATGCGATCATTCCTAGTGGTTCACTACATCACAAGCAGCAATCTAGTCGGGGGTTCCTACTCCCAAGAACCACACAACTCCAAATCATCAAATGCATCCCTCTCCAAACCTAGCCTTTCCTTTGAATCTATAGTAAATTTCATCAAATCATCATCGGAGAACTTAAGCACCCATGCTATGTTGGGCCTCTGCTCATCACCATTCAGAACAACAAGCAATGCCCCCAATAGTGTTCCGATCATTCGGGGTCCAAACACAGCCTTTGCTGGGCATTCAAATGGCTTACTGCCAAAAGGCATGAACGCTTCCCTTTGCTCCCTTGTTGGGTTTACCCAGCGGGTCGGATCAAATGTAGCGGCACCTGGTCCCCATATATCGGATCTTATATGGCACGCTTCCACATCTGCCGCTATGAATGCGGGAGTAGTATCATCGGTTCCTGGATCATCTGAGCTTAAATTCTGAGCCCATTGGTACACCCGATAGATTCGCCGGGTCGGAGGATAAAGTCGCAAAGTTTCCATGACTATGTCCTTCGCGGATGGAGTCGTCGTTGAATCGGATTGACCCCCGCGCTCTATGACTGCCGTCGTATTCGTGTCCAAAGCTACCCGGAGACCCGACCGCGTCTCAAATTGCTCCTTACTTGGATTCCTGTAGAATGAAATTATTGCTTGGCTCCATTCTGGATGTTCACGGTCATCGCGAAAACGTATCTCTAACAGAGCGCGTAAAACCACTCTCCACATGGTCTCAAACGCTGGCACGGTGAGATTGAGTGGGTTTTACTTCTCCCTGACCCGGACAGGGAAATAACGACCGAAGGCAAGCTTGTAATGGATGATTGTCCTCAAAACTAAGCACGTTTTCGCCGCTGGGTCGGGTCCTCCGTTTCGATCGAATCCATCCTTGATTGATATGCTAAGCCAATTCAAGTATGGCCGAGTCGTCGGAGCAAGGTTGGGTCTCTGTCTTGCAGACAGTCGTCAGCGTGGCCTTCAGAGTAAGGGCTTGCACTAGGCTTGTCAGGTTGATCTTAACAGAGCAGGGAGAGCGGTCATTGTTGGACTGTAACAAACTTTCCTCTGACCCATCGTGATTGAAGCCGAAAAAATATCCACTTTCTCGCAGTATCCTCGAGCACGCGACCTATCTTCGACCACTCTCCAGGGTGTACGTTTATTCGTTTCTTAGATTCGCAAACAAATTTGTCTGCAACCACCGCGTCAGTGCTAGTGAATGCATTTTTAATTGCGAAGGGAGCCCGCAGTCTATGATAGGGTTTGGCTCTTGCCTCTAGAAGCGAAAGTTGATTCTGTTGATTATTTTGAGTGATTTTGTTCTGAAGAAGAAGACGGCATAGCTCGGGATCTGAGATATGACCATTGCTGGAATCGAAATATCACGTTGGCTTCACTTGTGGTCTGTCTTCCCGTCGGTAGATGTAAAAGATAGTGAAAAGTAGAAGGCAGTAAGTTGCCGAAAGGGTAACAAGTGTCAGCATTTTGGAATCGCTAGGTCGCAGTAAGGGATGTCGAAATAATGATAGTAATCTCTTGATACCAGGTAAGAGTCATGGTGATGGATCTTCTAGTTATAGTCTGTTGCCAGAAATGAAAAAAAGTCGAGCAGTATGCCTCAGGCATTCAAGGTCGACCTGCAGTGAAGTAACCTTCAGCCTCATTCCTTTGTCTAGATCGTCACCGCGCCCTCACTTTCATCATCCGTCTTCCCACCTATGGTGACCTTCGGCCTCACTCATTACGAAGAGTTTCAGGTTTCTTTGTACGCTTTGAATGTATATTCTTCTTCCTACGAAATCATGATAGATATTGATTATTTGTAAGCATGTGATCACGAACTCTGTACTGCCATTTAAACCACCCGAACACCCAGGCAGAGGAGCTTCTGACGTGAGATTGAAAGTATTTCAATACTCACTGATTCCTCTTCTTTGGTTTCTCAATAATTACCTGCTTCCTCTTCTGAGAAATCTAGTCTGAAGACAGATAATCTTCCGCAAGCCGACCACTCTATGTCTCAGCCATGGTATATACAGAACCGGTTTTGCTCACGGGCCGAGAAGCATCTATCCGGGCATTATTTATCATAATGGCGATTCTTCCGACAATCGCTGTCATCCTCAGACTTTGGTCAAGGGCTTTGTTGCCAGGGTCTTCACATGAGAGGCCAATGAGCAGATGCTGGTGGGATGACTGGACTGTTATTTTAGCTACAGTTTGGCTTGGATAATCAGATATTATTTCCGGAAGCTGACTGAAGCACAGATAATCAACATTGCCATATGTGTCCTGGGCCTTCGAATTGCGGACCTAGCACCTGAGGAAACCGCGGAATCGAATTCAACCGCAAGCCGAGCCTCATTCTCGATATGCGTCGTAGTTCTATATGCGCTTTTCGATATGGGGACATTCATAGCGAGACTATCGGTACTGCTATTCTTCGGAAGAATTTTCAATGGCGCCTCTTCCCAGCTCAAATATGCATTGTGGATCGTACAAGGGCTCAATGCGGCATGCTATTTAGGTAATATTCTCATGATGGCCTTCGGCTGTTCTCCTATCAGAAAGTATTGGACACCGGGAATTCCAGGTGTCTGTTTGAATCTGGAGGTGATGTACTTGGTAGGAGGTATTCCAAACATCGTTCTAGATTTCCTTATTCTACTTCTTCCATTACCTTTGTTATGGAAATTGAAAATGCCATTGAATCGAAAGCTGCTGGTTGTTGGGGTCTTTGTTCTCGGGTATCTGTGAGTCTAAGTCCATCCTGAAAACCATTAAGAATGATGATCTTTGAGGCTTACACGTTGGCTAGTGTACCGGTTGTGTCAACTGATCGTCTAATAGCAAGACTCAAATTAACCAAGATATCAGCGAAGCAACCAGGACGTAGGTGTACCCATTCTGTATGAAAGACTTTCATAACTCAACTTTGTCTAGACGACAGGACGGTTGCCTTCTTTTGGGCCGGTTTGGAGACTCCTTTATGCATAATAAGTATTTGTCTACCTGGTATTTTCTCATTGGCCCGTTATTGGCATCAGGCAGGCTTCAAATACACAAAGGAGACACAACCAGCGAGAGCTACGAGATAAATGGTGGATGGAAACCGTATCCACACAAAAGGCCAGTGCAGGAGCAGAGATCCTGGGAATTCGGTTAAAAGGAATTAAACTTAGCTAGTTACGTCTAATTATGGCCTAGAGGAAATAAATGGTAGTTATACCTAAGTTGCACATAAAAAATAAGCCGAGGCTTTCACCACCCGCCCAACAGCCACTGAATCTCCCAGTGTGGAGCCGAAATCTTAGACAAAAATTCAAAGAAACCCAAAGTTTTGTTGAGACGAGAGAATACCAGTGTGAACTACCGAAAGTAGGTTGGATGTAGAATGATATGGACTAACCGTAGTCTTTCGGGGGTTTCGGGGAAGACGGGGAGCGCACGACGGAGATAAGACTGCGGTCGTACAACTGCCCCTGTATGCTCGCGTTTGCGCATAGCAATGTGCGTGGAAATATAATGCAAAAAATATTAAGACAATCTGGGAAGAGAAAAAGTTCCTAGATGGTAGAGCGCAAAATTCTGAAAACGATAATCATGTCGACAAATATACTCGTGACGGGGGCTAATAAGGGTAAGCCAGTTGCAAGCTTCCCAGATCCTTCAAGTTCCAAGGTTGGAACCGATTGACAGCAACATTCGAAAATCCAGGAATTGGCAAGGGCTTTGTGAGGCATCTTCTCCTGCGTCCCAATACGATTGTGGTTGCGGGTGTGCGAGATCCATCCTCAGATGAAGCAATCGCTCTCACTGAATTCGAATCCGCAGTCGGAAGCAAAGTAATTCTAGCTCAGATAAACTCCAAGTCAGAAAGCGATGCCAAAAGCGCAGTTCAAGACCTAGTATCCACACATGGAATTGATCGGCTCGACATTGTTATTGCAAACGCGGGAATTTTCGATACGGCCGCTCATCAGAAGGTATTGGATATGAACCTGTCCGATCTCCAGGACCATATCGAAGTCAATACCTACGGAGTCATCCGTCTTTTTCAGGCTTCTTGGTCGCTGCTAGAAAAGTCGAGCAGACCTATATTTCTTCTCAACTCTGCGGGTGCAGCCACGATGGGTGGCATGAAGCCATTCTCACGATTTCCACTTGCTTCATATGCATCATCCAAATTGTTGGCCAACTTCTTCATTCTGCGACTGCATATTGAGCATCCCAATTTGATTGCTTTTGCGGTTCATCCCGGCTCGGTGGTCACTGAAAATCGGACTGCAGCTGCGGCTAAGTTCGGAGTTCCAGTAGAAGGTCTCTCTGTGGATGAGTGCGTGACGAGTCTGCTCTCTTTGGTAAGTGGTATATATCTCTTACAGCGAAGGCTATAGTTTGAAAATGTCCTTGCTGATTTATTTACAGCTCGATGGTGCAAGTTTGGCCACGCATTCCGGCACATTCCTTAATGTGGATGGGATGCCTATCCCTTGGTAGAAACAGTCCGACATTGATAGGATTATTCTTTGGTTAAAATACTATATCTTCAAAGCCCGAAATTGAATCCAAATTTAAGATAAATACCAGTGACACAAAATCTACTATAAGACGTACTAGATGTATGGCCAGCATTTTGTCCGAAGATCAGAATAGTCCTGAAGTTGGAATCAAAGAAAAAGATACTTCAACGGAGCAGTTCATGAAAAATGATGGTATTTGAATGCACAAGATATTTAAGCAAAGATTCAAGACTTGTTCCTCAGAAATGCACATGTCAAACCTCAAATTGCTCCCAAAAGCCAGGATCAAGGCGATGTCAGCAGAAGGTGGATTTCTTGGCCTTTGATGCGGAGATAGCCCCCTCCTTCAACCGGGGAGCTTCGGAGAAAGCTCCACCGAAGCATGGTCGCAAAGAGGGAAAGAATTCGTAAGATTTGACTAACTCTTTTTTTGAATGTTATACAGAGAACTTATAAGGGAGTGATTCAGCAGTTGCATTGTATTCACACGAGTTATACTAGATTCCATACCCAATATTTCCCAAAGCGCTACTCATACTCTCAACATGGTGACCCTTGCTCAACTGGCCGAGGAAGTCCAGTCTCAAGTGGCTGTAATTGATAGATATCTAAAAGAAAACGACCTTCCCCAGCCAACCTTTGACGTCGATAGCCCCAGAGAACTTCCTCATGATCCAAACGTGCAGCGAGCTCGAATGTTGCTCATCGAAAAGGCATCGGCCCTGGCAAACCTCGCAACGGGTGCCGCAGACCACTTGCTATGGCAACAGATGATCGTAAGAGGATACATCATCTTCCATTGGGAAAGAAGAAGGCTAACAAAATACCCAGGATAAATACGACGGCACCGCTCTCCACTTCCTGGCAGCATTCAACGTCTTCGACGCAGTTCCCAAAGAAGGCTCCATCTCGTACGCCGAGCTCTCCGAGAAAGTTGGCGTCCCAGAACATCGCCTAGGTCGAATCCTAGCCCAAGCCTACACACAACATTACTTCTATCCACCCAAGCCTGGCTTCGTTGCTCACACAAGTAACTCAGTCGTCGCGAGCGGTAACCCCACCGGACGTGCCTGGATCTTCCACAATATGGAAGAGGCTCAGCCATGGTATGGAAACAAGCTCGTCGAGACTACCCGCAGATGGGGAGACTCCTATGACCCACTGCATACGGGCCCAAATTTGCACGTCAAGCCCGGAGAGGAAAAGTCGTTCTTTCAAATTATTCAGGAGGATGATAGTGGGGAATGGAATGGGGTGCAAGGCAAGGGATTTCGTCTCGCACGCCTGTATGACTCGGAGAGGGGCTTTGCAAATAGTGGTACCACTAATGGGAAGGGTCTGCTGCCTGCTTTTGATTGGGGTAAACTTGGAAAAGGAAAGGTCGTCATGGTGAGTGGGACAGTTTTTGTGAGCGAAAATCGCTCACCGTGCTAATTGACGAAAATTGCAGATTGATGGCTATACTGGTCATCTCTTGTCGGCGGTTGCGCTGGCTCACCCGGATCTCACATTCATCATCCAAACGAAGTTTTCGCCGGGATATGAGGAGCGTTTCTACGAGAAACTTGCGCCAGAGCTCAAAGGTCGAGTAACCTGCATGGCACATAACCAGTACCAGGATGACCAGCCGGTCAAAGGTGCAGACATCTACTTTATGAGTACTTCGCTGCAGAAGGAAAATGACGAGTCCGGTAGCAACATTATCCGCCGCATTGTTGATGCCATGGACTCGGAGAAGAGCCGAATCTTGATACGGGATATTGTCATTGATGGTGGTGATCCTCTGCCGGATAAGACAACTTCTAACGGCAACGGCGCCCCCAGTAAAAAGGAAGGGGAGTATGATGCGGGATTGGGCCCTACTGGCTTTATCACCAGGTTTAACACTGGAACCGACCTGCAGATGATGTGTGTGATGAATTCGTTCCAGCGGACGCGGGCAGAGTGGGTTTCCTTGTTCAAAAAGGCAGACCCGCGGCTCGAGTTGAAGAGATGCATCCAGCCTGTTGGAAACTGCACCGCCTTGATGGAATTTGCCTTGGAGGAATAAGGGGGAAGTTGGGATTACCTAGAGAAGACAATAAATTTCGAAATATTGGAATGGAATTATTGATGAAGATGCTCTAGGCTGGTTTATTGTCACAGAGTATGTATGAAATTTATGCAAAAGAAGGCCCCACCAAAGAAAATGCTTCAAGATGCTTCTCAGCATCAGACCTGAACAGCGGCAGGGGCTTGGACTTCAGGTTCAGCTTCTGTCTTGCCTTTGCTGACTTCCTTGAAATCAACCCCATATCGTTTCCACGCGGACTCGATTTCAAGATCCAGCTTGCCATTACGATCGGGAATCATTATGTCAGACCCATCGTTATCCATCGCATAGGTAACTTCGTGCTTCTTGCCCAGGGTCAATTTGATGGCGCCCTCGACAAACCAGTTGGGTGTGTATGTGCGGTTGGCCTCTTGGCCGTTGATCTTTGCGAGAATATTATCCAGAACCACTTCTGACTGCATCAACCCAGCGCGGGCCATGCGTGGGCCGGGATGATCTGCGACATCTCCGAAGGCAAACATTGGAAGATCTTTTTTGGCGTCGGTGGAATCGAAGACTTGAAGGGTAGACCTGACTAGTATTCGGGAGTTCTTGGCGAGAGTGTTTGGATAGGCGGCTGCAAGGACGGAAGAATTGGGTCGCTGGCCGGTGCAGCCGATCTAAGGGAGAAGAACATTAGCAAGTTGAAATTTCATTGCCGAGAGAAAAGTTGTCATGAGGTTATTGGGAACAAGGCAGAGGCTTCTCTCCCTCTCCGATTGCTACTTACAACCAAGTCAAATTGTTCCTCGTGCCCGTCTGAAAACTTCAGCGCAGCTCCGCGTGCAAAGTTTCCAGGGATAGCAGGGCGCTCATTCAGCAGCACTCTGATTTGGAGCTCATCTCTCAGAGCATTCAAAGTATAGTCCCCAAAGCGTTTTCCGAAATTGTTTAATAGCTGGTCTCGAGAATGAACCAAGGTAACCTCCTTATCTGGATAGAAATCCTTGATATCGCTGGCGATTTCGACACCTACAGCTCCACCGCCGATGATGGCAATTTTCTGACTCGCTTTGATGGTCTTTTGCACACCCTGGAGCTCATGACAACCCTTATTCCGTTCGGTGGAAGTTACCTGGACAGGTAATGGCTGAGATGAGCCTGTCGCGATGGCGAGGTACTCGAAATCGATATTGTCTCCAGAGGCGAGTTGTATTTGATTGTTCTCGGTGACCCCAATGGCTTTGTCCTGAATGCGAGTAAAAATACCCGCTGGCGCATTCTTTGCAATGCCATCATATGGAATAAATGCCGCATGCTCATGCCCCTCCAAAACGGAGTACCTGGGAAAATTGAACGAAAAGTTGAGGTGGGAGTTCTTTTCTATCCAGACAGCCTTGTATCCAGTCGGCAGTGTTTCGGATAGTCGCTTCACAAGCTCGATTCCCGCGAACGAGCCACCCAGGACAACGACGTTCTTTGCATCAGGCGTGTTTTGCCATGACCACCTGTGGCCAACCGCGGCGACACGTTGGAGAGCCGTGCGACCGAGATATGGAATGAAGAACCCGAATGCTTTTGTAAAGACTTTCACTTTATCGGAGGTCATGATGAGAGTAGATGGTGAGGGAGGAGGGGAGTTGCGGAAATAAAAAGTAAGCAGACAAGAAAGAACTGAAAATGTACGCGACTGGACAGGTTGGGGTAGCTTCCTGGTGCCTAGCCAGATCTAACCAGATGAAGAAGGCGGAAACTATCCATTAGAGGCCGAGAAGGAAGATAGCAGAATACAGAAGAAAGGAATAAACAGCAACAGGCAAACAGCGGGAGGAGGGTTGATGGACTCGGACATTAAACAAATCTTAAGTCCACGGACTCCGCGGAGGTCCCAAAGGGGACTGGCGTGGGTGGATCCAACGGATCTCCCCGCGGCAGCTCCGAAGCAGCCAATAAGAGAGGACTTCCGCGGCCCCACTCAATATGCCTTGGCATTAGGCTGTATTGTCCTGATCGGCTGCTCGTCAAGTTATGTATATTGTTGACCCTTCCTTTAATTAATGAACTGCCTAATTAACCTTCAACTTTGCAACTACGCCTTTTTCACTATCTGGAATCCCAAATTTATCAAATTACGCGGTCTGGAATCGAAAAATGGCTGATCCAAACGACAAAGTTCCGAATTCGGGCCAAGTGAGCTCGCTCGACACCGATATTGAGCAGGATTCAGCTGGCGAGTTGAAGGAGCAAAAGCAGACCGATCCCAATATCGTCGATTTCGATGGGCCGGATGATCCTGCAAATCCACTCAATTGGTCCTCGAAGAAGAAGTTCCTCAACATCTCAATCGTTTCTTTAATGACCCTACTTTCGTATGAATAGCGTCTCCTCCCTCCTTGATCAACTACCACAGCATGGAAGCTAATAAGTTGATCTATTTTAGGCCAACAACCTCGACTGTCAGCTCTCCGGTGACGACTGATATCATGGAACATTTCCAGTCAACGAATGAGATCCTCGGAGCCTTTGTCACCACGGTTTTCTTGATCGGTTACACATTCGGACCCTCCGTCATTGCACCTCTCTCGGAGATTTACGGCAGAGCCATTCTTTACAAGATCTGTATCGTTCTCTTCATCGTCTTCAACGTGGCCTGCGCTGTGGCAAACAGTATGGGATCCCTGATCGTCTTCCGACTCTTGGCCGGTATCATGGGTTCCTGCCCCGTCACTCTCGGTCCCGGATCCGTGGCCGACATGATATCAGCAGAAGGCAGAGCAAAGGCGATGTCTGCCTACGTTATAGGCATTATTCTGGGACCTTCCATCGGACCCATCTGCGCTGGTTATATTGCCCCTGCGAAAGGATGGCGCTGGGCATTTTGGCTGATGGCCATTATCATCGGCGCGATTGCCATTCCGGTCATGTTTCTTCAAGAATCATACCCTTACGTGATCCTGAATCGCAAAACGGAAAAATTGCGCAAGGAAACTGGCAACGAGAATCTCCGGTCAGCACTGGACACTGGAAAGTCACCGCGTCAGCTTTTCGTGTTTTCAATTTGGCGACCTGTGAAGATGCTTGTCTCGCCGATCATTTTCTTGCTGTCGCTTTACTGTGCACTCGTCTATGCCTATCTATACCTCTGCTTCACCACTTTCCCGGAGCTTCTGGCCGAGAAGTACGGTTTTGGTACTGGTCCCTCGGGTCTAGCTACTCTAGGGTTGGGAGTTGGTTCAATCGTTGGACTATTCATCTCCGGTGGTACCTCGGACAAAGTGTCCAAGTACTTAACCAAGAAGCATGGTGGAACGGCCAAGCCTGAGTATCGCCTCCCAGTTCTAGTTGTCGGTGCAATCATTACTCCTATCGGACTGTTCTTGTACGGCTGGACTGCGTACTACGGTACTCACTGGATAGTCCCCATAATCGGCACTGGTTTCATTGCTGCGGGAATGGTCATTGCTTTTGTGAGTGGAAATTCAATTTATCCCCTGTCATTTTCTCATGTACTAACATTATTCGAGATGGCAACTACAATGTATCTGGTCGATGCATACACTGTCTATGCCGCTTCTGCAACCGCCGCAAATACCATGGTACGCTGTCTGATCGGCGCGTTAATCCCACTCGCTGGTCCGGCTATGTTTGCAAAGCTTGGCTACGGCTGGGGAAACTCGCTCTTGGGGTTCCTCGCCGTTGCTTTTATCCCTGTGCCTTTTGTCTTTTACCGATATGGCGAACGTATTCGCGAATCCAAGGTCTTCAAAATCGAGTTCTGAAGTGGCGAGGCTTGCTTTGCTAGAGTTCAAAATTTGCTCTGTTTAAGTTCCTTTACCCTTTGAGACAACTCTCTTCTCTCCTGGCTTTTCTGTTTTTACATATTTCTGCCTCTCTTTATTTCTCACATTTTAATACGGCCAGACATTCCTCTTTTTTGAGTGAATCTTCTATATTAGACTTAAATTTACTGGTAAACCTTTCCGGCTCATGAAAAATTGAATGTGCTCACTACTTGAATGTTCCAAGTCCGAATCTTATCCAAAAAATAGAAGAAATCTAGATTACTTCGGAATAGCGGCCATGTAATATACTATACCTAGTCAGATATATCATGATCTCGAATTCCGAACATCATAGCAAATGACGGACTGCCATACACAAAAGATTATATCATAAAAACTATAACCCGAATAAGACTGCCAAGGTGTAGAGAGCCCAGCACTTGAAAACAATATCGACAACTTCAAAAGAAGACATTCATCGCACAGCTCACAGTATAAACAGGTAAGAGATCTTCGAAACACTTCCCGCCGAGTTTACTGAAAATGAACCTTCGTCTTCTTATTCCCAGACTTAGTAGCAGGAACGAAAAAGTCACCAGCCAACTCAATATCAGCAACACTAGCAACAGGATCAATCAGCTGTAGCTGAGGTCCATCATCAGAAGCAGTGAAGCGGGAGAAAATTGCCCCGAGGCCCATGTACAATTCCGCATAAGCCAAATTAATACCGATGCATTGCCGAGCCCCCTTGGAGAAAGATACGAGGTATCGATCAAGACGGGGATTATCCAGCCAACGCTCGGGCCGGAACTGGAGTGGCTGCGGGAATAACTTCGGATTCTGGTGGATCATGACCGCATTCATTGATACCTTTGTGCCGGGCGGGATCGGCAGCCCCGTACCGGGTACCTGTAGGACATCATTCGGAGCGACGCGTGGAAGACGACTCGTCACACCGTATGACAGGCGTAAGGATTCTTTAATGCAAGCTGACAGATAGGGTAGCTGTTCCAACTGTTTAAAGTCAAGGGAGCTCTTCTCCCCCTTGGCGGCTTTTATCTCGTTTTCCAACCGCTCTCGGATTTCTGGGTTGAGGAGAATGTTCACGATTCCCACGACCAATGTCCAGGCCGTTGTCTCGGTTCCGGCTCCAACGACGACCATGCCTTCTTGCCACATTCGCTCGAGTTTCTTTTCGGACTCGGGCATTTGGGAGTCGAGGACTTCGTGGAAGATTGTGCGGTGGGATGATTTTTCGTTTGATCGGTTGCGGCCGGTTTGAATGTCGCGAATTTGATCTTTTACGGACTAGTAAAATTAGCGATCCATTGTGTGAGAAAGGGGTGGGTATGTACTCACGTCTTGAAAAGCAACAACTTTGCCCATTCTACGGAATAGGGGTTTGTTAGTATCTCACACCATGCGTTAGGGAGCGAGAAAGCTCCAACAGAGCCTTGAAAGGAGACTCACCCTGGATTGAGAATCATTGCCAGTCGAAGGGGTAGCGCCTGAAGCAATCGCAAGACCCAGTTCATATGTAATACAATATGAGCCATATCACTGGCCTTTTCAAATGCGTGTAAAAGTTCTGGATCCCAGTCGCTCTTTGTCAATCGATGTTCACTCCTGGCAAACGCATATTCCATGACGACGTCTTTAAGGTTAGCCGTTTTCTATAGAGAGATTTCATGAGTCCTACCGTTGGTCAATGCAGTAAACATCTCCATTAGCGGTACGGTCCCTTTCGCATTTTGCAAGAGCTCCATATGATCGATCATATCGTCAATCTTGTCTTGGATCACAGGCTCCAGTCTATACACGCTGGCCTTGGAGAAATAAGAGCTAAGCGTCGCTCTCCTCATCCGATGGAGATCATGATGAACCGCTGCGAGGACTGAGTCGGGAGCACCGAATTGCCGCGTATGCTTGAAGACTTTGTCACGTCGCTCTTGCCCATTGTTGTAAAGCACCGCATAGAAATCAGGGTCCGCAACGTGGACCTCGTCCGGGTTAATGCGCACTACTGGGCCCTGTAGCCACGTGTCAGTCGGGGTCAGTTGCGGTACAGCATGACATTTGCAGAGCCTCGGTAACCTTGGGGCAAACCATGCTACTCACATATTTATCGTGCATCTGTGCTACTTTCCACACATACTGACCTCCGCGGAGAACATCGTGGTAAAACTCGTACCTGTTGACATGTCAATATTGGAGTTCCGCCAACGGGCCACCGGTGCATATGCATACCAATGTGTGACTGCGGCAATTTTGGGCCCAGGGATATGAGAAATTGGACTATAAAAGAGTCGGTATACCGCCACGCCTGCCAGGTAAATGGCACCAGCAACCCCCAGCACTGCAAATGCCAGGGGAGAAAAAAGGATGAAGAGTACCCCGGAATCCATTTCGCTAAAATTTTCCAGGAAGTTTCCCAAGGTACCGAATCTGACGGCGTGCTTGGCTTTTAAAACATTATTTTCTCTGTACTGCTATGCTAACCTAATATCAGCTTCAAGAGAGGGCACTGGGAGCCTAACACGATGATCATTACAAAGACAAAGTCGTTGTAATAAATGGGACAATACCATGGTAAGCAGCATCCGTGGATTGTCCACTATGCCGGAGATAAAAATCCTGCGAAAGAAATGATGATTCAAATTATCTAATTTTTGATAGGACGCCCATAGATATCAACGTTCCAATTGGTACTTTTGTATCAAAAATGGACTCTTCCTATTTTGGAACTATGCAGTAGCGCCCGCAGAACTGGCGTTGCTGATTGGTTGATGTTTTGGCTCGGATGACTGGTAAGCTCCGCGGAATATCCGCGGAATACCCTTGGCGCATAGGTAACTCCATGGAGGAAGGAAGGAACAAAGAAACAACAACATGACCAGGGCAGGTGCGATTCCCCTCCTGCACAGCCTGTATATATCCCACGGCTATTCCACGGAGTTCATCTTGCATTCTGCAACGCCTCATCAGCATGCCGTCAGCACGGCCCGAAGCCCCTCGTTCCCATCGCAAGGGTCAATACTCGTGCGAGTTCTGTAGGGCACGGAAGCTCCGCTGTGACCGTCCTTTGCCCTGTACGAACTGTGTATCGCGGGGGAAAAAATGCCACTTTGGCCCTTTGCCTGGTCAGAGACCATCAACATTGGCTGATCACCAACTTCCCGGGCAACATCAGCAGCAACACCAGCAGCAGCAACACGAACAACAGCCTGTTACGGCCCCCTTGGTATCTCCGGTAACTGGTAGGACAAATACCGGCGCACCAACTAGCAGCTCCGATCAGCCACCGTCACTGCCGGCTACTACAACCACCCCCCTTCGTACCTCCGACGGCCCTTGGCCAGACACAGCTACTCAAAGAAGTGCAGTCCCTCCGAAGGCTTGCTGCGGATTTGGAGAGGCGTGTGGCATTGAGCACAAGCACGAGCACAGCCCACCAGGATGAACATCATCCGTCACCATCGCCGCGTACCCACATCGATGTGGGTCAGTCGGGATCGCCATCCTCATCCGAGTCGCCCCGTCTAGACCAAGTCAAGGATGTGGTGGCCCACCTTGAGCGGGTCTCCATGGTTCAAAGCTCTCGGGTAAGAAACAAGCAGCCTGAGTTTCGGTTGCCTGGTACAAGACCAATCATGGCTGATAATTACTGCAACAGGAACCACCAATTTACGTTGATGATCTCGTGTTCCAGTTCGAACGCATTCGGGATATCCCAGGTGCTCCGAGCTTCACAGTGCGGAATGGTAAACCGGCGCGTTGTGTATGGCTGCCATTCCACAACGAGACTAGGTTCATTCTAGATAAGTTCATTACCAACGTTAGCTACATCCATCATGTAGTCCACCACCCCTCGCTCCCCGCCACTATCGATGACCTTTACCGGAAGATCGAAAATCAGGAACCAATTGAACCAGGACATCTCGTTCTACTACTTGGCATTATCGCGAATACTGTTGAGGTTTGGTCATGGCACGATGAAGTTGAAGGGGATGGTTCTATATTCCAATCTGCAATTGAGGCGAATGCCCAAACTCCCCTATGGATCAAGTCTGCAATGGATGTAATCAAGAGTGGCGAGAATGGACCACCTCTTGCGTTGGAAACGATTCAGGGGATCATAATACTGGCATTTGCAGTGAGTAATACGGAGGGAGTTTCTCTTCGCTATCGGTCGTTGATATCTACCGGTTTGTTATTGAGTCGTGAGCTCGGACTACATCGCATAGACCACGAATCGAATGCGGCTACTGCAAACACAATTCGAGCTGAGGAGGGTCGACGTGTTTGGTGGTATCTCGTTGCCACTGACTGGTGAGTAGCAAGCTTTCAAGTTGAACAGATATGTCGACAGGTTATTAAGATCATCGCCTTAGGTTACTGGCTGTACTTTATGGTGGTCCAAATGAAGGTGTATACCAAACTCACCCACAGCACATGACAGTCAAGAAACCCCGCAATATCAACGATTCGGATCTTGTCAACAATGGCTATCAGACAGAGTTTCCACTCTCCCAGCCGACCGAGATGTCATATTTCCTGCAACGCATTCGCATGGCAGAAATCGCGCGCCGCACGGTTGACCAAAGCCAAACTGCCGCTGACTCCAGCGGACCAGGAGATTCAACACACATAATGAAACTAGACTTCCAGCTCGACCAATTCATCCACGACATTCCGTTCTTCTTCAATCTCGACAACTATGAGGACAACCCAGAGTCAACATCCGCCGGCACCTTCGTTCACGCCTACCTACTCAACCTGGTCATCCACAGCCAGCGTTGCAAGCTGCATCTCCGCTATCTCACATCCGACCCTAATAAAAGCCCCATGTACGCTGCATCCCGAGAAATCTGTCTCAAATCCGCACGCCAGCTCATCAGAGCCGAATCTCAACTCGAGCGCGCGCAGCATCCCTTCGTACTCGTCCGGCTCCGCCTATCGGCGATTCGATACGGTGTCTTCCTGGCTTGCATTGCATTGTTAATGGACGCCTATATCAATGGTTCCGGCTCACTCCAGGATGGAATCAACCATGGAGATGTAGCTGAGGCCCTCCGTATCCTCGAGGGCGCAAGGTGTCACTCCTGGGCTGCGCAAAACCTTTCAGACTCTCTCAATCAGGTCCTAGCCAAATACCGCGCTCAGAACCCAGAAGACCAAAATCAACCTTCTGAAAATCCCTCTTCCTCCTTCACAACGTCTGGTGCGTCTTATACCAGTTCTGCACCGACGATGCAACCCATGACCACTCAATTGGCCCCAGCCTCTAATCAACTTCCTATTATGTCAACGGGAATGGGGGGCGGGGCCATGATGCCGCCCGTGTCTAGTGAGCAGCTATCGGGATCTGTCGTACAGTCACAGTTTGATCCTCAGATGGCGCAAAATCTGGAGGAGTTGATTTTTTCGGATGTGCTTCAGTGGGACTATTCTTTTCCGAGTGTCCATTCCGCGTCTTTCTTTTGATTTCTTGTTGCTTTAGATGGATTTTCTTGACTATACCCCCTATCTGAATGTCAAAATGAATTGAATTTCTTGATTGCATAGAAGTTGTTAATTTCAGATTTATTGTATGAACAGACGATCCTGTCGATCAAGATCGAGGCAGCTGCAGCATAACCAGACTAGTGATGCCTAGTCTGCAAGGGGGCCCAAGGTGGAAAATTAACGTTGCTTTTTCCTCCCGAGTAAAAGCTCTCTTCAGCTCATCATAAAATACACAATGACATTCTGAATTCCTCCTAGTAGACTCTGCTCATCTTGTATGTTCACCATGAATGCCCCATCGTGTGAGCCAGTACGGGGCTACCGTTGGCGGTCATCTACATGGTTTATCGTTTTAGCGATGTCCATCGCTCTCTTTACTGGTATGTCAACTCTGCTCCCATTACCATATGAAAAAAGGAACCCCCGCTAACTAATTTCTATGGCTTGGTCACTGCAGACACGTTTATCGCCAGCTTCATGGTTCCTATCCTCCCTTATATGCTCGAAGGCCGAATTGGTTTAGATCCATCTCGTACACAAAGCTTGACGTCCTGGTTATTGGCTCAAAATGCAGCGACTAACGTCGCATTTCGGATACCGCTATCCCATTTCGCGGATAAGTCTTCCTCCAAGCGGAAGTGGCTTCTCGGGGCGTTGGTAATTGCCTTGATTAGCACGTTTACCACAGCAGTGGGAACATCATGTAAGTCTGGCGTATTTACCACCTTGTCATTAATCAAATCCAGATTTGCTGATCTGCCAAGTACCTTTGCTTTTCATCAGTCGATCGGTGCAGTCCCTCGCTGCCAGTATAATGTCGGTTATGGCATTCATGATAGTTTCAAATGCCGTCTCTATTGAGAATACTGCCATATCCAGTGCTGCAATATCCATGGCGGTATCATTGGGGGTCTCAACAGGACCTATGTTAGCAGGTGTTTTACTACAACTAGCAGGATACTGGGCCACATGGTCAAGTGCGCTCGTTGTTCTTATGATCAACGTGTTTGTCTGTTTATTTATGCTAGAGAAGCATATCCCTGAGCGAAAAGGTATTTACTACTGTTTTACCGAATGGCCGGTTGGTTCAAATTTCTGACATGCAATTTACTAGTAGAAGATAGCCCGAAAAACCCTGTTGCGAAACCCAATCCATCATCTGAAAGATCGCCCCTTCTCTCCACCAACTGCGACGCACCTGAGACTGATATAAACCTGACCTCCGAGCTTAATTTCTACTGGTGCATCTTTAGTAAGTCCAGCTTCACAGGAGGTGTGTATGCGAATTTCATCGCAGGTCTTGTTGTGAGTATCTTCACTGCAACCGTACCTCTCCATGTTCGCGATATATTTGGTTGGAGCGACATGCAATCTGGACTTATTTTCGCCGCTCTTCAAAGCCCTTGCCTCATATGCTCGCCATTTGTGGGTTGGTTGAAAGCTCGCATTGGGAGACGGTGCCCGACTGTGGTTGGATTTATCCTCCTGGCTCCGGGAATGTGGGCCTTGGGTATTCCGGGGAGTTCGCAATTCCCGTCATCTGTGCACGCTGCCTGGGGCTCTGCGTTGTATATAGCCGCGATGGTTTACATTGGGACTCTAAATACGTTGCTTAACGGGGCGGGGACTATTGAGGCGACTCGTAAGACATACCAGATCTTCACATTATCGCTTTATTAACGTGTTTGCAGATGCCGTGCGTGAACTCGAAAAAAACTATTCTGGAGCGTTTGGTCCTGGAGGTGGGAAGTGTCGCGCTATTGCCATTGCTGGTACTGCGGTGACGCTAGGAACGTCTGTTGGTCCCGTCGTGGGTCAAGCACTAAACGACGAATCTGGCTACTATGTGATGAATTGTGTTGTTGGTTAGTACCCTTCCAATTTCTCGTTTTGACTATGATGCGTCTTGTTCCTTGCTGATATAGATATGATAGCTGAGATTTGTGTTATATCTGCTGTTGTCGCATATATCACTCTTCCTTCTCGGGCTACCTAGTGATAAATTAGCGCCTAGGTGTCGCACTCTCAGATTCCAAGGTCGATCTTTTTGAGTGCGCAACTCGAACGAAACACTAAACTGTCTCGAAGGATCCTGTTTTTCTCACAAAGAAAACGAAACCCTAGTAAATGATCTCAAACTAGTGCCTAACGTAGAGAATTTGAACCCGCTCGAATAGCCCCATGATAACTAACCATCGAGTTTACTCATCACCACTCAGGCCTCTCACCCTGAGGATACCACGACTCCTCTCCACTACACTAGGTCGAGTCCAGGACTATTCAGCTCAGATAGAAGCAATACTACAAATATAGAGCATTGAGGAGAAGACAAAATCCATTAAACAAAGTTGCTAATCAATGTGAACACTTCTTCCGGCACCACAACAATTCCCTCTAATTTCAAATGCAAACCTCAGAAATGTCGAGGGGTGATATGCGCTAAAAGGCAAGTGTATAATACTAAGATGCTCTCATGTGTGTTCTAGTAAATAGGTTGCACTTCAGACAGTCAACCCCCTCCTGATTTCCAGAAGTCTGTTAACGTACAAGTAATTTTCAGATTCCCCTTCTGTCTTACCACAGTAAAACGCAACACTAAATTGAACATATCACTCAAAACAAAGCAAATTCCGTGAAAGGGCGGCTGTTTACCATCAATTCAACAAAGCGAGCTTCGTGTTAGCCCCATTATCAACAAGCATCTTTTCAATCTCTTTATTCCCTTTAAAATGAGCAGCAGCGAGGGCACTTCCGTAATTTCCAACAGATAAATTGAGGTTGATGTCGGCCCCATTCTCAATAAGAAACTTGACAATCTCTATATCTCCTCCATAAGCAGCAGCAGCAAGTGCGCTCCCAAAATTCCCACTTGATAACAGGAGGTCCACATCTGCCCCATTCTCAACAAGAAACTTGACAGTCTCTATATCTCCTCCATATATAGCAGTAGCAGCAGCAAGTGCACTCCCAAAATCCCCACTTGGTAATGGGACGTTCACATCTGCCCTATTCTCAACAAGAAACTTGGCAGTCTCTATATCTCCCCTAAAGGAAGCAGCAGCAAGTGCACTCCCAAAATCCCCACTTGGTAATAGGACGTTCACATCTGCCCTATTCTCAACAAGAAACTTGACAGTCTCTATATCTCCCCTAAAGGAAGCAGCAGCAAGTGCACTCCCATAATCCCCACTTGGTAATAGGATGTTCACATCTGCCCCATTCTCAACAAGAAACTTGACAGTCTCTATATCTCCCCTAAAGGAAGCAGCAGCAAGTGCACTCCCAAAATCCCCACTTGGTAATGGGACGTTCACATCTGCCCTATTCTCAACAAGAAACTTGACAGTCTCTATATCTCCCCTAAAGGAAGCAGCAGCAAGTGCACTCCCATAATCCCCACTTGGTAATAGGACGTTCACATCTGCCCCATTCTCAACAAGAAACTTGACAGTCTCTATATCTCCTCCAAGGGAAGCAGCAGCAAGTGCACTCCCAAAATCCCCACTTGGTAATAGGACGTTCATATCTGCCCTATTCTCAACAAGAAACTTGACAGTCTCTACATTTCCTCCATAAGCAGCAGCAGCAAGTGCACTCCCATACCTCCCACTTGATAACAGGATGTTCACATCTGCCCCATTCTCAATAAGGAACTTGACAATCTCTATATCCTCTCCTCCATAAGCAGCAGCAGCAAGTGCACTCCCATATATCCCACTCGGCAACGAGAGGTCTACGTCGGCCCTGTTCTGGATGAAGATCTTGACAATTTCTAGATATCCCCCGCCAGCAGCAGCAACAAGAGCTCCCTCATAGAAGTATTCCGGCAACATAGAATGAGTCGCTGTCACTCGCCGTATGAGTTCCTCACAGATTGGTTTACAGCCTGCCCGGGCAGCAAGCTGCAAGGTGGACTCGCCATCATCATTCGTCTGGAAGACCGTGATTTCTGCGTTGTCCCACCAGTCCTGCAAGAGGAAGTAGAACGAAAAGCGACACATAGCGAAAACTGCGATTGTTTCCGGAGAGATTTCATCTTTCGCAATATAACTGAAATATCCCGACAGATAGGGGCGATTAATGCTGCGATACCAGGCACGGTAATGGAGACTGCTGTTGCTGGGAGAACCAAGAAATCTTTTCAAGAGATCTACCAACAAAGAGTCTGCTTTTTGCCCTTGTTCGGTGATTTGTTCTTCGTAGGCTGCGACATAAATCACCCAGTAGTATCGCACATGTTCTTCAAACAGATGGATACGGCTCAGGTTATCCGGTGGTTTAATGGTCTGGATGTGAGATGGCCATTCTATCTCGCTTTGGTGGGATGGGCTGCTGTGGATCTCAATCAGAAGCTTGAGGCACACTTTGGCCGCATGAGAGTTGGCCTCTCGGGGCCCCCAATGATTGCGCTCAAAATATTCCCGTACTGACAGGTGGGATAGCCTCCAAAGACGAGTTTGGGGGTCGACAACAAGTAGGTTGCTGCATAAATCCAATAGTTGGGATTCATTAATCTGTTCTTCACAGAATATGGAGGAGCCATCGGCATCAATGAGGACTGCGGACAAGAATTCATCGCTCTTAAAATTTGGGTGGGCACTCATCAACCACTTGCACGCGCGATCCACAAGGGCCTGTCTACCCGGAGACTTCGCAATTTCTCCATATATCTCATCGTACGCTGCTTCTAGGGTCGTCGGAAGAGTGCCAAGCCTGATCTTTATGTCTGCTGGAGTTGACAATTGAAGCACCTGTTTGATCTGTAGGTACGCCCATTGGAACCTGCTTTCTGTCAGCCAAATATTGCATATTTCCCATACAAGCGAAACTTACATTCCCTCGCTGCCTTCACAGAGTACCTGGACAATCTCGCTTCGCAGATCTGCAGATATGGGGCCCCATCTCCTAGGCTTGTCGATTTCGGCATTCACAAATTTCTCAATGTCGCCCTGGTTGTTTATCGCCTGGATTTCAATAATCTTCCCAGAGACCTGCGCTTTGATATCTTCGTCGGGTCTACTTGAGATAAAGACCTTGAGCGGTCGACCCGATTTGGATACCAAATCCCCCATCACCTGCATGAGCTGCCAACGCGAGTCTTGATCACATTCGTCCAGAGCATCGAGAATGATGACCGTCTGAGAGTACTCATTTACTGATTCCATCAGTTGAGTCTTGCATGCCTCAAAGCCCAAGTGGGATCCCTGTCGTCTTGCTTGATCGCTGACCATTTTGAGCTTTTTCCGTATATGTTCAGTACTTCCAACAGCGGTTGAAAGTTGACGAACATAGCTCTGAAGCACGCAAAGAGGATCCCTTCGATTTTCGTCATTTCGATTGCAATAGAAGAACGCAAAGCCCGCATGGTCTGATGAGCTTGCAAGCAGATCCTGAATATGGTCGATAACTCTGGAGGTAAGGTACGTTTTCCCGGCTCCCACTAAGAGGGTTAGTGTCAAAAAAATTCAAAATAATGACCATTGGGAGCGTACTCGAGCCTCGGAGCCGCAGAATCGCTGATGATCTGTATTCCATCCATTCACGAAATTCTTCGGTTTGTAGTAACCACTCACACGTGTCGGGAGTACGAGATTCCACTCTAACACGGTGATGTGATCCATAAGGTATGGGCGAAATCCATTCTAAAATCTCGCGCTCCTCTTTGGCGTCGATTCGTTCCAGAACCAAATCTCTTCAAATATCATCAGTATTGGCTCCCATGGAAGTGTCTCGGCCACTTACACCTGCTGCCGAATGATCGGGACCTCCGATGAGAGACCAAGAAGCTCCTTGAGATTAGATCGACTTGAAAGATCACAGCATTTCTCACAGTCGTCTGCGGCTTGCAGTAACTGCTTTAGACTTCCAGAGAGCTTATCAATATGAGCTCGCGCATCCTCAAGCTTGAATACAGCACTGATTTTGAAACTTGTCTCCTGGCCTTGTACGAAAGCAAAGAATGACTGCAATCCAGCATATGTCTGAACAATGCATGTTCTCAGTTTGACCAAGACGTCCTCAGGTGGGCGGAGAGCGGGATCTGGGGCCATATACAATAGCTGATACATGTCGCATCGCACGAGGATCGAAGTGATCTCGGCCATCCCAGTGAGGACGGTCCCTTTCAGCTCATTGTGTGCTGTAAAAATCTGTTTGATTCAGCTTTCTTGAACGATCAAGTAGGTAATCAGAATATCGTATCGTGGAAATACGACAAGCTCGAAGGGATGATCTAATTACCACAATAACACAGCGAACAGCAGCCCATGGCAGGGCAGCATGAGTAGGGTCAAAGCTGACAGCGACATCTCCGGCGGAAAGGAACTTGTTCAATACCGACAGCAATTTGCCAATAGATGTCATACGGTCGTGATACTTGCTTTTCAATGCTCCATCCATTGTCTTTTGAATATCCTCTGCTAAATCCTTCCTTTTGGGACAGTCGCGATCCCAATCTTTCAGCAAAGCTTCCACTTCGCGCCTTTCTTCTTCCTCCAAGGACCTGTAGGCTTCATCCCACAGGTCGTAGTTATCGGCAAATGGCTTCGGCTGATTCAATTTCTCGTGTGCTTGACCATTCGGAGCTCTCTGCGGCACTTGGATCTGAGAAACAGGTTCGGGCGTTTGTGGGGTGGGTGATACCGAAGCAGCCCCAGTATCGCCCGCGGGTGCCGTCAATACTTGACTATGGACTAAAATAAGGTATTAGTTGTCAATGTTAGGCAGATTTGTGAGTCTGCTGGCATGGTTTTGAACATCATACCGGTGGAATGGGCTGCACGGGAACCCTGGATTGCTAAATTGTTCTCGGGTTGTCTGCCTTTTTCCTTGTTCTTTCCGTCACGGTGGCGCCAGGAACGTAATTTTGACCATGTGGAGTGGGGATCAGGCATCGCGTCGTTTGGAATCGATGGCGATGTTTTTAAGAGCCTAGGATCTTTACAGTCGACTTTGTTTATACAGATTATTAGCAGTCGAAGGGAGAATCAAATGGCGATGAACACGGTGTGGAGGAGGCTGAGGCTGAGGTTCACGGGTCCTCGGCCCCCACAAGCGCGCCATTGGGCAGCTGGGCAGCGCGAAGCTCGACATGGGGTACTTCGTAGTCTGTACTCTGTGGCTGTGTCAAACGCCTGATCGATGGCAGTTAGCTTGCACTAGACCTTCCAAATCAGCCTAGGGGAATCACTATCTTGTGGGGCGCGGTCGAAGCCTCACCCTCCACGAATCGTGGACAAGGCGCGGTCATGACTTCACTGCAGTCCTCAAACAACATCCATCATCTTTGCTCTCTGGTCAGTGGGATTCATTTTCTCCGCCTTTTTGTATTGTATCGGGCTGTAGCCTCGACGCCTGCTGAATCGACTCGCATATCGAGAGTATGCTGCCAGGGAATGTTCCCCTCCCTGATCATAGAATTGTCGACACTTTTAAGCGCTATACGCTTCCGTCTTGAATTTTTCCAGGGGGCCGAGTTTTCTGTTACTCTACCAGCCCAACCTACTTAGAATTTTTAAGCCAAATCATGAGCAAAATTCCAATTCCACCTTGAATTTAGATCGGTGACATGTTTCCCAATACGGCTAGCGTCCATTGGGGTCGGAAGGTTCTATGCAAACCAGGCAAACAGTGTAAACTTTTGATTAGCAAGCTGTCAACAATTCTCTTCGGCATGTCGCGGTTCTTTCACTACAGAAGACCTACCGCTTAGCCAGGCGCCATTCAGTCTAAGCTGATGGGGAAGACTTGATAGTCTCGATCGCTTTCTTTTTTTAATTCACACATATACCCTTTACTTATGATTCTACCACATCTTGGTGCCTTATTGGACACTAGAAATTACTGGTTATCTGCTGCTATTATTTTTTGCTTAGGCCTACTCCCTGTACAAACACTATCTCAGCGAGACCAAGAGCTAAGCTGACTGTAAGTAGATCATCTTTACTAGTAACGAACTTGAAGTGCCCGACATGGAGAATGAAGGTTTTGACAGGCCATTTCGATTTATAATCACTGGCCGATATCTTGCCGTTCATTATAACGGTAGCGACTTTGAGATATCCAGAGACTACCATGCCCGTGGTACACTGTTTTACCTTTCTGATGACGAAACAAAAATAATTCATAATAACAACTATATCGCCGATCTTACCGACTACCCCGACTACGAAGGGGATCTATTTTACATTAGCAAGGAATCGCAGTACCTAGCTCAAGATGGGCAATGGACAGACAGTGTCCAAGATGCCATCAAATTGCAAATAGATCCCGAGGGAGACTATGGCGACGCTGGACGCCCTATTCCCCCATCAATTCCTCATCCAATTGTTGATACGAACAATCCTATTTCCGCTGACGGGGTTGATCTCTACCATCCCGATAAATGGTTCTCATTATATCTCATCACTGGCGGTCGTCTTTGGCTAGGTGATGCTAGGGAATTTGAAAACGTGTTGTCTTTCGGGACGAACCCGTACAGTGATGGGATCCCCTTTCAGCTCTCCAAACATGAAGGGAAGACACGGATCCAATCCTATGATGGCAAATATCTGACCGCCATGATGGAAGCTGATCTTGCCACGCACCTTGATGAAAGCTGTAAGCAACATACTAAGCTCAGTCAATGCTCTCGTTGCATGGGATGGTACACCCTTGGATTCAGTATCGAGCCGCAGGAGTGTCTGTCCTTGGTCCCGAGGGGTTTGCCTAGCATGTTTGCTTTGTACGATGGCTTTTCCTTCTATAAAGTTGCCGAAAGGATAGTGCGCGTTCAAGACATTGAAGATGCATCAGTCTTCCAGTTTGTCGCTTGACCTTCCTGTATGCCCACCTGGGCAGGTGTTTCGTTTTCTAGTTGCCAAGTAGTTATTCTCTTTGGTACTAATCCACTTCACTTTCTATGCACCAATTGATTACCCTGATAGCCACAAGAATGAGAACATATACTACCGGTCAGGATTCTAAAACTTGGTCGAGATTCTGTGGCGACCCCTATTTTGACGCTACTATTTCAATAAATTTGAATTATCCGAGCTTCTATGTTGGCGACAGTGCCGAGTGTGAAAGTCTCAGTTCAAGGCACTTATTTTTGAGAATCATTGTAGCAAGATACGTTGACACAAGTTCGCTCGCGTTAAAACCTCGCGCCATATGTACAGACCCACGTCAAACTTCCATCTTCAAAGGCTCACCAAGATATGGAAAGGCGATTGTCCGATCCTTCTCCACAATCGCTTCCAAATAGGTGCTGATGAGCGGATCCATTCCTCTTTTGACTGCCTCATTGATCCAATCTGTGATGTCCAATTCCCCAAAGTTTCGACCATGTAACTCCTCCATGCGACTTCTGAATTTCTCAATCGGTATTTTGACTCCACTTGAGTGGTGCACGATACTAATAGAGTACTTTTCAGCAGATGCTAAATTTGCAACGCAGAACCCGGGGATATTCTCAAGGTCAACCTGGAGGGCTGATCTGGCAATGTTCGCAGCCACCGCAGTAATGGGTGCGAAATCGAGGAATCCAGTGAGGTTTCTGAACCGCGGGACTGCAGTCTGCTCCAATGCAAAGCGAAGCAGAGCATTGAGGGCATCTTCGCTGGGAGCATTGGGGCCAACAAGTGCACATGGCCGGTGCACTGTTATAGGCAAATTTGTCGACGTTGATACATTCTCCAGCAGACGCTCACCGGCCCATTTGGATGCCGTGAATCCTTCAGATCCGTCAACGGGGGGGCTTGTACTGCCCCACCGACACGGGTGGAAGAGTGTTCTCGCCAGATAGCAATGTCACGCGATTGGATGAGATGAAGTGTACTGGAATGTGGCGCGGAATTGCCAGATTGACCAGGAATTGTAAGGAGCCCACATTCGGCGCGCGGACTGACGAATAGTTGTTCAAGCAGTGCCCAACACTGCCGGCATGGATAATGAGGTCAACTCGTGATTGTAAGAAGGTGATATCGTCTGAGGTCAATCCCAGAGTTTCGGATTGCAGACTGCCAGGGTAGTAAGCTGCTTTCTTGTGTCCGAATTTATTGTTGATGGCTGTTGCGGGGACTGCGATGCAGTGGACTCGCTTGACGGAATTGTCGCTGACCAGGGCTTGGAGAATCTCGGATCCGAGGAAGGTATGTGCTCCTGTTAGCAAGACCTCGCGATTTGACTGTCGAATAGCTATCGGTGCTGTAATGGTTGCGGCGTCGAGTTGGACTGGCGATGGTAGGAACTGGGTTTCTGTTTCCCAGTCAATGGCCTCGAGTGGGCTCTGCGCTCCCTTCTCACGATGAATATGAGCTGCCATCCGACCGATGGTACTTGCTTGGTAGAGTTCTGCAACGGTAACACTTATCCCGAGTGTCTCTCGAATCGCTCCCTGGAGCTTCATCAACAATAGAGAACTCCCTCCCACCAAGAAGAAATCGGAGTCCCGAGTTAAATTTACCCTTGAGACTGCCATCGAGCCCTCAAATACTTCTTCCCATAAGAGACTGAGTTCGCCTTCTTCCAGGGAAAGCTTTTGATTGGCCCCCCCCAGCTGTCCAATTGAAAGTTGGAAGATCAGCCGTTTGAAGAGCGCGGTAGTCGATCTTTCCATTTGTCGTGCGAGGGAAATAATCAATTGCGACAATGAGTGAAGGCCGCATGTAGACTGGCAGAGGGAGCCTCTGTGCCAGCTTTTGCCATTCGACATCTGTGGGAACCTCAACCTGCCCCTGGCGCGGTACGACATGTGCGACGAGGAATTGCGAATCCTCTTCTCCGCGAAGCGTCACAGCAGCTTCAGCAACGATATTATCCGCCGTGTGCAAGATAGTATTGGCAACGTCATCTAAGTCGATTCTCAATCCGCGCAGCTTGATCATGTTATCATTTTGTCGCCGTCCCATGAACACCAAAGAGCCATCAGCTTGGAAGCGGCCGCGATCCCCCGTTTTGAACATCCGAGTCCATCCCCGAGCCAAATCCTCGGCGCCAGCAAAAGGATTCGGAACGAATTTTGCTGCTGATAGTTCTGGTAGGTTAAGATATCCCAAGGCGAGTCCCCCGCCCCCGATACATATCTCTCCTGGGTAACCCAGTGGCACTGGCTCGCCAGTGTTCTCATCGAGGATGTAGACCGAGTAATTTGGCAGTACTTTTCCCACTGATTCATACTCTGAGATTTCATCTTTGCTACTCATGGAGATCTCATTGAATGTGACAGCCAGAGAAGTCTCGGTTGGGCCATAGCAGTTGGTCAGTCGAATGTTGGGATTATTGAGGTTGGAGAATGCCTGGAGAAGTTTCTTGGTCACTGTTTCTCCTCCCATACAGGCGTGTTTCCAGCTTGTGCACCGACTAAGCCAAGTCTGTCCATATCGCAGTAGCATGGCATATTCGGAGGGTGTCGCGATGGTGAAGGTAACCTGGTGCTCTAGCATAAGCTTGGAGAGAGCGACGGGGTCTCCACGAGATGACTTGGGCGCGATCACGAGGGAACCACCATTTGCAAGTGCACAAAATGTCTGGGTGAGTGACATGTCGAAACCAAAGGAGCTTTGCTGCAGAACTGTCTCTTTTCGCAAAGAGAGCTCTGCCGTCTTGAGAGCAAGGTGGTTTAGAAATCCGAATTGATTGAGTTGTATCCCCTTCGGCTTGCCGGTTGAACCACTTGTGTAAAGCAGAATTGCCGGGATATTTGGCTCTGGAAGGTCTTCTTGAGGCACAGGCTCGCTAGTTGAAACTCCGGGAAGAAGAACGGACAGGTTGACCACGGAAGAATTGGCCTCGAGAGAAAGTGCATTGTCCAAGGTTTCTTCGTGGCAGAGAATGAGTGCGGGCTCACAATCGTCGAGAATAGCAGCGTGGCGCTCCTTTGGGAGATTGGTGTCAAGTGGAACATATACATGTCCCAATCGCAGGATGGCAAGCATAGATACGATGAGATCGGAAGATGGTTGACAGAAAACCGCAATTCGAGAACCTGGACTGGTCTCCTCTTTCCGGATAATCGAAGAGACGAAAAGAACTCGGTTTTCGAGATCGCCGTATGAGAGAGACCCACGAGGCTCATAAATGGCAATTTCATTCCTTTGCACCTGGACGACTTCGCAGAATCTCTTCGATAATGTGCTGGGCCATTCCCATGTCTCGCGTGGCCCGTTTCCTACCGCGATTCCTTGTTCCACAGCAGTTGACTCCAAGATATTGTATTTATCCACAGCCTGCGAAGTGTCGGAGGAAAGGTCCCAAAGCAGGTTGACATACGCATTCCAGATCAGTTGGGTTGAGTCTCTGCTGTACATGTACCGTTGAGTGAGAACCTGCAAATTGATTGAGCCTTCGGCAGATTCGTGAATGCCAAATCCAATGTCGAATGGACTTTGGGCGTCCCGAATATCCTCAACAGAAAAATGGCAGTCTCCTCCGAGGCTCGACTCAGCCATAGCGCCAACGCGATAGTTGAATGTAGCCTGGAACAGGGGACTGAATGATTGATCTCGCGGCACGTTGAGACTGTCCAAAATCACATCAATTGGAACTTTGCCATTGGCTCGACCTTCAAGAACTCGTTTAGAAGTATCACGAGCAAGTTCAGTGAAAGTTTCGCCGGAATTCAAATGGAGGCGGAGTGGTAACATATTCAAGAAAAATCCGACCGTGTTCGCGAGGGCATCGTCAGTCCGACTTGCGTCTGTTATCCCAATGCAGAAATCTGTCAAGTTGAGGATCTTGAAGAAGAAGACCTGTATGGCTGCAAGGTAAAAGTTGGAGGGAGTCACTCGAAGAACCTTGCTGGCAGTTTTGATTCTCTCAGCCAATTGCTTGCCAAGATCTATGGAGATAGTGTGACTATCATATTGTCGAAGTGGTTGGCGACGGCTGACAGAAGCAAATGGAAGAAGAGGTAAGACATTTGGTAAGTTGGCGTGAATATTCCCCCAAAATTCGATCGCACTATCCATCGCTCCTGATTTCACCGCATTTCTCTGCTCAACAGATGCATCGATGATCAGTTTTTCCTGGCGACTCAACGGCTTGCCGGTATAGGCGCGCTCAATATCGCGAAGAATATTGAACCAGCTGACACCGTCGATCACAATGTGGTGATAGCCGAAGATGATGAAATGCTCATCTTCCTTCTCCGTGGAAAACAGCGTGGCAGCGAATGTATCTCCATATGCAAGATCCCAGTGGCGATCACGCATGGATTGAAATTCAAAATCTATTTCCTCTTCGTTCAGAGCGTGGAGGCATCTAAGAGAGGTAGAAGGTAGCGGTGAGCGTAGCAGTCCTTGGGTTGGTTCTCCGGTATTTTCGTCGGCGTAGAAGCATGTTCGTAAGCTAGGATGATGTGCGACGACCTGGGCGAGTGCCCTGGAAAGTCTTTCAACATCGAGGGAGCCTGCGATACGATATCGAATGGCGATGTTGCAGGTTTTATAATCGTCTAGATATTGGTCGAGGAACCATAACCTAGACTGAGCGTGAGACATTGTTTCGACTCTGGAGATGTCTCTCTCAGCGCGCGATCGGGCTTGGGTACCTGAAATTGCATCATTCTTCTCCTGGGCTGTGTTATAGCCCAGCCTAACCACCTTTTCCACATCTGGGGTCGAAACAAGCGTGAAAGGCGTGCTTGGGATATCTGAAAGGTTGTGCCCGTCCGATGACCCTGAAGATCTCGGGGTTGAAGCGGGCTCACCACTTTCACTGGCGGCAATTGTGTGTCGCTGAGTGGAATCTTTGTCCTCGGATTGTTGCTTCTCTTTGGGGCCTTGGTCAGGCAAATCATCGCCTTTCTGATGATCGGTGGTGGCTTTCTGCGACCGGAGGTTCAGATACTGGGCTGCTGTATCGGCGCATATCTCGGTGACCGTGTCACCCCCAAGGAAGCGAAGGACCGGGACGTCGATGTGGATTTCCTTCAAAAACCAGGTGCGCATCTCGACTGCAAGAAGGGAATCAAAGCCCATGTCCAACAATGGGACGTGAGCATTGATATCTCCAGGATCCAACTGCATCATTGAACCAAGCTTGACGGAAAATGCTTCTTGCAGGAATGAATGAGCTTCCTCCGATGAGGCAGCTAATTCCAGTTTCTGTCGGATGTGAATCATTTCACCAGATCCTTCCTTTGCGTTCCCATTATCCTCCTCAGGCTGGACGATAAGGTGTGAGAGACGGGGATCATCATACCATGGTGGCCTGAGGGGTGCATCCGGGCTGTCGACAAATGGCTCAACTCCCATGCAAATATCAAAACCCAGCCCAGACTCTGCTGGGCTTGAAAGCACGCCTTCCGCGAACAGTAAGTGTGCATCAGTTTCAGAGACTGGCATAAAGCCCTGTTTCGAGAGATCCTCAGCCAATTTTCGGTTCTGTCTTGCGACATACCCTGCATCAACCACCACGCCAACATGGATGATAGAACCTGCCAGTCCTCTTTCTCTGCGGTTGGCGATCAAGCTTTGCATGAAAAGATTTGCTGCATGGTAATTTCCTTGGGAACGATTGTTCCCGACTGCAGCGACAGATGAGAAGCAAACAAAGTAATCGAGATCTCCATCGGGGAAAATTTCGTCAAGATTCCTGGACCCATCCACCTTTGGTTTGAGCGTCTCGTTCAAGGAATCCACATCCATATTCAAAAAGTCCTTGTCGTGCAACACCAGGGCTCCATTCGCCACTCCACAGATGGGGGGCATCTCGCTTTCAATCAGGTCCAGAGTCGAGAGAACAGATTGCTGATTAGAAACATCCATTTTGTAAAGACGAATGTCTGCTTGATAGTTTCTTCGGATGGAATCCAGCCATTCTGAACTCACATTACCACTTCGGCTCGAGATAGCGATGTGACGGGCCCCATTGCGAATCATATAGCCACAGATAGACTGACCAAGGTCTCCATTCAATCCCACCATAAGATGCGTTTTAGACCCAGAGAAGATTCCGGTCGGCTGAAGTGGAGCGACTTGAACAGTAATCTCCTGATCATGCCGTTGGCGCCAGTCGACAACGGCTGGGAAGACCACGGCAGATGGAAAGAGTCCAGAAATAGAGTCGATCAGAAGGGCTCTTGTCTCGGATTTGCTGTTCTTCGCGACGGCCAGAAGAGCATCAGCATATGCTTCAGCCAGTCCTTCGCCATCCGCCTCTAGCAAGGATGGCTCAAAACGTCGGATGACGTAGTTAGTTGGGATCAAGGAATCGAATCCATAAGAGGCAGATGGCGATAGATCAAGTATTGTCTTGACATCGTTCGGGATGGTTTCTTTGTTGCGAGACCCGAGAGCGTGTAGATCAATTACGATCCAGGATGCAGGAACGGAAGTAGCTGCATTGGATGTCGCAAAGTATACTTGACGGTCTTTCCACAACTTGCTTGACTGGATCGCATCAACAAGGCTTGTAGAAGGTGGCTCATATATCAAAACGGCTCCTCTTGGTGGGAGAGTGATGGCAAGGCTGCGAACAATAAGCTGTGCAGCAACGGCTTCCACAAGGACCACATCCGATAAAGGGATTGAATCCAAGAACAGGCTGTTGTGAGAGCTGAAAGGAACGGTGGAACGATTCTTCCGGGACACTGCAAACGCTAATCGAGAGCCAGAAGAGCCGTATGAGAGGATACATTCACTGTCTCGGTGTGGAAATGCGATCGAGAAATGTACATCCAGGATACTGTCCTGAGGCTCATTGATTAAGCGATGAGAGAGACTCTTTTCTACGCCCAATAGCGTAATAACATCCCCTTGGGTGCTTATCTCCACATCGGAGGTTTCTAGTGTTGTTCTTTTCACCACATTGCGCCGCGTGGCGTTGTATCTCTCATTCCGCGAATCGTCGAGGAGCAAACGGGGAATCACCAGTTTTTCACCGTCAAGGCCAATCTCAGTTTCGGTCGTCCAAAGCATGGACTTGCTTGCAAATTCATCCACCTTCACAAGTGCTAAGCGAATGAAGTATTCCGCCAGCACATCGGCCGTTGCATTTGATGCTTTGTCAACATCCAAAATCTGGATGCTGATGTCGGGTCTTTCGGTTCGCAAGGCTCGACTGAGACCGACAAAAATATTTGAAACTGGACTGGGTCCTCGTGCACCTGCAGTTACCCAAAGAATCGAGGAAGAGCTACGCACAATCGTTTGGATGTTCTCCAGTCTCTTCGTCGTCATTTGCGTTGCGAACAGTGGCTGGCCGATTTCCAGCAGGCTGATCACCGAGACTTGTTCATGTGGCGATAGTGATATCTTGTCGAGATCGGGCACAATCTCTACAATCGTGTCCCAGGTTTCGAGGCTCTTCTTCAAGCCTCTGGCTAGTCTGGCCACGGCAAGCGTTCCGCCACCCAAGATGAGGAGCTTGTGTTTGAGCGGAGGAAGAAGACCGAGATTCGATAAAGGAGCGCGAAGAAGATCGAATTTCTCATCAACAGCCTGACTGACGATTGTTGACACATAATGATGATTAGGGTCGACATGGTTGGACACAGTGTTGCTGACCCCCGAGAAGCCAGTACGTCGAAGGATGTCATCCCATTGAGGAAGGGTGAGACTAGGAGACCATTGACGTCCCTCATCGCTGATCTGTGCGCCAAACCACCATCCAGGAAGCGGTCCCATGATAAATCCAAGTCGCATCATATCGCCTGTGATTTCCATCATTACCAGATAGCCACCTGGTTTCAATAAACGACGAACGTTCTGCATAGTCTCGGTCATGCAACGGGTTGCGTGAAGCACGTTAGCAGCAACGATCACATCGTAGCCCTCTTCGGTGAAGCCTTGCTCGATCGGATCTTTCTCTATGTCACATACTTTGAACGTCATCTTGTTCCTGTGCGCAGCAAATTTCTCGGCTCCCTTCTCGAAAAATCCAGATGAGATGTCCGTGAAGGTGTAATGGTTGAAGGCATTTCCAGCAGCGGGTAGTATCTTGCGGGTTGTTCCTCCGACACCAGCACCGATTTCAAGAATATTGGCTTGAGGATACCGGTGCGTGATTTGACCAAGAGTACGCGCAATGTAATCATTCATGGGGGAAAGTCCATAGGATTCAGCATAGAATCGGTTCAGCATATCATCCTCCAGCATCACTTGCAGGGTTGAAGTTTCGCCACGGACAATCGATGGAAGCACTTCACCGAGAGCACGCATGAGCCTGATATCAATGCTATCTTTACACTGCTCAGCCTGTGTCCAGACTTCTTCACGTGTATCATTCATCCATTCACGCCTGACATCTGGATGACGCCCAGCGCTCACCTCTTCGACCCAATGCTGTGCTGACTGCCAGAACATTTGCATGTGCCAGGCGAGTGTCTTCATCTCACGTGGTGAAATATCATCAAGAAGATTGCGATAATAGTATAGTGCAGTGCGTCCCATGGCCTCCACGAGTATATCATCAGCGGCTAGATCTGGCTCTATCTCGAGTACCACGCGATCGAAACCGGATGAAATGTCGACGTCCCATTTAGTATGAGAAAATAGCGCTCGGTCTTTATTGGCTAGAGGATCTCCGGTCGCTTGTAGTGCAATTCCTTCAACTTGAACACCGACACGAGACCCAAGAAGGATCTGGATATCGCCTTCGATACCCTTCGCTGATGACTTGGTGATTTGAGCAGAGTTGACTGTGCTGATTTCATTTGAATTGCTTGAGAAACTTGCCATGTCAATGCTCAAGCGCCGAATACCCACGGGCAGATACATAGTCCACATGTGACCAGTTGAAGGCGCCGCAAATGCTGCCAAGAGAGCATGGAATCCAACATCCAGAATTGCGGGATGCAGTGTGTATGAATTTCCAAGATCTGAAGCTTCCCAAGATGCCCGGGATGATGCAAACCCCATGGTGCGTTCGGCAGATTTTGTGGCGCGGAATGATCCTTGATAGTCAATGCCCAGTTCTTTGAGAGTCTTATAGAATGTTTTCAAATCGACTTCATTGAGATTCGGCGGATATGGGCCAGGAAGTGGCAAGGGTTGGTGATTGGGGCTGGTCTCGCCGAGATAAATTTCAACTCGACCTGTGCATGTCTTCTCGAGCACAGCGTTCGCATCATCGGCAGCAGCAGCAGAGAATGCAAATTCGGCAGACAGAAGGCCATCGGTTTGGTTCACGAGGCGAAGAGAAGTTGTCAACTCTGTTGATTTATTCTCTTGCAACACGATGGCTTTGGGGATTTTGAAGTCGAGAATCTCAAGAAGCTTGATCTGGGCATTACCGGCGAGAGTTTTTGCTGCCTCGGTAATGGCGGCGACATATGAAGCACCCGGAAGAACAATTTGGCCTTGAAATGCGTGGTCGCGCACCCATGGGAATTCAGCTGGGCGAAGAATGTTGCGCCATCGCAGAAGTTCGGGGGTATCGTCCGTTGCCCGCCGACCAAGCAGCTCATGCACACTTCTGTCTCCCAGTCTGAAACGACTGGAAAGGCGGGATTCCTTCCAATGAATTCTGCGGTGATCCCAGCTGTATGATGGCAGACCTTTTAGCAGGCGTGGTGCCGCTTTTTGACTCTCTGGATGGACGAAGGAATCCCGGTATCCGTCAAAATCAATGAGTGCCGCAGGTCCAAAATGTTGCCACAGGTAGCCCAGGCCGCCTGAGAATGCTTCCACTTCGTCATCTCCCCGGCGCATGATGCTGAAATAAGGAAGTGATGATCCCAGCGAAGCCTTGAGGATTTGTGTGACTGGTCCCTTGAGAGCAGGATGAGGTCCAACTTCGGTAAGAATGTCGAAGGGACCAGCTCTCCAGAGAGCAGACTCAACAGCTGGGGCGAACAGCACGGGGCTAAGGAGGTTTTGAACCCAGTATTCATCTTTCAGTACGTCGAGAACGCTTTCATCATCCTCGTAGTCCAGAATGAGATCTGGGTCCCCATGGACACTTGAAACCCATAAACAGTCCCCAGTTGGTGGGTTGATTTGAATCTCACAGGCCTTCAAGGAATTGAGATATGCGGTCGAACAAGGTCTCATGTGGTGTGAGTGATAGGCAGTATCGACGTTGAGTTTTCTTGCGAAGCTCTTCTCAGCATCAAGGTATACCTTTAACTCTTCAATTGCGCCCTCGTCGCCAGACAGGGTCACACTAGTCGGTGCGTTCGCTGCTGCAACGTTGACGCGACCAGCAAACTCTGGCTTTTCACAAAGCTCAGCTGCGCTTTCAAATGATACTCCGACAGCCATCATGGCACCATGCTCTTTACTGGGCCCTTTGGCGAGCTTGGCATGGAATCCACGGTAGTATGCGATGCGAATAGCATCCCGAGCCGATATGATACCAGCAGCATAGACAGCAGCGATCTCGCCAGAAGAATGACCAACAACACTGCGCATCTTGATACCACTCGCGCTCAGAACATCCACAAGGCCTATTTGTACAGCAGTACAGAGGGGTTGTGAGATCGCGGCCTCTGTCACTCGAGATTCCCCCTCTTCAGCGAGAAGCTCACGCTCTAGCGACCATGATGGTGCGTCTTCGCCAAGATCAGCCAGAGATTCTTCCAGAAGTGCAATGGAATGACGGAATGTCGAGTTGTGTAAGATCAAGCTACGGCCCATCGTTGGCCATTGCGCACCTTGGCCAGTGAAAATACCCAAAATGGCTGGGCCATCATCACCGATGGAACGCGCTGGGCCTTCACTAGAAGCTGCCGTCGGAGCGGATGTGGAGTTTTCCGCAGTGAAAATGTCCATGTACTCAATCAACTTCTCCTTCGTGGACCCAGAGAAGAATGTGCGGCTGTTGTCAAAATGGGTTCGTCGAGATTCCAGTGTATAGGTGAGATCCTCGAGATCAAGACCTTCATTGTTGCGAACAAAATCGGCGTGGGCTTGAACAGACTGCACAAGCGAGTCTTTTGAGTTGGCAGAAAACAAAAGTGGACCAATAAAACGCCCCTCGTCGGTGTGGCTCGTATGTTGTTTGTCCTCATTTGAGTCTATATGGAAAGTTTCGAGGACAACATGGGCGTTGGTGCCGCCAAAGCCGAAGGAATTGACACTTGCACGCAAAGGTGATCCATTTGGAACGGCCGGCCATTCAGATGGCTTAGTTGGAATCTTGAGACAGTCATAATATGGCGATATGGCAGGATTCAATTCGGTAAAATGCAAGTTGGGTGGAATTGTTCGATTTCGCATGGCAAGGGAAGCCTTGAGCACTCCCGCCAGCCCGGCAGCACCCTCCAGGTGACCTACAACAGTCTTGATAGAACCGACCAGCAACTTTTCCGAGTCTTCAAGTCCATTTCCACCTTCTGGATAGAAGGCCTGATAAATTGCTTTTGCTTCGACTGGATCGCCTGCTTTGGTACCAGTTCCGTGGGCTTCAAAGAACTGGCACCGATCGACTAGCGGATCTAGGCCGGCGTCACGATATGCCTGCTGAATTAGTACCGTCTGTGCTTTCGCATTCGGCACCGTAATACCAGAACTTCGCCCATCGGAGTTGACAGCGACACCCCGTATGACACATTCGATATCATCTCTGTCTTGAATTGCCTTGTCAAGAGGCTTCAGTATTATGGCCGCGAATCCTTCTCCTCTCGCGTAACCATTGGCCGATGCATCCCACATTCGGGATCTTGAGTCTGGTGAAAGCATATGAAGTTTTGATTCAGCAACATACATCCCTGGGTCGATTATCAGGTTCGCGCCAGCCACAATGGCCAAATCGCTTTCGCCGAGTCGTAGGCTCTGCACAGCCTGGTGGAGGGCCACCAAGGAACTGGAGCAAGCAGTATCAATCGTCATAGATGCACCCTTGGCGTCAAGGAAGTATGATACACGATTCGATAAAATACTTCTGTGTGTCCCAGTCCCGTGGTGTGTCTGTATTGTGTCAAGGTCGCGCGCTTGAATGTCGGCAAAGTCTCCGTTCATCAATCCAGCATATACCGAGGTCAATGAACCTTGCACTTGGTCAAGAGAGCATCCAGCCGACTCCAATGCTTCATAAACAGTTTCCAAAAGGATGCGTTGCTGTGGGTCCATTCCATCTGCCTCTGCAGGGCTAATGCGGAAAAATGGAGCATCAAATACACGGATGTCCTCAGAAAGAAGGTAACCTTTGTTTTGTACATCCGTGCTTCCATGATGCTCTCCATTCTCATGATAGAAACTCTTAAGGTTCAATCTCTCTGGCGTGAATTCACTGAGAACATCGCTCGGGGCTTTCAAAAGATCCCATAGTTTAGACGGTGAGTTTGTTTCGCCGGGGAATCGGCAAGCTGATCCAATGATTCCCACTGGTTTAGACATCTTGATGCTTTAGCGAGAACTTAAAAGGTTTTTTTTCGTCACGGTAGGGTATTTTGTCTATAAAAAGGAGATTAAAATGATGACTCTTGCTCTGAGATTGAAGCGAAGATAAAAGCTAGTGTCGGACATTCACCGTTATTTGTTATCTTGTCTCAAAATTCTTCGCATCATTCACTAGACACCTTAGACCCAATTTCCAATCACCATCATCCTCGCCTTATTCCGCATCGGGGAGCTGAGCCTCGGAGTTTGTCATAAAGGATATTTGCTGGATTGGGACTTTGGAATCGGATAATCCGGGGGGGTTAACAAATTGTTTCGGAGCATGCTAAAGTCTTGCTGTAAGCAAGGAACTCATTCCTGCCCAGGTGGATAGTGCTCATCAGACAATACTACTGTCATTGTTCTCTTTTCTTCTCTCATCCGCTATCTCCGAGGTGAAAACGCTGAGAAAGAGAGGATTTCTCGATGTAGCCGCTGCTCTTGTCAACTTAACTCCCCGAGCGACAGAAGAACCCCGTCGGTCCGCTTATCTCGGCCACAGGCTGGACGGAAATAGGCACCCATGTCATTTCGAAGTACACTGAGACAGATTCCTCAGATCATCACCCGAATCAGTATATGGTAAAGGCAAGTCCAGTGCTGCTTTCTGGCCCAGAAATTCACCAATATTCAGCCCAAATCACGGTACTTCTGTACATAATTTGCTTATTCCCGCTTTAATGAATTCTGTGGTCACCTCTATCACTAAAACTGATGCCGATGTCGATGGTTCCCATGCCCGAGATTGGCGCAAGATGCATGCACTTCCCAATACACAGCTCGCACTCAAGGTCCTTGGTCCGAAACAGATCAAGCTAACGGAAGGATGTCCCTTGCCGATTGCGGAAAAAGATGAAATCCTGGTTCATGTCAAATGCGTCGCAGTGAATCCTGTAGACGCGAAGACCCTTGACATGGCTCCTAATGTCGGGTCGACGGCAGGATGTGAGTTTGCGGGAGATGTCGTGAGAGTGGGGCCAAGTGTCAAAAATCAACGACTCAAAGAGGGTGTGGCAGTATTCGGCGTTATTCGAGGAAATTCATGCGACAGACCCGAGAACGGAGCCTGGTCAGAGTACGTGGCTGTGGCAGGCGATCTAGTCTATCTCCTCCCCCCTCATCTCACATACCAAGAAGGGGCTAGCATGGGTGCAGCCCTCGCGACAGTAGGAATGGCGCTATTCTTTTCTTGGGACCTGCCACGGCCCTATGAGGTTAGTGAGGCACAAAGCAACAGCAATTACTATGACAGACGATCCGGCCCAGGCTCGGGCGACCAAAAAAAGCTGACAGCCCCGCAAGACGACCGCGGTCCGGCCCGGGGCCCAGGGGCGAAGCAATATGTACTTGTGTATGGTGGAAGCACAACTTGTGGTGCCATGGCTTTGCAAATGTTGCGCATATCAGGCCTAGTGCCAGTGTGTACCAGTTCTCCAAAGAACTTTGGGCTTGTGAAGAGTTTTGGGGCCGAAGAGGCGTTCGACTATCACTCGCACTCATGCGCGGATGATATCCGGCGCTACACCAACAACTCCTTGGCTTATGTGCTCGATTGTATTACTAGTCTCGAGTCTATGAGAATTTGCTACGCAGCAATGGGCCATATAGGGGGGGCAATATATGGGACTCGATCCTGTGCCACTTCGTGCGCATACTCGCAGAGAGATAAAGCCAGATTACGTCTTGGTCTACACTATGTTTGGACAGAAGGTCACTGCGCCAAGACCTTTTGGCAGACCAGCGCGTGCAAAGGATCGTGCATTTGGCGAGATTTGGACAAAGGGCACTCAGGCACTCGTTGATACCCCTGGCAAGCTTCTTCCACATCCACACGACCAAGGTTCAAAGGGGTTACATGGCGTGATTGACGGGCTAGATAGAATGCGGAAAGGGCAGGTCAGTGGGGTTAAATTAGTTTTCGAATCATCCTGAGGATTTAATCAACCTGGCATTTCTGGCTCACGCACCTAACGGTCTCGTTGGTGTGAGTTCGGCTTTGGCCATTATGTATACGCCCGATGATCAACAGTCTCCGGTCTCCGCCCGCGAGACCTCAACCGATCGGTCAGATTGCATCAGCACGCTGTTGCCGGGATTTGCTTTTCCTCTTTCTTATTTTCAAATAATGACATACTAAGACTAGATAGTACTACTGTATCCGAAATAAATGAGAAAACCTTATACACAAAAAGATAGGCTATTTTTTGCATCCAAGACTTTTATTTTCTCCATCGGCCATAACGAATGCGCCGTAAGCACTGCTTTGCGGGCTTTTTGAATAATTCAAAAAAGTTCCTGAAAGGCTATTACTAAATTTCATCATACTGATCAGCTTATCAGCAACCCTTAGCAGTGCCCATAGGACCGACATACAATTTGATCTTGAGCTTAATACTAAATATCTTATATTACGTAGCAAGGGTCAAATTTTAATGATAATTAGAGCCGAATATCGCTATCTCTTGATATATGATGTATATACCGAAGACAAGTTTTGATCTTGCATCCTTACGCAATCATTGGCGGCGTTTTCAAAAAGAATTATAGCCCGAGCATTAGGTCCGAAGGATTGCTGCATGTCAGATTGCAACCTCGACTGTTTCCCTTGGCCTACATCCTCTGGCCAATCAAGGCATCGGTATCTTGTGTTATTTGCCCCAGCGCATAGTCTCTCAAGTCGTAAGTCAAGGAGAAATTCCAAGAATTCGCGTTACGCGGTAGAAAAGTAACCTCCGTCACGATTTGCTCTGGTATCTCTATGATATGACTGACAGCCTCTGTCCCCAGATATTCGAGCATATATTTTTAAGAAGCTACTTGCTACCGAGGCAAACGACTCTAAGGTCAGCGATGCAAGTCGCATTGTGTAAGAACTGCACGCCTAATCCTTTCAAAGCTAGGTTTCCGCAATCTGACGTCCACTTATTGGCTGTAGCCTTCGGTTTAACTGATAATGCATCCGGGGGACCTCGACACGCCGGGACTTGTGGGGGAGGGGCCATTCAACCGTGTTGGACATTAGTGGGGTTCATCCTTTCGCTGCGTAAGCAACATTTAGTGGAAACAATGATAATTGTTGAAAATGAGTCCCCGTAAAGACTCGGCGTGATACGTTTGTCTCTCATCCATCTGATAATATTGGGGGCCGATCAGTACTGTATAAACGGGTCTGTGCCCATTTCTTCAGGACTCGGGCGCCCACCGTGCACAGTTTCAGCTCTTGTTCCAACCTCTTTTTTTTTAAGAACAGAAGTGGCAGCTTTATTGGATAAAGTTATGTGCGCCCAGTTGAGCCAGCCGGGACAGGCCCGCAAGCGACGAAGGCAGGCAGTTGTGTGTACCGAGTGTCGGCGCCGGAAGATTGCCTGTGACCGAAATTCCCCTTGTGCTCAGTGCATTCAGTCAAGTTCCGTTTGCACATATTATAACTCATGCAACTCATTCGCGCTTAAAAATGACTTCACCGGCAGCCAGGATGGCAGCATGAATAGCCACAACCTGAGTTCCTTCGGGGGAACTCAAGGAACTTACGCATTTGAATCGAGACCACAGATTTCATTGCCATGGAGCTACCAGAACAGCCTCCACGGAGCCGCGGAGACCGGTATACCGTCAACTGCCGGCGCATTGGCAGACTTGGGAGTAGCACATTCATTTGATACAAGACAACTCGGATCTCTCTCGCTTCCACTCAACATGCCCCTCGCAACGGCAAATATTTCACCATCCGATATGTCCCCTACAGGAATCCTGGCGCTTGATCCTGCGACAGGTATCACAGACCAAACTTCAGTGAACGTGACACAGCAGGCGAACAATTCTTTGGAAGAGTCAAGCCACGTGGTATTTCACAAATCCAGGTTCTATCCTCCAAGCCACTGGGTGACGCTCTCCCGAAGGGTAAGATATCTATTTTTGTTTTAGTATATTCCATCAGCATTTTTCTAACTTTGCCTACCAAGTAGTACGACAACCACGGCCTCTTCGATCACATTAATAATACTGTCTTCCAGCGGGCTGGCCATGCCGGCTTACAGAAGTGCAAACGGCTGGCTCAAAATCTCAAAGCACTCAGAAATAATGATCCGCAACATCTATTACAGTCACTCCACGAATTTATGCCGCCTAGGGAAATATCAGATAGGCTGGTGTCTCTTTACCTTCGAACATCCGAGTCCGTATTCCGCATTTTACATATACCAACTTTCCAGCATGAATACGCAGAGTACTGGAACAGCCCTGGGGAAGCAAGCGAGCTATTCCTTCTCCAAATTCTACTGGTTATGGCTATTGGCACATGTTTCTATCAGGATTCTTCATCGATCGACCGTAATGATGCCTTCCCGAATTTGCATTATCAATCAACCCAGTGGATCCATGCTGCCCAGGTAAAACTCACGGCTCCTTATAACAAAAGACATCTCAGTTTGCAGGGTGTCCAAGCGCAATGTCTGTTGGCTCTGGCTTTAATGACCAACACCAATGCTGTTGGGGGGGGATCTCTCCTGGTTGACAATCACATCTCTCGTCCAAACAGGCATGGCAATAGGCCTTCATGTCGCCCCCAGTCAACTCTCCATTCCTCCTTTCGAGGCCGAAGTCAGGCGGCGACTTTGGGTAACCATACTTGAGCTCGCTGTGCAAGCTGCTCTTGATTCAGGGCTTGCGCCTCTCATCACTCTCGAAACCCTTGAATCATGCGAGCGACCTTCCAATCTTGACGACTCACAATTTGGAGAGTCCACCAATTCTCTTCCAAACCCACAACCTGCTATGACATTTACCCAGAGCTCTATACAATCCGCTCTTTTAAGATCGCTACCGATTCGTCTGAAAATTGCCGAGGCCCTTGGCCGTTTCCAATCTGGGCTTCCATATGACGCGGCTCGGAGCATGGGATCAGATCTCACGGCAACCCTGCGCGATACATCAGGACTTCTTGATTCATCCCACCCTTCACCATCGGCCTTCCAAGTTCAGCTTCAAGACTTTCTGCAGCGACGATTTCTTCTCATACTACACGCTCAGTTTGCTCATAAAGCTTCGGATGATTTCAAATACCATTTCTCGCGAACCGTGGCATTGGAATGTGCTCTCCTCCTTTTACCATCTTGGAGAACCAGTACCGAAAATGAAATACGCGAAAGCAATAATATGGCTAATTCATTTTCTTCGCTTGATGACTTCACTCTTCTCAGGATATATGGAGATGGATTGTTCAAAAATGTCTTTCTGGCAGCGACCGTCACACTATGTGCCGAGTTTCTGTTACAGCTTCGAGAAGATTCCTCGCCAGCTGCATCATCGCTTGCAAGACAGGAAATGCTTCGTGCAATCAAAGATTCTGCTGAGCTTACGCGTCACAGAATACTCATGGGGGAAACCAGTGTCAAAGCACATGTTTTCCTCGCCTGTGTCCTGGCTACCATCGGGGCGTCAAGGCACCGATCAACTCTCCACAATAAAGAACATTCTGAACAAATTGCAGCCGATGCAGGTCAGCGCGCACTTCATGGATGCTATGGCGTGCTGAAATCTAGACTGCATCGCATGACGGCATTGAAAGATTTGGGTTCCGATTTCGAAATCCCTCCGAGACCTATTGTCAGCTTCCCCGATGTTCCGGAAAGAAATAATTCAAGAGACGATAGCCTCGGTGTTCTCAAATCAGTGCCCAGGCTCGATCGTCTAAGTGATACAAGCCCAGACGGCTCGGATGCTTGGTCGATTTCGGCTTGGGAAAATGATATCATCCTGGAATGACCGTATACTAGGAAACACATCTCTACTCATAGGGGACAGATGACGGATTCAAGACTGAATAAATGTACGGATAACTTGTCTTCCATTGTTATTCATACTAGCTAGAAGAATACACTACTTTTCACTTTTTTCCCGTAGTTTCAGTACTATTCAATCCCGAAAATCCACTCACCTGGGCAGTATCGTACCTACTAGGTAAGGTTGTGGCTTAAATATTTTAACGGGATATCCATGAAGGGGCAGGTATATCTTTATAAAGGATCCATATTCCCAGGTAATAATCTAATTGTTGGCTATCTTACTACTACCCTAGGTAGGTAGTTCCCTCAGGCTTGAAATATGGCTTGAAATATATTAAGCACAATACCCCAGGGTAGGTGCTAATTCATGTAAAATATATTTCAAGTTTTTTTCGGGTCAAAAGCTAGAAAAGACAGCAAGCTCCACACCATACTCCAGGGCTTCATCAACATCTATCCATTCCTCCACCCCGAGTCCCTTCACTATGAACAGCTTTTCTCTCACTTACGCGTTATGAATGCCAAGTCCCCTGGTTTGACACCAATATTCATCTCAACCTCCTCGATTTTGTATTTCTCCAGGATGATAATAAGCGCCACTTTCATAAGCACATCCGCCATATGCTTTCCTAGACATTTTCCCGACACGATCCCAAACCTCATGAATCCATAACGGTAGTCATTTGGTGAGAGCTCGGAGAAACGCTCAGGGCGGAATTCACTTCCATCCGCACCCCATGTCAGGGCATTTGTATTTAGGCGACAGACGTCAATGACGAATGGGGTATGTGCTGGAATTTTGTAACGTCCAATCACTTTATCAACGGTGGTGTGTTCCGGTACCGAGAATGCTGGAAACGATGTTAAATTGATTAAAATTATTTTGGACTTTCAGATCAACACTCACATATAGCCGGATGTAGACGAACACTTTCCAGGCACAAATAATGCAAGAGAGTCGTTTGTCGAGCCAAATAGTTTTTGAAATCAATCAGACCCACTTCGTCTTTCTGTGAAACGATCTCTTCAAAAAGCCTTTGTTGGAAGTCCGGATGTTTTGCTAGCTTTCCAAACATGAATGCTAGGATGTTTCCAGTGATATCAATGTTGGTGAAAATCATCTCGTCGATTGTTTGCAGATACTAATGGTGTGAGATAGGCATAAACAACCAGGGCCAGGAATATTTACCTGATCCATAGACATGCCATCCTCGGGCTTAACGCCTTGAAAGACATGATTGGCCGGAATATCCATGCCACTCTGAATTGTGTTAGCCGAGAAAGCGACAAGCGTGATAATGATATCCCATACGATGCGTGCTTTATCCAAAATTGCAGTATTGAATCCCTTCCATTCCTGTTGATACTGCTCCAGGATACGACTAGAAGAGGTTGGTAGCATATTATACCATTTGTACTTCTGCCATCGACCGACCACCGCATTTTTAAGCGCCTGTTTCTGCATCGCGCTGATGCGAACAAGTTTCGAATATTCCTAGAAGGTTTTTAGCCTCGAACGATATGGAAGTAAATTGAGAAATTACCTCATCATCAAATGCTTCGCCATAGAAGCTGAGTGGTATGACCCGGAGCGGTAGTAAGCCGCAAGAGGTCGGCGCGTGTACAACCATTCGACCAACACCTGCCCGGAGTGAGTCATTTTTGAGTGCCTTGAGCCAATTCTCGACCTCTTGTTTGAAAGGGTTAATCAGAGTCAGGCTTACGCCATGAGTGTAGACTGGGTCGAAATGGCGGCGCACCACTCGCCATTCTTCTCCGTGAAGGGCACCAACACATTGACCTAAAACTCTTTTTGAAACCGTAAGCCAAATATGGAATCACTTTTATTAGATAAGAAGATCGAGTATACCGATAGAAATAATCGCCAAAATTTAGGTCTGGGGGTCGATAATGATCTAGAGGAATATTCCAGTCAGCAAGTGCTAAGTGAAAGCGACGGGCAACATACCCTTTGAGTCCTTGCGCAAAAACTCTCGAACATGCTCTGCAGTATGTATCACAACCTCGCGATGTTTTCCATTTCGGAGCACATATGGCTCATCATGAGCCAAACTCTCTCCTTTCTTGGACACTTGTAGTCTGAAAAGGAAAACGTTCCCGTTAAAATCATCGCAATTCAGAGTCTGTGGGCTCCGTTACCTACGGAAGAAATACAATAGCTGCTTTGGATGTTCCACCAACATTCAGCTCTTTCATGGGCACTCCATCCATATCAAAACATTTTAATTTCTGAGGAAACAAAATTTATTAATTGTTCGGCTCAATTATTCGCCCAGCTTTGGCAAGAAAACATATGAGACTCAGGCAGTCTTTACTTACAGATCTGCCGCGCTTCGCGGCAATCATCAGGATGAACGAGAATATTCCAACGGCCCAGATATATGAGGTTGAGAGATATTCAACATTTCTGACGCTACTGAAAAGCCGCAGCAACGTAGCAACGGGTTGAGTTGGTGAATCCATGGCAAAGGTTTAGTACTGGGCTCAAAAAGCGACAATAAGTGCAAATAAAAACGGCGACCATTGGGGATTTGGGATACGTTCCAATATGAACGAGCAGCCCACTGGCAGTTTCTCCGCTAGCTTCAATGGCCAATGCACAGCTCTAACTAAAATTGGATGTCACTAGCGGTTTTGCGATAAAATTCTTCTTGCAGAAATCCTATGGGAGAGCTAGATGGAAAATGTCGGTCCGTGTCCAATCCCGAAATGTACAAAAGTAAGCGGAGATAGTGTTTTCTCCCCGTTGCCACGGGGTTAATACAGAAGCGTCAGACGCTTACCTGATGATTACAGACAGTATCGAACCATTCAGCAGCCAAGATACAGACACCAATGTAAGTACTGATATGTCTCATAAATGATGAAAGTGGGCTAAAAAATTCTATTCCCAAAATTGTAAACCAACATTGTGATATTCTCATACTTTGGACGCGAGAGAAAAAGAGCCCAGATTCGTCGAAATGTTCCTCACAAAATGGAATCTTGAAATCCCAGATTTTAAATTTGAATACGTCCCAAGATGGTCACATTTACTTTATCTCATATTTTTCTTCATCCTCACTAAATCGACAACATCGCGACTCACTCGATCATGGATAGAATGGCGGAACGGCTATGGAAAAATCCCGAGATACCCACAGCTGATCCCGATTATGGGATTCGATATCGCATTATCGATGGCCAAGTCTTTACGCAACCATACATTTTTGCTATGGCTTCGCATGTTGCACGATACGGGACCTGGGAAAGCAAAAACATTCACTATCGACTTTCTGGGCAGACACATGATTCACACTATCGAGCCTGAGAATATGAAAGCTATCTCTGCGACCGTCTGGAAGGATTTTGGCGTCGAGCCACTGCGACGCAGTACGGGAGCAAGTATGCCCTTTGCTGACAAGGGAGTCAACACAACGGATGGCCATGATTGGGCATTTAGCAGATTTCTGATCAAGCCTTATTTCTTGCGTGAGGCTTTCTCCAACACAGATCGTCTGAAGGTCCACACGGACAACCTATTGAGTCTCATTCCTTTGGATGGGTCTACTTTCGACATGCAGACACTCATGCAACGCTGGGTATGCACATCAATTGTTGTATTTTGGATAAAGGGCTAAATTATTGTACAGTTTCTTGACACATCCACAAATTTCCTCTTTGGTGAATCTATGGGTTGTTTGCTATACCCTGAAAGAGCTGAGATTGCTTGGGCAATGACCGATATCTTGCGCGGGTTACGTCTCCGCCTCCAAATGAGCAAATGGCTATGGCTTTTTCGATGGAAAGTCTGGTTCGGTGCGATTGATATTGTTCACGAATTCATCGATCGCCAGGTTGACAAGGCCTACAAGGAGAGAGCTAAAGCATCGAAGGAAGGCGTTTCAAGCGACAAAAACTCTTCATTTGGAGTCGAACTCAAGCCAGAACGAGGAGATCTACTATGGTCAATGGTTGGGAACGTCCCGGAAGACAGGGAGCGATTACGGTCGGAAATGCTGCTTCTATTCGTTCCCAACAATGACACGACCTCTATCTTTATCAGCAACGTATTTTGGAATCTTGCTAGATTTCCTGAAGTTTATGCCAAAGTGAGGGAAGAAGTTCTCTCGATCGGAGAGGATGCTCCCCTGACCTACGAGGCGCTAAGGTCGATGAAATACCTAGACGCCGTACTCAATGAGAGTGAGTAACTACTACCTGATTATAAAATAAAACTAAACATTTTCTAGCCCATCGGCTATACCCGAATGGTATCATGCAGGTTCGCTACTGCATCAAAGACACTTCATTGCCACTTGGTGGTGGTCCAGACGGAAAGTCGCCCATCTATGTTAGGAAGGGTGACGTTGTCCAAGTCAATAAGAATGTCATGCAACGAGATAAAGACATTTGGGGCGAAGACGCGGAAGACTTCGTCCCCGAAAGATGGTTCGGATTACGTCCATATTGGAACTTCGTGCCATTCGGTGGAGGTCCCCGACGTTGTCCCGCACAGCTTCTAGTTACTACAGAGGCCAGCTATGTCATCTCGCGGTTCTGTCGAAAGTTTAAGCTCATTGAAAATCGCGATTCTAAAGGCTATGTTCCTGTCATGAGAGCCGGCCCCGTCAATACTAATGGCGTCAAAATTGCAGTCACACCGGCATAGACAGGTATCTTCTCTTTCGCTTTCTTGGGGCCAGATTTGATGGGAAACGTTCTCCGGTAGCTACACTATTCAGAAGGATCCAGAAAATACTACTATGGTTGATATTGATCTATTTCACCTTATATCATACTACGTATACTCTCCTACAATTATCAATCATTAGAGAAACTCCAATTGGCGCTTTTCATTATTCCGTACTATTATCATTCTAGTACAAGGGTTTAAATGCAATAACTTCATCAAGACTAGCCCAGGACAATTTCATAGCCACATTGTCTTAATGGATAGCTGCCTACCCGACCATAACAGCATCCTTGCGTCGAATATGGAATATGGTATACTTCGGCGTTTACCGGCATCCAGATACGAACTAAAGAAGGCTCCGTGCTCCCCGAAATTAACACCGACGGGGCTGCAGGGCCAATGTAAGCCGAGATGGTTATTGTGGGCCATGTTCTTATCTCCACGAATACGGGGCTGTATTGGAACGCCTATGCTTACCACCGTTTCCAGTATCTGCATGATTTCTCGATTTGACATACTTTACTTCTGTCTCTGCTCTGCTGACAGCTAGTCGCGTTATCGTCCCATACTCCTTCATCAAACATCATGTCACGTATCTTAACCCTTCAAGACGTTGCCCGACACAAAACACAGGATGATGTCTGGCTTGCGATTCATGGGAAGGTATACGACGTGACAAAGTTCTTGGATGAGCATCCGTAAGAGACGATTTCCTTTCTATCGTTAGATCTGGCTAATCTTAAGTAGCGGTGGTGACGAAGTCGTGCTTGATAAAGCAGGTCAAGATGCTACTGCCGAATTCGATGACGTGGGACATAGCGAAGAGGCATGGGAGGCACTGGAGCCATTACTGATTGGAAGGCTAAAAGAAACGGTAATCACGACTGGGCGTTTGGAAATTTTATCTTCGTCGAAATTGAACAATCACTAATCACTCGCAAATCTATCTAGGATGGGGTCACTACGCAAACCTCCCTGCCCACGAAACCTAAAGATTCGACGACAACGGCCACGCGGAGAATTTCTAGACCAGTGAAAATTTTGGTATATTTTGGAGGCTTTGTTGGAGGTCTACTAGCAATTGGCCTGTATATCAACTTTACGACAAGTTTGAGTTTTGAAAGCGCCTGAGCGGGTTGGCTATGGCTAGAAATATTTGCTATTTGAGAGAGGGGAATATTCTCTTTTAACCTTGAAACCTTGGAAGTTGATGAACGGCTTGAAAGTTTCGAACATACACTAAATGTTACTAGTAGATCAATGCATCGAGTTTGACGAGAATAAAAAACATCATCCTCCATGGCTGTCTACCTCTCAGTCAAGGTCAAATCAAACACTACTCTCGCCCGGGCGGTTGCGATCGGCAATCCTACTACCTTGGATCCGGAAAACCTTCGGTGATGAACCAGATTATTTCTCTTTCTGACGCATATCATTCATTACTTGGACAGTCGATTGATTTTTCTAGGCGTATACAATACAAGACCAGCGGGTCAAATGATTGTTCAGTCTTCTCTCGGTCTTTAATCTACAGTCGTTACCTGCTTCAAGTGTCTTCTTTGTTAACTATATTGAAATAAATTAAGCTTGCGAACAGAGAAAAACAAGTTAATCCCCGGGGCCTTAAGATGCGAACTCTCAGACTAATAGTTTGGCCGCTTAGGGTCGACAAGGTTTCACTTCTCGTGCCCGGGGCAAATCACGGACGTCTTCCGATAGCAGTTCTTCTTCTCTCCTAGAGCCCCTGTCAGAAGTGGATCAGTCGTCACAATAGAGCCCACTGGCGCGTCTTATGGTAGTATGTCAACTTTTCCCCGGATATCAATCGTAGAAAAGTTGTGATCGACAAGAAAGTTCTGTGCGCAAAACGTTCCACCGTCATTTTGCCTATTTGGATCAAACTTTCATCGTCCATTTTTCGATACTTTCAAGGTTCTTGACGCTTCGGACTTGTTTTCTTCCTGTTTCAGAGCGATCTACATGATGGGGTCCTCCGGGATAACCCACCCTCTTTTGCAGCTAAATATGAAACACTCCCTTTCTCCACAGCAATATACTAGTATGCCGATCAGTAGCATGTTCCGGCAGATAACTAAGTTTTGACAGAAAGTCGTTGTCTCAGTCCAATACTTTAAGGTTCTGAGGTCCCCGTGGGAAGCCGTCAATCCTTGCTCGATCTTATTAAAAGATGCCCCCGTCCAAGTACAGTTCGAACACTCATCGCTCTCTTCTTGGGCCATTATACACAATGCAGTTAATCGCTTTTATTCTCTCCTTTTCTGCTGCCGCGACAGCTTTCGTTCACCCTGGAGCACTTCATACCACCAAAGACTTCGAACGTATCAACAGTCATGTGGCCAACGCCGAAGAGCCATGGAACACGACCTGGACATTGTTGACAGCAAGCTCCTACGCACAGGCATCGTACCAGCCCAATCCACAGGAAATTGTCTATCGTGGCGCGAATGGCGTGGATTCAGAAAATTACCAATATCTCTATCGTGATGCAGCAGCCGCCTACCAGCTTGCGCTCCGCTGGAAAATCTCCAACGACACAAGTTTTGCCGATGCTGCAGTCAATATCCTCAGTTCTTGGGCAGGAAAATTGACATCTATTGGTGGAACTAGCGACAAATTTCTGGCTTCCGGTCTATATGGGTACGAGATGGCCAATGCCGCCGAACTCATGTCGGATTACTCGGGCTGGGATAGTGGCAACAAGACAGCGACGGGAAGCATGCTCACCAATGTGTTTGCTCCCATGAACACGATCTTCCTCGAGGATCATAATGGCCAAGACTACTTTCACTACTATGCCAATTGGGATCTGTGCAATCTTGCCTCGCTGATCGCTATTGGCATATTCACCGATAATGAAACCATGTATAAGAATGCCGTGAACTATGTTCGGACGGGCCCTTCAAATGGCGCCTTGCCTATATTCGCGATCGCCAACTATACCGAGTCTGGGTCTGGCAAGACTTTGGCCCAGGGCCAGGAAGCTGGCCGGGATCAGGGTCACTCTACGCTAGATGCCGTGCTTTTTGGAGTTGTTGCGCAGCAAGCATACAATCAAGGCGATGATCTGTTTGCAGAGTACAGCAATGAAATCCTCAATGCGTGAGTTCAGCCCATTCAACCCTCTAGGTCTGTTTATACTGATTGATCGAGATAGTGCCGAGTATATTGGGAAGTATAACGTCGGTCAAGATGTTCCATACACTGCATACAACAGTTACCAGGGTAATCAGACAGTTATTTCAAACAACTCACGTGGAACTGTTCGTCCCGGCTTTGAGTTGTTGTCCGCGCACTATGGACAGCTGAAGGGATTGAATTCATCGTGGACTGACGCTTATCGAGACTGGGTGAATGTCAACTCTACAAGTGGCGTGGAAGGTGGAGGCGGAAACTATGGAACAACATCCGGCGGTTTTGATGGACTTGGTTTTGGCACTTTGTTGTATCGTATTTCCTAGATAATGATGAATTTAATTTGCCGGGCAGAGGTCAAGTCGGGATTTGTTTTCTCGGTGGGAACAGCTAACTGTAGGCTACTGCGGTTGATGCTAAAATCACCAGTCTTGAAGAAACTTGACAATTCGTGAATCGTAATGTTCATTGAGAGCAAATTGGTATCCTAAATGCATTGCAGAACAAGATCGATGATGGAAAAGAACGCATCTCTATCCGCGCCTGAGTTGGGGCCGAGACCAAGGCCGACAACCAGAAGTCGCTTTTCGGCGGGGGATTTAGTTGCGATTGCAGTGCCAACTTGTCGAGCAACCAGCTGACCGATTGTATCCTGACCAGACGCATGGCCACCCAGAAGAGATGTTGCTGTCAACCCGCTGAGGGGCAGTAGGCTGTCATCCGTGCCCTCGGAGATAGTGTGCATACCATCGGTGCCAGGATTTGGGTTTCCAAGTGGCACATGTAGCTATTCTCAGGTCAGCAGATTTCTTCACCTGCGCTTCAGCAAGACAAACCCAATGTGCGAGTCGGCCTTGTTGCGAGATGGTGACCATGATCTTATCGCTAAAGTTCATGACCATGACATCCGTCTTGACACCATCCACCAGGCCGGCTGCCTGTTTTGTAGCCGCGGGAAATGGCAGATTCAAGTTCAGCGATTGCTGCAATACATCGTCCAAAGTCGCCATGTTTGATGTTGGTACATTCGAGCATTTGCATTGCGGCGCCGCATGTTGATGTTGAAGGGCGGTCAGCAGATCCCCACAATCAATTGCGGGCAGAAATTACACCGCCTCCTAAATGTCCGACATTTTTTTCTCCCGCGTTCAACTCGGCGACTGAACAATTCAAGCCTCTTGGTTTTTCTGCATCTGTTGAGAGGCAGGATCTTTCAAGATGCCCAAATTCGTCCCCCGTCAGCGAAAGCAAAAGCACCGGCGTCAGGAGCCCACTGAATCGATCGACACCAACGCTGCGGAGCTAGCGCCCGTCTCGAAAGATGAAAAAGAGGCTCGGAGAGAGAAGCTGCGTGAGGAGCTTCGAGATCAGCATACCAATGTCTCGTCAAAGAAGCAGAAGCGCTTAGATAAATATATTGTGCGTGCAACAGCTATGGGATTCGCAGGCAAGATGCTAACATTACACTCAGGAAAACAAACTCAAGAAAGAAGAGAATATCGAACTCCTCAAGAAACTCGCCCAGTCGAAATCTGATAACAGCGGTCTGAAAAGCTTTAGAGATCTGGGTGGTAAGCGGAAGCGTCTAGAGGACGATGGCGTCGCCGAACCTGTTGTTGCAGTGCAACCACGAAACACATCTGCTCCAGATCAATCAGGATACGAGACAGACGACTCTGATCGCGATCTGAAAGCATCCGACCCTGCTACAGATCCCGAGCCGGCCCCCAAACCCCAGGCAGCTGTTGGAAGCGGATTGAAACGCCCTCTCGAGCTCGGACCTGACGGCTTCCCAATCCTCAAAAAGCGGAAACGCGCTGCTAAGCCAGCTCCGAAGCTGGCCAGCGTGCAGGAACCTTCTTGGGAGGGATTCGGGTCAGGCGAGGAAGATTCGGCCGACGAAGATGAAGATGCAGAGGATTCCGATGACTCTGGAAGCGACATTGAGGAGGATTCAGAGGGTGGAGACGAGGATGAGGATGATGAGGATGACTCTTCTGAAGGCTCCTCCGAGGGATCTGAGGACGAGGACGAGGACGAAGATTCGGAAGAGGATTCAGAGGACGAGACCGAGGATGCTCCCCGCAAAATCAAAACAAGACAATCCGCCTTCAAATCTTGGGCCACGCAACAAATCAACGAAGCCATAGGCTTCAAACCAGAGGAACCCACGATCAACGATTATGCACAGCAGCAGGCATTTGCTCCTCCCACGAAGGAAGCAAGGAACACTGTCTACGAGGAGGAGCCCCTTCCTGAGGAACTCAAAGTCACCAAGGGTGATCCCTACCGCAAGGCTTTCAGTGTTCCTGTTGATCGCTCTGAAGAGATTCAAAATGCACGTCTGGGCCTTCCGGTTGTTGGTGAAGAGCAGAAGATCATGGAGGCAATCCACAACAACTCAACCATCGTGATCTGGGGTGCCACTGGTAGCGGAAAGACCACTCAGCTGCCTCAATTCCTATTCGAATCCGGATACGGCAATCCTAATAGCCCCAACCCAGGCTTGATTGGCATTACTCAACCTCGCCGAGTAGCGGCCGTGAGTATGGCGAACCGTGTGGCCCAGGAACTTGGCCAGTATTCTGATCAGGTCTCCTACCAAATTCGATTCGAATCCACGACTTCCAAGAAGACCGCCATCAAGTTCATGACTGATGGTATTCTTCTTCGCGAGATTGCAGATGATTTTGCTCTCCGCAAGTATTCCGTCATTATCATCGACGAGGCGCACGAGCGGAGTGTCAACACCGATATTCTCATCGGAATGGTCAGTCGTATCGTGGACTTGCGCAAGTCGCTTATGGCGGAAGACCCGACAGTCACCCCGCTGAAGATCGTCATCATGTCTGCTACCCTGCGCATTTCTGATTTCACACAAAATGCAGCCCTTTTCCGACAAGGACCACCTCCATTGGTTCAAGCAGAGGGCCGTCAGTACCCTGTCACCACCCACTTTTCCCGTCGTACGCACCGTGATTACGTCGAAGAAGCATTCCGCAAGGTCTCGCGAGGTCACCGCAAGCTGCCACCAGGTGGAATGCTTGTGTTTTTGACTGGACAAAACGAGATCCGACAACTCTCCAAGCAGCTGAAGCAAGCATTTAGACCTACACAGCGAGCAGACACGACCCAGGCACGGGTGCAGATTACAGCAAACGATGCGCCTCTGGAAGCAGAAGATCTGGAGCTCGGTGGAACAGAGATGAACAATGTTGGCGATGATGATGACAGTGATGTAGAAATTACTGGTTTGGACGAGCCAGAAGATGATGACGAAGGATTTGACTTGGGCGAGGATGCCATGGATTCATCTACACGTGTCCATGTTCTGCCCTTGTACTCACAGCTTCCCACAAAGGAACAAATGAAGGTCTTCGAGGCACCACCAGAAGACTCTCGACTCATCATCTTGGCTACCAATGTTGCCGAAACTTCTCTGACGATCCCTGGAATCAAGTACGTCTTCGACTGTGGTCGTGCAAAGGAGAAACAGTACGATCTGTTTACCGGTGTTCAGAGCTTCCAGATTGGATGGATCAGTAAAGCCAGTGCGAATCAAAGAGCCGGTCGAGCCGGTCGTACTGGACCGGGACACTGCTACCGGATGTATTCGTCGGCTGTCTTTGAAAACGATTTCGACGAGTACACCGACCCCGAGATCCTTCGCACCCCGATCGAAGGTGTTGTCCTTCAAATGAAGAGCATGGGCCTGCACAACGTGATCAACTTCCCCTTTCCCACCCCTCCAAGTCGCCAGGGACTCGCCAAAGCAGAGAAACTGCTAAAGCACCTCGGTGCCCTCTCTGCCGAAGGCCAGGTCACGCAAATTGGTCGCCGTCTTTCCACCTACCCCCTCTCCCCACGATTCGGCAAGATGCTCTATATCGGACACCAGCACGGCTGCATGCCCTACGTTATTGCACTAGTCGCTGCGCTGGCCGTTGGCGATCTCTTCGTTTCAGAAGCCCAAGTGAACCCCATCGACACCAAGCCGCAGCAGAAGAAGAACGACGACAGCGATAGTGACAGCGACGAGGATGATAGAAGGGTATACACCAATGCAGACCGACTCGAAGACACAGAGCGCGAGCAAAAGGCAAAGGACTGGGCCCGCGTGCACCGCCTCCTCAGCAAGCACGACGAAACCTCCGATGCACTGAAATACCTCTCAGCAATCTGCGCCTACGCCTACGCCTCCGACGGCGAAGCCTTCAGCGAGCAGATGTTCCTCCGCGCAAAGGCGTTCAAGGAAGCAACTCAACTCCGCCGCCAACTGACCGACATCGTGCGCTCCAATAACCCAGGCCTGATCGGCGCCTATGAAGCAAAACTCCCTGAACCCTCTGTCAAGCAGATCAAGGCTTTGAAGCAGATCGTCACGGCCGGTTTCATCGATAACGTCGCCATTCGCGCGGACATGGCGCCCGTTCCTCCTGAGAACCCGCGCGCTCCTCGCCGCGCTATCGACGTCCCTTACCTCACTCTCTTCCGCTCGCGCGATGGACACGCTGATGATATCTCCGAGCGTGCCGTCTTCGTCCATCCTACCTCGATGTTGGCGAAACTCACGCCCAAGGAGATGCCGCAGTATATCATTTTCTCGCATCTGCAGCAGTCGTCCGCATCTCTGGTCTCGGATCAAGTTCCCAAGATCAGAATGTTCCCCCTCGTTGTGCCCAGTGGACCGCAGCTTGCTGCCATTGCGCACGACACCCCGCTGCTCCAGTACGGAAAGCCGGTTGGCAAGACGCAGGTTTTGGAGGGTATTCCTGTGCGTCGCTCGGCTTGGGTTGTGCCTTCGCTGGTTGGTGATGCGGGTGGTACGGGTTGGCCTTTGCCTGCTAAGAAGGTTGTGCAAAAGAAGGATCCCCGGGAGGGATGGGTAATTGAAAAGTTTGTGGCATGAGATTTTGGTTTGGTTTCTCGTGTCTTTGTATAGATGAGGTTATGATATCCAATTGAGTATAGTTGCATGTGTGCAATATCAATTTCCAAACATTCTACCAGTATGATTTAGTAGTCAGTGAAGCTTGATTGGGGCTGGTCCAGGAAAGAGATCAATCGGCCTACATGATCCGAGTCTTCTCTGGCAATATCAAGCATTCCAAGGTTGACTCGGACCTCGGGAGTGTTGATGAAAAAAGTAGAACCCAAGCCAAACCTGTAAGTAGTCACGGTACCTGGGTTTTCCGTCAAGTTCACGTCAACTTTTCACTTAGGAGCCCTAGAGCGAGTAGACTCCCTGAAGAATAGAGGTATTCACAGCATAAATTTCCAACAGAACTAGTGACACCTCCGAATCAATTACTCGCACAGTTCAGTTCAGCGCAACATGATCTTCGAAACCTCGGAAATACATAATCATCATAAGTACTACTAGTAGTAACCATATGCAACCCAAACGCCATAAAACACCAACCTCAAACAAGAAAAGAACAAGCATAAAACAACAACTAATCCCTCTCCCTCTCCCTCCTCCTCTCCCTCGTACTACTAATCTCCCCAGTCTCCCGATCCTCCCTAATCCCAAACGCCCTCCTCAACCTCTCACTCTCCTCAATCTTTGCCTCGGCAAGCTCATGAACCTGATAAGCCTTAAGATTCCTGCGATCCCGCGCTCCGTTCTTCCCTCCGCCACCACCGGCACTCCCACCCTCCATCTCCTTCAAAAGCTTAGCACGTAGCACCTCACACCTCGCATCAATCTCCTCCTCAGAAAGAACCCTCTCCTCAGACTCATCATCCTGCTCACCCTCCTCCTTCTCCGCTTTCTTCACAACCTTCCCCTTCCCCTTGCCCTTCTTGGCAACCTCCTCCTCAATCCGCTCATTCTCCTCCTCCAGCCTCTCACGCTCCTCCATAACCCGCACCTCAACAGCCCGCAACCGATCATGCTCAAGAATCTTCTTATCGGGAACACGCTGCTTAAACGCGCGCTCGGCGTAATTGTTCGCGCCTGTGAGGGGTGGGTATGGTGCGCCGGAACCGGCATTGCGCGGTTTCATGAAGGCGCTGTTCCGTTGGACGTAGCCTGATGTTCCGCTGCCGCGGGGTGTGGTTAGGCCGACGTTTGAGGACATTTTGTTGGTTGTGTGGTGAGGTGGAGGTTTGTGACGCAGTGTAGTGTAGGGTATGTGGAGGGAGGGTTTGTTTTGGTTTCGAATCGATGCGCGGGGTTTTTCTGCGCTTTGCTGCCTCAGTCGTGGGTGTGCGTCAGGACCGGCCTGCAGATTTAATGTAGCTTGAGCCGTGGTGGGAACTGGTAGACGGAGGCTTGAGCCAGCTTTGGGAATTTACCTTGGGCGGGTCCGATCTTTGCCATCTTATCAGTCACGTGAGTGTGTACCATTATGTGGGATAGCCAGGGAGACGTCTACGTTAGTGATGGAGGAATTTCATGCTTGAGAGAGTATATTTGATTTATTTTATTTGCAATTTACGATATGGTATGGATAATTAAGAGCAAGAGGTTGCGTGTGCAGTAGTTAAGAGGGGTGGTATCGTATCCAGTAATACATTAGCCAGAAAGCAAGAGATATCAACATCGACAGACGGAGATCTGATCCAGGGAAAACGAGTAGACACTTGTTCCATTAACGAAGTGACACTGTCTACCGAAGCAAACCCGCATCCGATATGATATACGTAGCATCATCTTTCTTAAAGATAGAAAGGAAGGAAATGAAAGGAATGGAAAGGAAAAGAGAGATGGGGAGCTCGAGCTCGAGGTAGCCTGAAGGCATGTCTCGGCCCCGTATGTAGCCTAGCCAAGCCAAGCCAAGCCACTCCCACTTATTGGCAAGACGAGAAAAGGAAAGAAGCGAGACAATATCAGGAAACAAGGTATGAAATAATAGTCGAGTAAATAGTAAGAAGACGGTAGAGGAAAGGGGGGGTAAGCACCACGCCATGCAAAAAGAAGTTTGTCTCTCCCATATTTCCATTTTTTCCGCGAGGGGGGAAATTTCTCTCATGTCATATGCCGAAGATTGCGAAGAATAGTAAAAAAAAAAAAGCGAAGTAATTGCCGTTCCATTTCCCGTTTCCTTTCTCTCCCTTTCGCGCGTCGTGTTCCCGGCTGAGTGAGGGGGGAGCCACAAAAAAAGAATAAAAAACAGAGACAATCATAAGATAAGAACATGAAAAAAATAAACAGGAGAAAGGGAAAAGAGCAAAACACACGTCCGAGATCAGCACTAGAGGGAGAGAGAAAGGGAAGGAAAGAAGGAAAAATGATAAGATAAAAAAAATGAGGCCCTGTCTTTGCGCCGTCAAGCCATGGAATAAAATGGGGAAACACATTGACGTTTTGAGTAACTTCATATATCCGGTCCGAGTCCCCCTGTATGTATACGCCCATATTAGATAAAGAAGAGGCATGAGAATGACTCGGTTTTTCAGATCAGCATTAAAAAACAGAATTATGTGGGCAAGCAAAGGTGAAGTAAGTGTGCAACGAATTAGTGAGCACTGGTGACATCGACCGGGACCGCAACACCGGTGTTGCCTGTCTCGGGACTGGAAACCGAAGTCACCGTGCTGTGAGCAAGCCCCTTCGACTCAAGGGAGTCGTCAACGGTATTCTGGTTGTCCGTTGGGGTGGAGTTGGTGGGGCGGTACCGACAAAGGCCCGCGGCTGCTCCATGGGAATTGAGCGCTTGGATGGCTGAGGAGAGGATTTGTGAGAGTTGGGGGGAGTCGTCGAGGTGGTGTGGGGGAGCGGGCCGGTGGCCGGGTTGTTGGGGTCGAAGATGAGCTTCTCGATCGCGACTATCTGCTTGCCATAGCTGAACTTCTTAAGTTGGCTCAGTAGGGGCTTAATCTGGTCGATGAGGGCTTCGCGCTCGGCACCCTTGAGTTGACCAAGGACCTTCTGGATGACATAGTTGCCATATTGGTCACGCATCAAGCCAAGCAGAGGGCTTTCGCCGTTGCGGTCGGGCGACGAGGTAAGCGTTGAAATGATGTGGTGACGCTGGCTCTCCTCGCCGAACTCAATACTCTTCTCAACGACGTTGCTAGCGAACTTGTGCTTGGAGTAGGCCATCAGCTGGCCCATGACAATGACGATCATGCGGTTGCGGTCCTTCTCATCGCCGTTCTCAATGACATGTTGGATGACATAGTTGCCGAACTGGTCCGGAATGAGGGCAGTTGTGCAAGCGTGCAGTTCACCAAGGATGGACTCTCGGTCAACTTCCTCGCAATGCTCGAGCATTCTCTGGATAACACGGCAGCCGTAGGGGTGAGCCGCAAGTCGGTTCACCTGGCCGCGGAATGCGTTGATGATGAACTGCACATAGTGAGATGGGACACGCTCAATGGCTTTCTGGATGACATGGTTGCCGTTTTGGTCTCGGACACACTTGAGAACATGGTTCTCAAGCTCCTTCACCATGATCGCTTGTTGATCAGTCAGGATGTGTTCCAGTGCCTTTTGAACGACACGGCATCCGTACATCTGGGTCGACAGAGCGAGAACGTGGCCGCGCATCTGGTTAGCCAGAATCTTCTTCTGGGTCTGATTGCCGTGCTCGAACAGTTTCTGCACCACGTAGTTACCAAACACATCGGTCATCAACTGCAAGCAATTGGGCTGGATCTCGCGGAAGACTTGCTCCTTCTCGTCGCTGTTGGCAGTTTCGAGCTTTTGCTGAATGAAGCGCGAGCCATGCTGGTCACCGCTGAACTCAACAACATGATTGTAGATGTCTTTGAGTTCGTATCGCTTGTTTCCCTTGCTGTTCGCGCGGAATTCCTCTAGCAGAGGGCTGCGAACCACCTGTGTGGGGTCGTGCTCACGGTGCGAACGGTTGACCATAGCAGCAGCACCAAGACCAAGGGCAGGCATCGTGTAGTAACCTTGGATCGCGTTGAGACGAGCCGCCTGGTATCCCTGGTAATCGTACGAAGGGGGCATCTGCATCCGCTGCATGCCATTGCCCTGACTCTGTGCGAGCTCTTCCTGCTGGAGTCGCATGCGACGCTCGAAGGCCGCAATTTGGCTTTCACCAACGCGGCCACCAGAGTTGCGGTACTGAGCACCATCGACACCAGCGTAAATCGGGCTGTCCATTCGAGCGTACTCCGAGGGAGAGATGGAGCCGGTCTCCCCACCACGGGAGCGTGAGTAGATCATGTCCGGAGCACCATCAGTGGCGTATGCTGCCATTGTGTGGTAGGCGGCTTCATCACTGTTCTGGAACTTGCGAGGAAGGGATCCATCGAAGGAAGCGTGGGGAATGTACGCAGGACGTTGGGCCGCACTCTGACCAGCATATCCTCCGTCGTTCAGCTGTAGATTGTTCAAGCCCGCGTTGAGATCCACCGTGCCACCAGCATAGCGACCGTCGATGCTGTTGTTGTCAGAGTAGAAGGAAGGTCGTGCAGCGTGAACAGGACGTTGTGAAGCGTATGAAGCGGAGTTGGAAGAGATGTGGGAGAGTCCAGTACGCGTCTGAGGGGGAGACATGCTGTCGGGCAGACCTGAGAGAGAGGACATGTTCATGGGGGTAGCGAGATCATCCTGGCGTTGTCCATCCATCGGGTGGGAAAAGCCAGCCTTCGTAGGGAAGGTAGCACCAACGGGACTTCCGCCCAGACCAGTCGTGCTCATCTGTCGTCGCCCATCACCATTGCGAAGGGCTGGAAATCCACCGAATTGAAGGCCATCTCCGGATGGAGAAACACTCTCAGAGCCCCCGTTGTTCAAGTAAGGTCGGTGGCTGACTGTGCCGGCAGAAGTTCCGATGCCAGTAGTGCGCGGCAGCGCGAAATATGAAGAAGCCGAGTCGCCATTGTTGTTCAGAGCCGGGGCACTGCGGTCGTTCGCACGAGTCTCGATCGGAGAGGTTGCCATGCTTCGGTTCTGGCCCATCGCCAGGGATGAGGTGTTCACGGTACTCCAAGGCAGGTTAGGGCGTCCCACCCAGCCATCAGATTCGGATGACGATAGGAGGGAGCCAGAGCCCGACTTTCCTTCAAACGCGGTCTCGCTAATGTGTTGATCTAGAGCGATGGATGGGTTAGTATTGAGCTCCCATACAACGCGTCGAGATCAATTCCACTTACCATCTGCAAATCCACCTCCGAGATTGGAGTCGCCCCAGATGTTGTTCTGCCAGCTGGACTTGCCAGCACCGAAACTCTTCCCCGCATTGTTGCCATGAGAGCCGCGTGCGCGGTCATTGTTCATCGCAGATGAATTCATGTTGGATCGGCCGGAGCGGACCTGTAGGCTCTGCGTCAGTGGCGTGTCCGATCGCTGCTGCTGTGTCTGCAGCTCCTCGCGACCTGTCCCACTCACGTTGTGTACGCTGCTTGCATTGGCAGCCATCGTAGAAGCCATTCCAGAGAGCGATCGACGGGAGTGAAGGTGTTCAGATTATGTACTCGAACGTGTGGGCGAAAAAAGGTATTTGCAGGGAGGTCGAGGTGTCGATACTAAATCACAAGGCCGAACAACCGATTTGTCGGCCAGTTATTTTCAGCGGGCACCAGGCACCAGAAACGGGCGTACACGAAGGAATATAAGACTGTTGATGGATGAAGACCCTTGTTAGCAAAAGGAGCTATGGCAAGTGAAGGAGCTGATAGGGCGAGGGGGAGAACGAGGTGAAGACGTGGGGAGGAAGCTCAGGTCAGGTCAGGTCAGGTACTCACCAAAGGAGGGGACGAAGGGATCGACCGAAGCGACAACAGGTTGACAGTGCCTTTTCTTCGATGAGTAAGTTCCCGGGGATAGCAAAGGAAGGTCGAAAGGGAGTGTGAAGGTGGTTGTTTTTTTTGGTTTCGATCTTTTTTTTTAGCAGCCACCGATCCAGGACATGTACAGATAATACAGGATCAGAGAATGGGGAAGGAGAAGTTGTAGAAGGGAGCACCGTCAAGGTCTGAAATGCGGAGGAAGGAAGACGAAGATAAATCGAAGCAAGGCGACAAAGAATTGGAAGGATGGGAAAATCTCCCCTTCGTTTGTCGCTGCAGGGCCCGGTTGGTAGCCGGGAGATCAGAATTGAGGGAGGCGCCGCAACGTTACTCTGCTCCGTGCATGCTCCAGGAATCTCCCAGTTTGCAGATCGTCCTCATGTGCCCTGGAGAAGACGATTCCCGAGAATGGCAGAGCGTTAGGACCCTGGAAAGATTCGCGCAAGGGGGGGGATGGTGGATGGTAGGAGGGGATGGAGGAGAGGGAGGAGTTGTGGAGGTGGTGTGGTTGAAGGCGAGGGCGAAGAGGGGGGCGAGATTCGGTGCCGATAGGATAAAATAGTGGAATGCGCTTCGTTGCGCAAAGGAGAGAGTATTTTTTTAGTGGGTCAAGTCTGATGGGAATGTGGGCGAGAGACAAAGCACGGCATTAAATGTAGTCCAGCTGTCACACAGGCGCCAGCATGACAAGCTGTTGCGAGGAGTTTTTTTGGGGGATTCTTTTTTTTAGGAGAGCGAAGTAGGTGAGATGGGAAACAATTCACAAAGGTACGTGAAGAGAAATGAAAAAAGAGAAGAAAAAACGAGAAGAAAAAAAGGTAGAAACAAAAGTAAGAAAGAAGGGAAAGAACCAGGTGAAAAGTGAACAAAAGTGATAGATAAGGTGTGAGTGAAAAATGATGCTGGAGATCTGCCGCTTGGGTATTTGTACGGTATTGTATATACTGTATGTTACTGCAGCCTGGGCCTGTGTAATTGTAAAGATACCATGTACATACAGTACTTGTAATATACTCGATCGCCAGATCTCTCTGGCTCTCCCGGCGCTTCTTTTTAGTGCCATCCACTTACCAACCTTGACAACCTTGACTGTCCAGAACTGTCCAGAACTGCCAACTCAACCTTGACTTCCTAAAGTACATCCCCACTCTCGGAGATTTCACAAGGCACCGGGCCTGACCGCCAGATCATCCACGGTCTGCATAAACAAAATCATCCATCCCGTCCCTGGAACCAAGCCACGACTGTTCTTCATCGGGCTGTCCGGCCAATATGCACGGGAAAGGTTGAAGTCACCATTCGGACAACAGTTCCTATCCACACTCGAAATCAAAAAGATCCATGGGATTCCGTATTCCATTACATCTCGAACTCCTGGCATGTTTCCACCCCAAGGTCGACGCCCCAAGGGTCAGAGCATACCGATAAAGTCGGGGTCGTAAGACAAAGAGCAGTTCCCATTTTGGTATATCCGCCATTCTCACCCCGTTCACTCGGTACTCCTTAGTTCACTTCGAAGTATTATAATTATTATTATGTATTATTATTGTTATGAATTGCCTCCTCTGTCTGCTATTTACCATCTGCGAGGGATGGAACCCAAATCAGAACGATCAACCGCATTGCGACAGGATTTAACCAGTCCGATCGCATCAGGGGCCCACTTGGTCACGGCCCTAGTTAGAGTCCGAGCAAGGCATAAGGTACACCAAGCTTGTCTTGTTGACGGCTAACCCCATGAGTTTATCGTCTCTTTCACATTTCCTGGTTCTAGACTTTTGATCCGGTTCGAGGCGGAAGATGAGCATTTGATTTTTTGATGTACATACACTCTCTGTGCGAAGTATCTTAATAATAACAATAATCAATATTATCATTATTATTATTATTACCATTACAATTATGATTATATGTCATTTCTCGTACCAGCCAAGGACCGCCACCTTCCGACCTGTGGATTGCCTGCCATTCCAGGCCATTCGCCCTCTCGTTGGCGGAGGTACTTTCTCCGGTCAGGAACTCAATGGGTAGAGACAGCCTCGGACAAGACAGGGCTGATTGACTGATTGACTCATGGATCGACGGTTCGTTGTGAAATGATCGACTCGGCAGTTTTATCCCTAGAAACCCCCCGAGTCCGTTAGGCCCTTCTAGTCTACTGTAGCTCATTCTCATTCAGTCCCTAGCACTGTCTCTAGAACTAAAGACAGACAATAAAAATAAATAGTCTAACCCTGGAGTTGGGTCGAGATAACTAGCCTAGTCTGAGTTCCTTTCCTCCGTGCTTGTCTCACAAATAGTGCGCTCAGTCGCGACGGTGTGCGCCGGTGCCGCGCTTTAGGGCCCGGAGCCAATCGAGCTAGTAAATGTTCCCATCGAACCCCTTGCTTCGACGTCGTCACACTGATCCTTGGATCCAAGAGACCTAGTACAGTACAGAGTACGTCCCCCCCCTCTCCTCCTTCTACGCCTGCACTCCACTCCTCTCCACTCCACCCCCTCCTCGGCTCGGAAGAATAACTTGACCTGGATGAACCACAGCCAGAGGCGTCCGAGCTCATCCGCGGAGACACTGCTACTCGCGCTATCTAGATAGTAGAGGCGATCTGGGGGGAAAAAAACACTAGGAAATCCGTAGGAAAAGGAAAAGGAAAACCTGGCCAGCAGCAGACAAGATTGAAAAGAGACCGAGACATAGAATCTAATCCAATCCAATACAAACTAAATCAGTCATACAACCGCAGCAAGAGCAAGGATCCGGACCTGCGGATCCTTGCACAAAAGTCACACAGTCTGCTATGTACTCTGTCGCCTGGGCGCCGAAGGAATTCTTCATCTTCCCCGGATCTTTTGGCGGGATCATCCGTAGAGAAGAGGGCCGTGACATTGACTATGACTGACTACAGTAGGAAGACTCTGCATACACTACCTTAGGTACTCCGTATGCCGCAGGATCTTCTTCTTCCTCTTCTTCTAGTCTCTTCTCTGCCTTGCCTTGCATCGTATCCGATTGCCGCAGGCGGAGGATCAGGCCAGACCAGCGCGACCGCTCTTTCGTCAAAGCGCTGTAGCTAGCTATATGCAGGGTAGCCAAGAGAGGTTTTTTCCCCGACGATACGTATAAATACAAAGCGCCAGGTCCAGATTTCCGGGACTTGACAGCTGCCTTCTTTTTTTCTTTTTTCTTTCCTTCTGGGACTTTTGCTGCACGGCAAGCAAATGGGGTCTAGGTCTGCCTCGGTCTGAGTCTCCACTGAGGGGAACTTGGCTTGGATCGAATCGAATGTTCGATGTATCGATTTAAATATTCGTGTTTAGCTGTACATACTTCATGGGAGTGCGCCCGCACTGATACTTGTGTCGGTTTCTGGCTGGCGTTCGGAGTAATGTCTGTGTTGTGTCTGCACAATGGGCCATGCTGTTGGCGCGTGGTTTGGTTTACAACGTGTCAAGGACTGGTTGTGTTTGCGATGGCGTTGGTCTTGGTCTTGGCGAGATGCTGATTTTCTTTTGGCTGTGGCGAGATCATGATGGGGTGGTCTGATCTAGCCACGGATAGTCGATTCAGGCCAGGTTTTGTAGGATGGGATTTGGGCAGATGCTAGTGGTCTGCCACCCGGTTCGGTGGGCTGAAGGGTTTTGGTCCTCTGGGGATTTATATACCGTAGTTCGTACTAGTAGCGGTGCTCGAGTCTATTGGTCTGGTGAGAAATTTAGTGTCCGAAAGCTTAGATGTTTGACGGGCCCGGCGGGTTAGCAATTTCCGCCGTTTGAATTAAGCCACCCACCAGGGAGACTGGTTCACCTCTATACATACTACTAGTATATACATACACAGATATTTACCTAGCAGGCCTAATCCTAATCCCATGGTTTTATTCGGATCCATGGATACTACTAGTAGTAGTATTTCGACAAAATTCAAGTTGAATGCAGACCACGTATGTAGCAGATATATAGCTCAAGCTACTACCAGGAACACACCCTTGGAGGCTGCACACCTGGGCAACTGGGCATGTTCAAGTTGTTGCGTGAACCCTACACGAGAACTCTATCGGGATCCACCTTGTCACCAGTTCGGCGTTTTTACGATTGAATGGAATATATCCGATATTCGAAGTTGGTCTACGGTCTATCCATGAATGGTACCAGCCCGTGTCGGGGGGTATCCTCGAATATACCGTGACCAGGCTGGGTCACGGTGATACTCCAGGGCTGGTAGTCTGATATATACTTCTACCCAGTTAGGGCTTGGCAAGTTGCTCCAAGTTCGTTGAACTTGAAGCTACTACTACTTCTAAGTACTATTAGTATGGGCATTTCATAAACTCGGATTTCCAAGGTTGGTCTAGCTTGAGGCAGACACTACATAGGTAGAAACATATAACTATATCTGCCTCTAGGACACCTAGTACCTACTACTGTACCCCAGAAGTAGGCCACCTACCTAGGTAGCCAGTGATTCAGGATGGACCTCGGCGGCCTTTACGACCTCGTCTAAAGATTTGATACCTAGTAGGTAGGTAGTACTAGGTACTAGTATGGATTCCAAGGTTATACTAGTAGTATCAAGCTCCTACTCATAATTAACACCAACTCTTTATTGCCTAGTACTACTAGTAGGTATGCACTTTAGTTCCATGTCCATCTTCTCTCCAAGTCTGAGTATATTTACTATGCATAATTTCTCTCCCCAGGTTTGCATATAGTCAACCGGCATGGGCCTGCTCACATGGATATTGAATTGAGTCCTTGCCTCACATTAATAACATAGCGATACTAGGTGCCCAGGTGCATAAATCAATTTCCTTTTTACTCTCTTCTCCCATGACGCATGTCAATAAACACCGTGACTGATAGAGTAAAAAGTAAACAAAGTCAAGGTTCATTGATGAGACATACATACTTCAAGGTTGAGACTATGACCTACTACGGAGTACACTATGTACATACAGTACTACACTGTCCATGATTCAAGGCACACGAGCTCATGTAAAATGTGGAGACGAATCAATCAAGTTCCTCAGGGGAACCATCACCAAGTGGGTTAGTTGTTTTGGTGGAGTAACCCCTTTTTCATCCAATCCGCTCCCATCCTCTCGCGCCGTCGGCCAGCTAACCACCACTCTGGGGCAGCTAACTGCCAGGCACACGATGGCCATTGGCCCTTCACTACAGGTTTATGCACAGCCAACAGTATAGCCTAACCTATTCAGTACTGGGGTCAACAGTTGGCCCCAAAAATAAAAGGGCGAGGCGCTGGTCGACTGTCAAAGCGGAGCCCTGGCGTTGCACTAGGCACTGCCCTCTTTTCCCTCCCTGTTCTCCCCCTGTTTTCCCTTCATTCTCCATTCTCCAAACCCTCTCTTCCTCCTGTCCACACACCCTTCCTCTCTCTCCATCCTTCCATTCCAGCAGGTGTCGGCTTCACTCTTTCAGCTGCACGCCCTGCGATCCATTCTTTTTCCCACTTGACGCCTATCCTTTCCCGTCTCCGACTCTGCCATTCTTTCGAGGCCTCGACCCTCCATCTGTGTATTCGAAACAACCCAATCCTACGACTTGCTTCAGACCCAACCCCGGATCTCATCCGTGACACTCTTTGGAATTTAACGTCGATCTCTGTTTTTTTCCCCACCCATCCGAGACGCGATACTATCGACTATCAATCGTCGACCATCAACAACAACACCACCACTTGAATCGACAGCCAATTCGACAAACACGCCAACCCGACCGCCAATATGACCAATATTCTTCCTCGCCTCGTCACTCGTGGTGATGCCAGCAGCAATGATGGCCTCTCCACCCCCCATGGTCGACCTCCTCATCTCTCTCCTGGTTCTCGTTTTGCTCGCTCTCGCTCTGGTTGCCGGCCTTCTCGTCCTCCGCCGTAAGCGTCAGGCTATGAAACAATCCGTACTGCCCGTACACAATGGCCAGGTCCCTACTCACAACCGCGGCATGACAATCACCACCAACAGGACTGACTCCGTGATGGTCTGTGACGAGAAACGCAGCCTCATGGACAACTCGTCCAGCCCCCCCACCCAGCCCGGTCCCCGAGATTCGCATCACCTTCCCCGAAGAGGAGGATGCCTCTGGAAAGCGATCCTCCAAGATGGTCGTGGTCCGCATTAGTGAACACGGCAGCTATGGCCTCGAGCCCTGCAACGAGGAGCTGCCGCCTTACCAAACTACCGACTATGGACGGTTCCACTCCCTCGACATTGAGCGGATGGGCGGCTTGAAGGAGAAGGAGGATATGAAGAGCTACTCTTAAACCGATCACGGGCCTAATTCTACTCTGCCACCAAAGCCGTGATCCACCAGACCGCTCCATCCACCCAGCATCCTTTTTCTTCCACGACTTCCTAAAAGCATGACGAGCACCTTGGCGACCTTCTCTCTTCCATTTCCTTCCCATATACCTATTTCTCTGTTTCCTACCGACCCTGTCACCCCGTGGCATGCATATGCACATACACCTGAGCCGCTCTTATTTTGCTTGGCTATTCTCCAGACGAACAACTTGACCTTGCCTTTGCCTTGAGGACATCTGAACCTCAAGAAAATTGGCTCACATCTTTTACTCCGGAGATCCCGCCAAGTCTGGATTGTGTATAGCGAGGGACTGCCGATTTATCTGAAGTTTATCTATGGCGTTTCTTTATCATTTTTTTTTCTTCCTCGTGGTCTTCCATGTTAATTTCTACCCTGCCACGTTCCTAGGGTCTGAAAGACGTTTGACCAACGTGTTTCTCTTTTATGTTCCATATTCTTTTTCTCTTCTTCTTCTTCACCCCCCTTTTTTAAGACAGCCCTTCTTTTGTTCTTTTCGGGGCTTGTCTACCTCCTTACTTTCTTCTGCGCCTCTTGGCGCTTTTTCTCCGGCAGCTGGATAATGTATGTACTTAGTCCTCCTATCTTCCTAGGCAAATCTGCAATTTATTGCTATGCAAATAAGTCTTTATTTTACTTGTGTTACCCACTATCTACTCCGTACTCCATCAACCTGAGACTGTAGTGTGCACCTAAACAAATCTTGTGTGCGACCCGCCCTTCAGCCAATCAGGAATGCTGACAACCACCGAGAGCTCTCTCCTCTTCAACCCGCCGCTTTCCGCGACGTCAAGCCAAATTTCCATTTCCAATCTACTTCACCACACTCCTTTGGATCTTTTCTTTCTTTACCTTAACGCACTCGCAGAAGCGATGTGCAGCTTTTAATATCCAGGGCAGCCGCTCACCCTGAAGAGCACAGACAGGGGCGACCTTTTCACCACCCGCTTCACTCAGATCAGTTCCCACTTAGCTCGATTCTCCCCTCAAGCTCTGCTGGAAGCGAGTCAATCGCCTTGATCCGTGCTTGAATTCGGCTTCCCTATCCTTGTGCCACTCGCGCACTTCAGTCCCCCTCCCTCGACGACTCGGATTGCGCCTTCATACCATCTGGCACCGCGCCGTCGGCATTCAGAATTTCGACTCAACAGCTCCCGCGAAGACAGAATTCACACACGCTGCTTACAAAAATGGCATCAACCCCGCGAAAAGGCCCTCGGGGCACCCCAGCTTCCAAGAATGACCAGATCAATGCCCGCGCTGCAGACCAGTCGAAAGAATCCGCCATACAGGAACAAAAAGCACGCGAATTGGAGAATGAATTCAAGACTAAGCATTTCGGCGTGATGGGGGTGCTTACCTGGATCTTGTGAGTCTAGAGGACCTATGATTTGGAATTCTACTCGCCACATGAGCGACGTCGAGGGACATCCAAGACTGACTGTGGCTGCTCTTGCAGATTACTTCACATTGCCGGCATTTACTTCTTCACCAAGGGCTTCCTGCTCACGCGCATGGTTCTCGACAATAAATCCTCCTGCCAGGAGCTTCCATTCGATATCATCCCGGGCTCCCAACACGTAACATCAAATCAGCAAGCGAATGGATGTTGGCATCAGAAGTCTTTCGACAAAGCTGTTGTCATTATAATCGATGCCCTTCGATACGACTTCACAGTACCCTTTGTGCCCAAGGAGGAGAGTGAGGCCGCTCACCTTTTCCACGACAACATCCCCGTCTTTTACGAGACCGCCATCAACAACCCGGCCAACGCTTTCCTGCTTCCGTTCATCGCCGACGCACCCACTGCAACCCTGCAACGATTGAAGGGACTGACCACGGGAACTCTGCCCACATTCGTGGATGCCGGCTCCAACTTCGCCGGCACCGCCATTGACGAAGATAATCTGGTTGCCCAACTGCACAGTGCTGGAAAGACCCTCGTCCAGCTCGGAGATGATACCTGGCAGGCTCTTTATCCCGGATATTTCGACGCCAATCTGACTCGCCCATTCGATTCATTCAACGTCTGGGACCTGCACACTGTTGACAATGGCGTGAACGAGCATCTGTTCCCGCTCCTCCGCCCGGAGAACAAGTCCAAGTGGGATGTGATCTTTGGCCATTATCTCGGTGTTGATCACGCTGGCCACAGATACGGCCCGAACCACGCTGCCATGGCGAGCAAGTTGCAAGAAATGGACCGTGTGATTCGTGACATCATTGCCGCCCTCGACGACGATACTCTCCTCGTTGTGATGGGCGACCACGGAATGGATATCAAGGGCGATCACGGCGGCGAATCGGACGATGAGGTCGAGGCTGCTTTGTGGATGTACTCCAAGCGTGGCACTTTTGGCCGCACAAGCAAAGAAAGCCTGCTCCCACCTAGTAATGCAAAGGAACGTCCAATCCCGCAGATTGATCTTGTTCCCACGCTGTCCCTGATGCTTGGAATCCCCATTCCGTTCAACAACCTCGGCTCCCCCATTGAAGAGGCCTTTGCTGGCCCGAAGGGCAACGACTGGGCCAATCTGGCTACCGTGAGTCGCCTCACTGCGGCGCAGATCAAGAGGTATCAAGCTGCGTATGAAATCTCCCGCGGCGGTGCTGATGACGAGGAGTCGTCCTCGCTTTGGTCTGCCGCTGAAGCGGAGTGGAAGGCTGGCTCGAAGAGTTTCACATCTAAGTCTACTGCTGTTCGTTCTAGCTATGAGCTATATCGCAAGTACCAGCGTCATACCTTAGATGTGTGCCGTGGACTTTGGACAACCTTTGATGTTCCGAGTATGATTCAAGGTGTTGCACTTCTCTTTGGCGGCATTGCTCTTTTGGTACTGTACGCTCGTGGAATGAAGAATGACCGGACTGAGCTTTCCTCGCAGCTCCTTTCGTTTGTTGGCGTTGGATCTGGAGTGGGTGCTGCTGTTGGCAGTGTCTTGTCACTTTTCGGATTCACCGATATGTCCACCATCGATCTGTCCGTCTTCCTTGCTGCGGTGGGAAGTATGGCAGGTTCTGCAGTTGTCATGGTCAAGAAGCCCGCCAACTTGACGCTTCCCCTGCCGAATGGTATGTGGGGGTGGCTCGCATTCTTCTTCACTGTTTCCCAGTCCGTCGGATTCGCCTCGAACTCTTATACTATCTGGGAAGATGAGATTCTTCTGTTCTTCCTCACGACATTCGGCGTCTGTGCTGGCATTTCATCGATGCGCCAGAAGACGACCACTGACCGTGTTCTGGGTGTCTACCACTCGGTCCTTTTCGTGATTCTTGGTCGTCTGGCCTCTTTCTCTCGTCTCTGCCGTGAAGAACAAATGCCATTCTGTCGCTCGACCTACTACGCTTCCTCAACCTCCTCCATCTCAGCCCCCTGGCAGCTCGGAATCCCCTTTGCAGTCGCCTTCTTCCTCTCCCCGCCGTCATTCGTTCATTCTACAGTGGCTCCAAGTCATACGAAGGAGCCGCAACTCTCTGGATCAGCTACGCATTCCGTTTCGGCCTCATAATCACCTCAATCTTCTGGGTGCTTGAAGGCGCCGATGACGGCGAATGGCTCCCCCTGAGCAAAGAAACGCTCAAAACCATCCGCGTCTTCCTAGCCCAACTCGTCCTAGCCCTCGCCCTCGCCGCCGGAACCGGCGCATACATCTACTCCAAGCCCTGCATCAGCATAAGCGTGAACAAGCCACCGGAAGACCCAAACGCACCCCCAGCCCCCATAATCGCCGGCGTGGAGCAAAAGCCCCGCACAACCGTGACAATCCTCGGCTTCGGCAACATGTACGGCACGCGCTTCTTCTTCCTAGTCCTCAACTTCGCGCTAGCAATCATCCTCCTGCAAAAGCCAATGGGCCAAGGCGCAATCGCCCTCCTAGTCTGGCAAATCCTCTCCCTCCTCGAAATCCTCGACACAAACAGCCTAACACTGTCCAACTCACCCATCGGCCCCATCATCCTCGGCCTCCTGGGCTCCTTCTACTTCTTCAAAACAGGCCACCAGGCCACCCCAAGCTCCATCCAGTGGGAAACAGCCTTCATTCCCTTATCAACAATCAAATATCCCTGGACCCCCCTCTTCGTCGTGCTCAACACCTTCGGCGCGCAGATCCTCGCCGCCCTCGCCGTCCCACTCACCGTTCTTTGGAAACGACCCCTCCAAACTTCAGACCGTGTTTCGGGCCAGGGTGCTAAATCCGCGAACCCGGCGACGAAACTCCTTTCCGACGTTGTCCAGGCTGTTGCTACACATACGCTGTATCTGGCGACTATCAATCTCGCTACGACGATGTGGGCGGGTCATCTCCGCCGCCATCTGATGCTTTATCGGATTTTCAGCCCTAGGTTTATGATGGGTGCGGGCGTGTTGGCTATTGTTGATGTCGTCCTTATGGTCTTTGCTGTTGGCGGGGTGCGGTGGAGTACGCTGAGTGTTGGTGAGATCTTTGGCTGGTGAGACCGAGTTAAGTGGGGTTTTTTCTGTTTCATTATCACATATATCATATTGTCTCAAGAAGATGGTCCTGTGGGATCTTCGTGGGGATGATCACACCTCGCTTGTGAGGTGGAGCGGGGAATTGGATTTCCTTGTCTTATTATTACCTTACTACCCTGTATTGTATTTCTTGCGTTTGAGAAAATAAATAAATCTAATCATACGTTAATAAGTTCGTTTAATAATCTGGTGTAAACTTGAATTCTGCTAGAAGTCTTGGAATTGGAGATATCAGGCTGCTACTAGTATACTCGTGATTCAAGTTGCATTCTCGGGCTTCCCTGAAGTTCGTCCGGGGCCATGCCATGCCCGCCATGCTGCGGACTCGGATCTCATCATTTTCGACGAATTGCCCTTGTCACTTCAAGTTCAAGCTGGAGAAAGCTACTTCCTCCAAGTTTTCATCAAGTTCTCCTAGTCGGAAGAATTTCTTCTTTTTTTCGGGCTCGCTTCTTTTTCCGCGAACGTCTGGCTATTTGAAGACCATTTTTGCGAATTTCCACCAGCGAGCCACAAAGCCCTCAATGAGAGGGTGTTATGTTGAAAAAAAAAAGTCCGCAAGAACTACTAGTATTGAGCAATGCCTGGATTTGACGGGCAAGCGGTATTTTTTCAACATCGGGCTCGTCATATATCCACTTGATTGGCTCCGTCTTGAATATCTTCTCGTGTCTAACAAGAAGCAGAAGGCAGGCACGGTAGTTTGTTCCTTGGTTCTTGATCGATCGAGCGAGTGGACGCATGGAAACGTCAATATAGACAGATCAGATCACTCCTTTAGCCTTTTCTCTATCCCAGGTCTATAGTAGGAATCAAAAAACTTGCTCCCATTCAATTCAGCCGGCCCGCCTAGAGCAACATGTCCGAATTTCTCCTCCGCTGTAGAATCGCCGATCCAGCCAGGTGTTTCGTCTAGCACGGGTATACTTTCGAGATTACCTGCCAGACGAAGAGGGACTTTCTCGTGAATACTAGCGCCAATTCGCATCAGTGTAAAAGAATCAAGCTTCTCAGTCCAGCGCGGTAGACAGATAGCATACATCGTAGCGGCCCATAAGAGGATCAGAAAAATCACGACCAACGTCGAGATAAGTATCACCCCTTCGTTCGAGATAGACGGCCGCTGCGAGTCCTCGCCAACATCGTATGATACCAGCCACGACCCTCCACTTCCGTCGTATATCCAGGCCCGGTTCGCCAGGTACGCAGCCACTGTGAAGGCATTGGCAATCACATCGAGGTCGTATCGGAAGTTCGACAGGAAAGCGCCAATTTCAATATTCACCGTGAGGGAGGATCCTTTTCTCATGCATGAATTTATTTCGCTCTCGCCAATCCGGGCGTTAATTCTGGCTCCGTAGTTGGATATCGAAGACTTGAAAAGGAGGCCGAAGGGTACAAGGTCAACACAGTCGGAGTAACTTGCATCATCATCGTTGACAGTATAGAGATCTGGGGCTTTGGCCTGGTTTGCCAGGTATGACCCCTCGCCGAACAAAGCCAATGCGGTATTGTGAAGGGGTCCTTTATTCTGATATTCGGTTGATAGTTGGCCCCTGTGAATTACACGTATTAGTTCAAGTTGGCTCGATTTGGCTCGATATGTTTTGTACAGCTGTGATTGTACTCACCATGAATCGACCTGCTCAATACAATTATCCCCACAAAAGTCCGGAGGTATCTTGTTTAACAGCGACCCGGCTTTTTCTCCGTTCATGTAATTAGGAAGCTCAAAGTACCCAGCTGTAGTGCGTACTTTGACGCGGAAATATTCCGACTCGGGTAGGCTTCGATTACGGGACAATTCCTTGGCTCGAAACTGCATGGCATCGTTCAGAGTCACATTAATATAGAGCTCCTCGGTAAAATCCTGTCGGTCGCGAGTATCTTTCCAGGGTGACATGCTCAAATCCGCCGGCATGCACGCATGTAGTGCCCAAATTTCCGCTTCGCCGCCGTTGTCAGTGATGTTGGAGTATGCGATTGAGAGAGAGCCAGGGCGTGATGCGCAATCGGCCGGGAATTCCGCCGAAGTTATATTCTCGTAAGATGCCGTGGACTTGAATCTTGGTGCAAGTTGGCGAATGAGACCTGAGTTGAAATCCTTTGGGAGTTGCGATAGGAAGGGCTCCGGTATGGCAGACATATTAGCCCATGATAGTCCGGGCTGAATGCAAGCTGGGTCCAACGTTTCAGTGATCTCTTGCTTTTTCCCTTGGAATTTGCAGGTTGTGTTGGAGCTGGACCATAATCCTGATGGGATTTCGGCTGCAGAAACCACTTCTATAGCTTTTCTTGTCGCGAGCGCGACAGTATTGCTGTCATCTCCACTTCTCGTGAATTTGCCCGGGGTGTCTTGGAGAGAGCGGATTTCGTATGGTGCTGTTGGGGTCTTTACAGTCGACGTCGACAGGTAAACTTGTTGTATTGGGGAAATGATACCCCCAAGGACATGGAGCAAAATCGCGTACGCTAAGAAAAGGCAGCCGTATCTTTTCCAACTTTTGGATGGATTGGTCAAAAGCTTTGTTAATAGAGTCAGGTCAGTCCAGCCACGGTCTGCAAGACTCATCATTTGCCGTAAAAGTGAATTCGGGTTCTGATTTGGCGCTCGTGTGTTGAAGGTGTTTGATTACGACCATTGCATAGATGAACCTTCTCTGTGCACGGAGGAGGGCTTTGATCCCGATTCTATACAGGAGGATTCGGTGGATGTTGCCCGGCGTCATTTAGAATGGGACGAAAAAGTAAGATTTTAAACCGTAACAAGCTGTACTATTTTGGATTGAGCAGGACTGACAATCTCTCAGAGAGCTGTACTTTATACTTTGGATAAGCGGATATCCAGAGAGAAAGACTCTTTCATTTGTGATGATGGCCAGCTTCAGGTCAAAGTCGAATTCTACCGTTAAGGATTTCCGAGCAGTGGACAATGGTCTACCAATGATCCTATCAGAAGCGAGGCTATTGATAACCAAGATGTGACTTGTACCAACACACAAATCCGAGTTAGAACTGTGACTGTGACTACAACGTCAGATTACCACAGTAAGTTGAAGTATCTGGGATCTATCTAGTAGATTAGCGATTGCTGACAAAATATAGCGGAGCATATTATTGAGCTACAGAGCATGGCAATATTCTTCAAGTTCCTTGCAAATAACCCGGCCTGCGGAGTGGACTGTAATTTTTTCCTCAGCTTCTTCACCCAAAATGTTTTGACAGAAACCACACCACTCCCGGGTGGATACAACCCAGGAACACCATCCGAGAGAGTCATGGAAACACTTGGAAGCTCAAGGAACGACCAGCAGTTCCGCTTGTTGTAAAAGCGTCTGAATGGCATGAAAGCATTGGTGAGCCGCTAACAGATTACTATTTCTCATTTTCCCTATCTTGGGATGGGCCTCCAAGTGATCAGTTACTGACTAGACCAAATAATGTGGATTTGGCGCCTTGTCGATCCAGTAGCTAAGACTAGGTTTTCGAATGCCATCAAAAAGGTAAATCCATCAGAAGCGTTGACCGGTATGAAAAGGGTATGTCTCATAATCCTCGCCCACTGCAAGAATGGCTAGCTAATTTGAGTGACAGTGCAGGTAATCACTATATTCAATTACTTAAATAACTCAGAGGTCTGGAAAAGATTGAAGGCGACCAATAATCTCCTGAGAGAGGAGCTACAGCTTACACAAGACAAATATAATAAAGCGACAGGTAATAACGCCAAGATTGTGGAATATTGGGATGAGTGATTCGAAGATCACTTAAATAAAATAGTTAGAAAGTCCTCAAATTAGCTTACCGATGCACTTCAAAAGATGGAAGATACATAGAAAAATAAAAACAGCCCATCAAGGGCCAAAGTGCTGCAAATCATCAAGGACCTTCGAAATCAGGTGGGCAGGAAGATTAAGCTCAACACCAATAATATCTACTAGTCAAATACTTGGAATTATAAAGTGAATAGTGAGATAGCGGCCTGGCACAGCTAATTATTGATTTCTCCGTTTACTCAAAAACATTCTGTAGTGTTCAACATATAGAAGAGTCAGTATAAATAGTATTATTTTTAAGCAGTAGAGCAGTATGTGACTACTGGCTTCTTGGAAGGTTTATACATCGCCCGATCAATGAGATAAATATTTTGGGGTTTTTCTTTCTTTTGCTTTTTCTGAAAAAAAAAAATTATAACGATTTCGAATTGGTTATTCTCATGTGTTACTCGACTATTAAAGGTTTTCTTCGTACCAGGGAATACCATCGCCATCCCGACGAATCATTTTCGACATATGCTTCATAGATCCTGCCCATGCAAGAGAGAGCAGTCTATTAAGATGGCAACACATATATCCTTGGTAGAAGCGGGCTTTGCCCTTGGTATAAGAGCCCGGCTCATATTCAGGATCCACAACCGTCACCCAGGCACCATTTTCTTCAAATGCACCGGGCTCTGATAGTTCAGAAGGTTTGACAGGCTGTGGGTAGTGTATAAATGATTGAAGTGCCTCTGAATCGATGAGAATACACCAGCGAAATCGAGCACCAGCAGCGAAGAACTCATTTGTGACAAAATATTTGAATTGCTCGCGAACTTGCTCGACACTAGCTCCGTCGAGGCTAGCTTTCTCTTTAAACTCAAGGCTGCGATATCCGTCTCGTAGAAGTCGGTGTGCATTCTCGTTCTCGTCCGAATCCTCTCGTAACTGAATTTCAAGAGAGGCAAATATGTTTTCTCGAATTGCGTCCACCATAGCTTCCCAGTGAGTGTCTGATTCCGGCGTGAAAACAGTGCGATAGATTGTATATCCCCATGGCCAGCGAGAGATTTCTTCTGATATGAGATAACCTGACATTCCACGACGGTGTCTGAGCCAGCGCTCACATTTTATTTGACGTCGTCTTTGACCATGTTGCAGCTCAGTTTCGTCAGGTGGAAAATCACCCGATTGAGACTCCCATGGCTGCTCCCAGTTTTCGTGGTGAAATTTCCAAGGGAGTGGCACTCCTGCAGGAACTTTGTCTAATGCCTGTTTTAGTGACATAGTGGAGAAAAATAATATTTTGAAGAGTCAACCCCCGCTGACTGTCTCGGGCACTAGGTTCTTTATATACAAACAGAGCATCCGCTGAGTGGACAAGCCATCGTCTTGGCGCTAAGGAGCTTGAATGGTCGATGTAACCTGACAATACAGTACTTTTACAACAACTAGCTTGATACAGTGGCGTTCGAAAAGTTTGAAACCCTCCGTGCGACCGCCTTTTTCTACCGCCCACCATATTAGTACACCGCCCCCCCTATTATGGTACGTGATACGCGCTGTTTATAGTATTATTATACATATTCCACGCGTTATATTAAGCTATTTAGGCCTTTAGAATACCACCAATTCGTCAAACTGCCTTACAAATAGTGTAAAATCAATATGATGCACCGTCACAGTATCCAAATGTGACACAGCGCTCACGCCGGTGTTAATTAGCACTAGACATCGCCATAATGTAGTATGAGTGGTGGTAGGAAGGACGCTTGTTCGTGCGTCTTATCCTGAGTGTTTCTTCACCCGTAACTCTGGGGGTGCCTTGGGTACCTGTCCCCGTGTACGTGACTTCTGGAGCTAATGCATGCCCCCTAGTGTTGGTTGGCTCTCGGTGGCCCATCAGTAAGTTGCGGCCCCTCGTCGCAAGGTCCGTAACAAATAGTTTGTAATATAATTGTGCTAAACTAGAATTCTGTGAAATTATATAGTATATAGGCTTATTTCGCGACCAATATTCGGTCACTATAGTTATTTTGGGTATTGTATCGAAAGAGGTGAAAGTCTGTCTCTACTTAGAATACCTCATGAAAACTATTTAACTAACAGAATATTACGATGACAAAGCAAGTTATTCAGCAATGCTAAGCAATAGGATGGTGAAATCGACTAGTAATGTTACGATCCGTCGTGATAGCTTATAATAAAGACTTTTATAGCTTATAATATTATGATTTAATTGTACCAAGATAATACCTAAGTAAAACATGCCAAAAATACGTCGATTTTAATACCTCCTTATGCCTATACAAGCTGCCTAAAGTAGTTAATTAAGCGAACTTATACAAAAAAGAGAGCATGAGGGTACCCTCTAATACCCGTGGGTAAGACCGCAAAATACTCTCGCGGGTAAGGGTATTAAAGCTTGCGAAGTTACCCTCAATTTGAGGGTTGAGGGTAGGGGGTCTCCGCACAACCCGCGGGTATTCCGCAGTCTAGCCTGGACCAATATCTACTAATGCGGAACCAGTAGCGGTGCTTGCTCTACACCCTATATGTGACCAACGCGTCACGCACTAGAACGGAGTATTTTACCCAAATACCGGAATCACCCTAACGCGTTAGTAATAGACCTCCAACCGAGAACCAAAAAATGGACATAGGGGCTTCAAGGAATAGACAAATCTTTCATTTCCACTTTGCCCCCTACACACAACATATATATATCTGGGAAATTACGTGCTTTTTCAATTCTGCTTGCACACATCGAAATGAGCCTTTCTCATCTACCTACTGAAATCCTGTGGATCATTTTATCCTATCTTTTGCGCCAAAGCGACATATACGGATTGGTTAGAACCAATCGTCGTCTGTACCAAGAGCTTATAAAGTGTCTACACTATTGGAATGCTTAGTACGATCACGGGTCGGCTTTCCCTATTGCTACCGAGTACAATCTCCTTCCATAACTCAAAGATCTTTTAGTCGGATTAGATCTTACCCAAACTAAATCTCACTCGCCTCCCCAGCAAGCGACCCAGGTGCCCTATTTGACCCGATGTAAGAGAAATATGGGTGTTGAAGAAGAGGAACAGGACCAGGATAAGGAGGAAGAGTAGGAAGATAAGAAAAGAAGATCAGATCCCTATTGGGAAGATCTCTATACTCATCCCCTTTTCTCGCAAGGATACTACTTTATGAGTATTATTAATATTCAGTATGCCCTAGCGGTGGGTATTAAGGCTGGATATTCAGAGGTTGTTCAGGCTCTGTTAAATTTTGGTGCAGAAGTCAACTTCTATCGCTGAAGTCATACTGCAAACCCACTTCCAGCCTATACCAAGAAAAGATGGCATAGCCGGAAAGTTGACATTGACAACCCACCATTGTTTATAGCTGTGCAGTATGGACACACTGAAATGGTGAGCAAGTTACTCGAGTGTGGTGCTGATCCACAGCGGTATACCCCTTCGCCCTTGTGCCGCGCCGTTGAAGATGATCATCAGGATATCGTTTCTGTTCTACTGAAAAGGGATGTGCGATCCCAGAAACCAGCCTTAAAACTTGCTGCATTGCGAGGGAACTACTCCATGGTTGAATTTCTTCTGCGCAATGGCTTGGATGCTTCAGAGCATGGGAATGCTAGCCTATATGTTGCTGAAAGGAAAGGTTACAAGGACATGGCTAATTTACTGAAGCTTCATGGTGCGACCATTGATACGCTCTCCGATAGTGACAGAGAGAATTGGGAATCAGAAGACAGAGACGGTACTGATCGCCCCAACCTTAAACATGGGTGTTGCTGTGTTCCTCCTGAAGAAGATGTTCCTGATGAACCTTCAGAGCCTGAGTCTGAAAATATAGATTCTATGTGAAAATAAATTCTGGAACCTGTGCCAATGACTCATAAGCTCCTGTTGACATTGATATATAAGCCGTAGTATATTATACCTAGGTAAGTTCTGTACCTAGTAGGTAGTCACGCCTTTGTATCCAAGGAGACAATAGGGATGTACTTGCTATTTCTCCGGAATTTGTCAATACCACGGATATTTCCTGAAGAGGTTATAGAAAGGGGTCCCATCGAGAATGAGAAAAAGCTACAGACTCTGTACACAAACAGCATTTCATGGAAGTGATTCGTCGGATAACATCATAGTACAGCCGAAATATTACAACACACCATATACTCTGCGTAGATTTTCAAACCTTGCTAGGCTCCAACTTCCATGAAATATTCATTAGTCTTTCTCTTAGTTTCGGCTACTAATATACAAGGGGATTGTTATCTCGCTTCGCTTTATTACTCGGAATTTACCATGGGTCTGATGCACTAGTTTTCACCTCGCTTCGCAGGATAATTGTCTAGGGCGTTTGAAAGAGAGTCCACTGGACACAATAGTAAGCGGGATGAACCCTGTGCGCTAGGTAGTATATGCTAGAGCAGGCTAGTGGGGACAGCCACTAAGACAGCCCGGCAGCTTCCGGATGTCTCGGCATTATTTCTTGATTTCAGGCAGTTTTGATGCTGTCTTTGGGATCTGGGATCCGGCTACCGGCCAGAGTATATCAACCCTTGAGGGGCATGATAATTCGGTCAGCTCCATTGCCTGGTCGCCAGATAGAAGCCGACTCGCATCAGCGTCAATTAATAACACAGTCAGGATCTGGGATTCGGCTACTGGTCAGACCAGCCCGATAGCCTTGAAAATACCTAGGTACAATGTCGACATGTGTATTCCAAGGTTTTCTGTTCACGCTCCAATACTATGTCAAGGCTCGACTCCCTCTCTGGTTTTCGTTGCATTATTGTATAACCTCCACATCATATACAATCCTCCACTAAAGTTTTGTCACAGTAGAATTTCAGATCCTCCTCAAGCGGAAATAGAATCTTCCCTTCCACCTCATCTCGGAACTTGTCTTCTGCTAGTGATGTGTATACCGCGTCTAGCCCAGATACACATCGCAAGACACTATTTCTATAATTCGGGCCACAGTCCATCTCATTGGCCAAGCGTCGCGCTGTTAACGGGTCGGAGAATTCCGATGGCTAAATCGATCGTTAAAAGGGTCAATAAAGGGATGTTTATATGGATCATTCGTACCATCTTTCGCTCAACTTCCGTTTTTAGTTCTTCGAACACTTCCCGATACCATAGTTCGAGGAGAACGATTCCAAGCGAAAATAGGCAAGGAATCGACGCGTTCAAGTAAAATTTCGGAAGATTCTCCGACATAGATGCCAAGTCGATTTCCTGGGTTCCAAAGCTGCGTCGGATTAATGGGCTGTCGAAGTCAATTGTCATATCCAATGACCGCAGGAAAAAAATATCTGATTTGCTCCAGTAATCCGTCATCCACTCTGTGGTATGCAGCTGCATTACCGACGAAGCCAACTTCAGCCCTAGCCGGGATCGGTGATCTTGACGAAAGGCTTTATCTCGCAGAACTTGGGCCAGGGACACAGTATCGATGCTTTTGAAGTTTGGTAGTCTTTGCTTGTGATCTATAGCCCTGATACGATGCTGTCGGCCTCTCTTACTAGTGATAAACCCTAGCCACTCCGATGGTGGCATTGGGGCCGTAATTGTTGCGCATATATTGGAGATGTCTTCATAGTCGGATGCTGGCGGGGAGGGTGGTTCAATGACAAACTTCACTCGGGTATGCCGAGTGTCCTGACACAGGTCGATTTCCGTGGTCCCCCAAGGCTCCATCTCAATTTCCCGCCAGTTCCATGATGAGTAAAATGAAGCATCGGAAATAAATATAGCGTGGAAACAAAATCCTTTCGCGAGAGTTTTCGGGGTTCGAAACTCTAGTTTCATGTTCACATCGTGCCTCAGCATACAAGTGCAGCTGGGTGATATGGGGAATTTGTCCCGAAGGATCTCGTAAAGATCAATCGCATGAGAACGGATCCGCGTGTAGTGTTTAGTACTTCTGCGCGAGATGCGACGCGTCACGATGGTAGACTTATTTTGGTCAGTGAGCTGCGCCAGGAAGGTATTCAGGCGTCCTGCTTCTTCAAGGTGCTGGGTGATGCCATCTTTCTTGAGCACGAGGATGATCTTCTTCCATTGTCGCCGACGAGTCTTTTTATCTAGCGGTTCATGCTAAAGGATAATTCCTTAGTCTCAGAAGAGAAACGAAATTGCCAACAAGCTTACCTGGCCATGGTCTCCATATTTCGCCATTAAGTCCTTGATTTTCACAAGTTCCTCGTTCATATCTTCCACCGTATCCAGATATTGCTGCACAGACTTTTGGCTGAAGACCTGTTCCTGGACGAGGTCTCCTTCCCGCCATTGGGGGTCTGTGGGATCTTGCATCATTTCGGATATCTCTTCTTCACCAACTCCGCATTGATTGGCAATGTCCTCCATAAACCGCTTGCAGGAGTTTCTAAAGCTGGCCTGCTCACGGGCAAGACCTCGACTAATGCGCTTTAAGACATGCTGATAGTGAAAAAAGTCCTTTACTACACCTCTCTCTTCAGCATAGAACTTGAGGGCTTCTGTGATGAGGGGGAAGACGGCGAGAACAACACCAACTACCTCGAAACCACTCATGGTGATAATAACAAAGAAACAACAGGTAGAAGGCTAAATACGACAGTCAAAAGTGACGGGAATATATTGGAAGAAAGTCAGAAAGAGAGGAGATTGAAGGTCAGGCGATATCAGAGAAACTCGGACAGCACATCGACCAATCTACCCCGCCTCAGCTGAGATGCAGCCCAGACCCCGCCAATGGGAATTCTAATGGAGAGAAAGTACTAATTGCCAGGAATCCACCGGAAATAGGAAAGTCTAAGAGCCGTGGACTGTCAGATTTGAACACTTCTCCAGAAAGAATTTGGTTGCTCGAGCTCTCCAGTACTTTGCATCCCAGCGGCGAGCAGCGATCGTGATAATACGTGCTTCGCTATCATTTACCCCTCAACTTCGCATCAGCAGTCTCCCTTGCTAGTGACCCTGCATCTGAGATGGATTCAGAGCGAGATCCATCAATATTTTCTCTTGTCGCGTTATGCGTTCGCGAATTCAACGCACTGTTAGCCTCCGTCCCAAGTGAAGAAATCGAGACCCGCCTGAAACTGCAGGATGACCTGGGGAGGCTACGAGTCTGGATCGGGAATTTCGGTGCACATCGCAAGCAGACAGACAGACTTTCCTTGGACCACCGGCTTCGAGAGGCCCCGGAATTGCATCAGGAGGTTCGGAATCACATCAATGATATTTCCGAAGCCATCTATGGAGGTATCCAACTTCACTCAAATGATGGACCTGAATTTTGCTAATTTTACCCAGCGACCTCTGTTATCCAGGAAAGTGAAAAGCCTTTCGAAGATGATGAGACCCCTCCTACCTCCGAAACGAACGAATTGGACTCAGACGATTCCGATTCCGATGGGTTTTGGGACCAGATCAAATCAGAGAATGAGAAGCATTCGAAGCTGGAGGAATATTTGCATGACGTTCAGTACATCATCACCAGCCTGTGGGTTTCTTCCGGCCCGACTTTGAAGAGAACTAGTGTTCACACAAAACAGATACAAATTCTCCGTGACTCTCCAGAATCCAGCTCACCGCGATCGAACAGCTCAAGCCTCACGCATTGATCTCGATCATTTCGAATTCTATGATGTTCAACACGTGTCCGAGAAATTCAAACTTCCGCGAGATAGCATACTTGCTCAACGGCTCGGCAAAGCAAACACGAAGCGGCGTCAACTCCTGGCATATCACAAGGATCATGCCCAGAAAATCTCCAAGTATGTTGATGTGGCCATGGAAAAGACCCACAAGACGACAAAGGATCATATCAAACACAACGACCTTGATATGTCCAGAAGAGGACCCCAAAGCATCTCAACAAAATGGACACAGGATACTACTGTTTCGACTATCAATCATCAGGACATTGAAGTTGCATCCAACTCGGGACAAACTGAGTTTTCTGCAACAACCTCGACAGCTGGCAACCAAGCACATGAATTGATGCCACCGCCGCCAGTGGATGTGGTGAATAAAGACCAGAACAGTCTATTTGTCTGCCCATACTGTCGCCAGATGATACAGCTTGAGAATGCGGACGAAGGCTGGAAGTACCACGTCTTAAGCGACTTGCGGCCTTACATATGCACATTCGGAAACTGCGTGAAAGCCAATCAGCTCTACGACAGCTACACAGAGTGGAGTGAGCATGAACAACAATTCCATCGACGAGAGTGGTTTTGTAATTTGTGCTTATCGAATTATCAATCTGAAACTTTCTTCTTAAAACATCTGGAGGATGCTCACGCAGGAGCAATTCCTGAAGACCAACGGCGGGCGCTGGTGAAATTGTCTGAACGTCCCATATCTTCTGCGCAGCAATGTCCTTTATGCACAAAGTCTCCAATTTCAGATCCACGTCGATTCCAGCAGCATCTAGCGCGGCATCTTCAGCAGCTCTCTATTTTTGTTCTCCCCTTCCTGAGTCTGAAGAAAATGAACATTCAACCCGCGACGGAGAATCGAACGAGTCTCGAAAAGCGCTGATGGTAGATGGTGAAGTCAGAGAATCGCCCAAGTCTACGTCGACGTGGAGTGAGGGATCGAGTCCATATGACCAGCCTGAAGTTATTGAAGGAGAGAATTGGCGAGGACTCGGAACTCAACTGGACGACGACGAGAGGACTATGCTGTCAGGACACTCATCGACATTGAAAGACATAGCCAATTTGAAATCCATATTTCAATCGCCTGGCCAATCGCAGAAAGCCGAGAACCTTGAAGAGGATGTGCTAAAAGCTCGTGAATATATGCTCGGCAAGGACCAGCCTGGCTCACTGGAAGACATGACCAGCCGCGCATGGACGTTCATGAAACAGGGCTGGTGGGAGGAGGCTGAGCAGCTCCTGATGCAGGTTTTAGATATGAGCAAGAAGAAGCTTGGGGAGGACCATCCTGATACACTGAGTAGCATGGCCGACCTCGCATCAACATTCATGGAACAGGGCCGGTGGGATGAGGCTGAGCAGCTCCAGGTGCAGCTTCTAGGGATAAGAAAGAAGAAGCTTGGCGAGGACCATCTTGATACACTGAGTAGCATGGCCGACCTCGCATCAACATTCATGGAACAGCACCGATGGAAAGAGGCTGAGCAGCTCCAGGTGCAGGTTCTAGAGATGAGAAAGAAGAAGCTTGGGGAGGACCATCCTGATACACTGAGTAGCATGGCCGACCTCGCATCAACATTCATGGAACAGGACCAGTGGGATGAGGCTGAGCAGCTCCAGGTGCAGGTTCTAGAGATAAGAAAGAAGAAGCTTGGCGAGGACCATCCTGATACACTGAATAGCATGGCCGACCTCGCCTTAACATTCACGGAACAGGGCCGGTTGGAGGAGGCCGAGCAGCTCCAGGTGCAGGTCTTGGCGATTAGCAAGACGCAGCTAAGCGAGGACCATCCTGATACACTGAGTATCATGACCAACCTCGCATCAACATTCATGGAACAGGGCCTGTTGGAGGAGGCTAAGCAACTCCAGGTGCAGGTTCTAGAGATAAGAAAGAAGAAGCTTGGCGAGGACCATCCTAAAACACTGCGTAGCATGGCCAACCTCGCATCAACATTAGTGGAACAAGGCCAGTGGGAGGAGGCTGAGCAGCTCCAGGTGCAGGTTCTAGAGATGAGAAAGAAGAAGCTTGGCGAGGACCATCCTGACACACTGCGTAGCATGACCAATCTCGCATTGATGTATAGGAAGCTGGGTCGGCAGGAGGAGGCCAAACAGTTGTACCAACGAGTACTGGCGAGCTATGAGAAGAACCTGGGTTTATCTCATCCTTCTACTATTGATGCACTCAACCACCTTGGTCTCCTCTACTTTGATCAGGGGAAGGTGAAGGAGGCTGAGGAGATGTACCAGCGAGCACTGGCAGTCAACGAGAAGGTCCTGAGTTCAAATCATATTTGTGCTTTTGATACATTCAACAACCTTGGCGTCCTCTACTCTTATCAGGGGAAGCTGAAGGAGGCAGAGGAGATGTACCAGCAAGCACTGGCAGGCTACGAGAAGCTCCTAGGTCCAGATCACAGTGCGACCCGGCAACTAGTTGAGAGGTTAAATGCCTTCAACATTGCAGATCTGAAGTAGTGTCTTAACCTCCCCATAGGAAATTATAAATTTTTTTGATGTATTCAAGTTCTTATAGGAGTCGTGGGTTCACTACACAGTCTCTACGTTTACTATGAAAAGCAATATAATTACTCATCAGGAGCAAAGAATCGAAATCTTTTTTAATTTGTATTTTCTAATCTCTATTGAGAATAGTAGTCTTGGAGACATTGGGGGAAGATCTGGTATTGTTAATTGACGGTCGTAATAGTGTGACTAGCAAAGCTGTGTCTATCGTGTGGCTAAAACAGAGAGCGTATGCTGTGAGGTAGATCTCTGGGCCCTGGAAACAAGGCACAAGTCGTTGAACCAGATTTGCAGAGATCCACCAGAATGGGTTACAAGGAATTCCACGTATCACGTTCGGTACTCCGTACATAAAAATCTTATGTATTGAGGTACTGTAAGATGGGTACGAAGTGCATTTTACCGCGCCCCTCAGTTTAATGCGGGCTGGTCAAGCCGATCTCGAGAATGACTGTACCACCAGAAGAGGGAGTATCAATTATCCCAAGAACTTGAAATAGGCCTGTTTTTCATACTCCAAGATTGCTGGCTACTCACGGCAGTCGAGACAAAAGGGTGGAATATTAGTTTGTGACTGGCGAGCTTCGCGGACAATTTCTTCATTCTAGACCTTGTTTCTGGATGTTCTTCATGATAGCGTCTCGGGTTTCATACGATGTAGGGCAGACGAGCATGAAATAGCCACTGGAAATAGACCATTGAACTGGAAGAAAAGGTAGATTTGAATTGGCAAAGGTGAATAACACTAATTGAGAACTAAAGAAACTATAGAAACACAAACAAACTACAAACGAGAAAATAAAGAACATGAGCTGCGTATCTGAGGACATTGATATGGATATTGATCGCTCGATGCATAGCTAAAGAAACTAAAATACAGAAACAGGTCTTCTTCAACAATAAGACACGTTATAAACAATCATGACAATGTCACTCCCATAATCCAGGGCTAGCAACAACCCCAGCCCCAGCCCCAGCGCGACCCAGATTCAATTCAACTCCCAGACCGTAGATCCGAAGTACAAAGGACAAAACGGATATCAAAATCATTTCGAGAAACCAAGGCCATCCTCAAGACGATCCAATAAAGAATTCTCCGAGGCAGAAGAAGGGGACCGACTCCGATTCTCAGATCTACTTCCATAGGCAGCATGGGAAGTAGAAGGATCATCAGTTAAGACAGTCGTCGTCATAGCGACAGGAATAGAATTTTCTTGGCTCCCACCTTGATCCTGTGCCTGTGTTTCGGTTGAGACCTGCGCCCCCCCGCGTGCGAAAACTATACCGCGGCGCAGACGGATCAATCGTAGACGGATCCTGCGCAAGAGGATCCCGTTCCTGTTCCAACCGGGCCTTCTTCAATGCCTTCCGCTTACGTTGACCAATATATTCAGTAGTAGCGCCCGGAACGGTATTCGCGCCGGGAGTGGTTGTATCATTAGGACCTGCTGCCGCTGCCGCCGCAGCTGTGGCGGTTTCTTGTCGAGCGATGTCCTCGGCAGCCCTTTTAGCAACCTTTTTCTCCTTCTTGCGGAGTTTTTTTGCCTCTTTTCTGAGTCTGATTGATTCGGGGTCTGTTGGTGGTTGAGGTTGGGGTTGGGGTTGGATTGCGGGTTCCCGTCCGGTTGCAGTGTTGACATCGCCTTTCTTCTGCTTTTTCTTGGGGTTCTTCGAGGCTGCGGGTGCGCCGGGAATGGTACTGATGGTGAATTCTCGAAGGCTGGTGCCGCCTTCTTCGTCGTCGTCTCCTTCCCAGGGCTGCTCTGGTGCTGCTGCTGCTGCTTCTTCCTGCGGGGGTGCAGACGTCCAGGACGCTGCAGTTTTGCTGATCGGCTGCCTCGTTCATGCTGCGGAGGAGTTTGCTGACGTCGTCGTGGCGGGAGAGCGTGTCGAGTCGGGCGAGGACTCTTGCGAAGAGTTTTGACTCGTCGATGTTTGGGTTGTTGGTGAATTCGGGGATTTCGAGGATATTGTACGGTTCGCTGAGGGCTTTCAGTTTGCTATCGTCGATGAGGATTGTATTCGATTGATCCCATCGTTGACCTGCAGGGAAAGAAGCTGCCAGTTCCCTTTCCTGCTCGAGTTGTTTCTGCTCGTCTGCGGCGGGCTTTTGCTTGCCACTGGCTGGTTTTTGGCTCGGGGGTGATTTGTAGGATTCGTTTCCTGGGTATGAACTTTGTACTTCGAGGCTACTCCAGACTTTATGGAGCTGTTTGTACACCTGTAGTTTGGCATGGTATTGTATAGGCGTGAGGCCGAATCTGTCTCGACCCCACAGCGCGACGAGATTGCGTTTCTGTTGTTTTGTGAATATTCTCGCGCAGAGTGCTTCGACGGTTGCGGGTTGTGAACTGGACCAAATCATCACGGCATATTTCTTGGTTAATACATCTAAGAAGTGATCGAGGCCGGCCCGGGACGCGAAAGAGGGCGGGAGTTTTTTGTGTTTTCGGTGGACCAGAGTTCCATTCAAATCGAGGATGATAAGTAGCGGTCGTGGTGTGGGAGAGCTTACTGCCGGTGGCGACGATCGCTTCATGTAGTCCGCCGTCGGCGAGGGTATATCCACTGGTGGTGTTGACTCCCGTTTTCGCGGCCTTGGTTGGTGTGCGTGGATTATTTGCGCAGATGGTCTGGCCATTGTGCTCATGGGCTGTGCTCCCTGGAAGGGGGCTGTATTATTGAACGGCATCATGGGGAATTGGCTCTGCATGTTTCCCATGATGGAAGCGAAGAGTGTCGGGTCCATCATCGGCATCGGCATCGGCAGAGCCGTTGGGTCGTAGCTCGTGGCCTGCGGGTTCCATGCCGGAATATCAAATGATCCAAAAGCCATTTGTGATCCGTCATTGGCGCCTCCCACTGGGTATTGATTGGAATTGACCGCATGACTTGACGAGTTCGTCATGTACGGACTATATCCAGATCCATAGCCATATTGTGGTGTCGGTGTTGGCGTTGCTATCGTATTATTGATGAAGCCGTCCAGGGCGTAGTTCCTTTGCGAAGGGCCAGGGTGTGGCGCTCGGCCGGAACGCCTACTACGCGCACTTCTGTGCGCGGGGTTGGAATTGGAGCCCATGGCTTCTAGACCATGATGCGACAGCCCGGTATTGTCGATTCGGCGCTGTTTAGGCGCGGGATCTTGAGCGGCGCCCTGCGCGCGTCTCTTCCCTTTACCGCAGCGAGGCAGTTTGGCAGATTTGAGGGGAGTTGGCGCGAAAGAATTGCGTTCGGAGTAGGCGATAGGCACAGGCTGTTTGGAAGGCAATTAGTTTAATTGATCGAATGTTTGAGGGGTTCTGAATATGGGATGGGATCATATACAGGAGTGATTCTGCAAGATCGAGAGATAATAGTATGAGTCAATGCTGGCCGTCGGTGGACAATAAAGAAAAGAACCGACATGAGCCAGAAATAAAAAGGCCAGAAAAAGATTGCAAGTGACTTTCGTCAAGGTTGTCTCGGGGTTGACCCTCAATGGATTTTCCTTATCGTCTGTTATCGTCTTCACCGCCCGGCAGTACCTTTTTTTTTGTTCTGCGGGAAAAATATGGGACTGCTTCTGTGAACTCTACATCATTAGATCTTCACAATTACCTTACCGACAATGGGGATTTCAGATATGCTGAACCGCCGAGTGCGGGCTCGGCCTACAGACGATGATGAAAGTGTCTATTCGGGAGGATCCGACATGGGTGACGAAGTCCGCGACAAAGACGGTCAATCCGATGCGGAGGATCAACAATCTCACAGCGTATGAAGGCTATCCCCTCCCCCACCGATCGCATGCTTGGATTAAAACTAACTTTCACCGCTACTAGTCCCAGGGCTCCGATGCCAGCGCAGGCGAAGAAGATGAGGATGAAGACGGCAGCAACCTCGGAGAAGAGGAATTCTCAGATGCCGGCGACGACAACGAGGATATCCAGGCATCTCTGAGCAGCGTCTCATTCGGAGCTCTCGCCAAAGCCCAAGCCTCCATGGGATCCAAGAAAGGAAAGGAAAAGCGATCTCAGGCAGGCGCCGACGAATCCACAACCGCCTCCCCACTCGACGACATCCGGGCCAAAATCCGCGAAGCGCGCGAACAGAAGCGCGACGCCGCTGCCAAGGAAAAGAGCAAGGAAAAGAAGGCCGCTCGTGCTTCCAAGCACGCTCCCATGGTGCAGTCATCCAAGCACGCCGTCACACGGCGACGATTGGTAGTTGAGCCACCAGCCGTTGCGAAAGCCCGCGACCCCCGTTTCGACGCAGCAGTCATGGGCTACAGTGGTTCGGGAAAGTACTCTGAAGGCGCGAACAAGAATTACGCTTTCCTGGACGACTACCGGGTGTCGGAGCTGAAGGATCTCAAGATGCAACTGTCGAAGACCAAGAATGCCGACGCAAGGGAAGAATTGAAGATGCAGATTCGCTCCGCGGAAGATCAGATGAAGACGCGGAAAAACCAGAAGCGCGAGCGCGAGGTCATGGCCGATCACAAGAAGAAGGAGAAGCAATTAATACGCGAGGGCAAGAAGAGTACCCCGTACTATCTGAAGCAGTCGGAGCTGAAGAAGGCGGTGCTGGAGAAGAAATATGAGGAGATGGGATCGCGGGATCGTGCGAAGGCTTTGGAGCGCCGGCGCAAGAAGATCGCGTCTAAGGAGCGCAAGGACATGCCTTTCGAGCGGCGTGGGATGGACGATGCGCCTCCGGACCGTGGGGGGCAAGCGTCGACGACTTGATTAGGATACCCAAAATGTATAAAGGCAATGCATATCACCTCGTTTGATTTCTGATATCATAGTACATACTAGACATACCAGGACATAGTACTAGTAACTATTTGCCATCCATGGATCTGGTAGAATTTGTATTGAACACTTGCTAGTCAAGCTTGCGAGTTACCATTTAGCCTAACACAGAAAAAAAGCACGAGAGCATCAATTGTAGATCGTTTTTACATATTCAGATATAATGCAGGCATAACTTTCCCTGAGACCGATCAAGGTAAGAAGTGGCCGGACTGAGACGAAGTGGTCCATCCGAGACATCTCGGCCCCTTCCCGGTGGAGACAGTCGAGTTGATGGGATATCAGGGAGAGTTCAAATCATGATAGTTTCCCTTTATAACGAACGGACAATATCTATATTTGATACTATTAAGTATGCATGGTACCCCAGTGTGATACGACTGCACTGTACCATGGAACTGATGTTAGTAGTTGAGTAAGATGTAACTGTACTTACTCTACTCCATACTCCAGTCTGACAGAGACATCCAACTCCGAGACAAACCATTCAAATAGCTTAGAAATCTCAGTCGCAGTCGCAATTTCACTGTAACGCTAGTCTCACTAGAATCGGAGCCACCAAATCTAGCAGTCAGAGCCCTGATCTGTGCGTTTCGACTCGTCCTTTTACCGTCCCCCAAAATTCGGTGACGTGAAAGCTGTAGCCAATCACCGTAGCTACAGGGGGGGGGGATTGAGAGCGACCAGGATAAGAAATCAGACAGGGCATAGTTTGCGGTCGGTAGAGGGTTCCGTGCATTAGCCTAGGGCACGACCTTTTTTTTTTTCTTTTGGTGATCCACACCCAGGGCGAAGGACTGGTTCTCGTTCCTGGGTCTGGGGGGTTGCGGATAGTGAACAGGAGGATTGTGGATGCAGCAGGAGGTTATAATAGTTGTAGCGTCTCCGCTTTTGAACAAAGAAAATACACAAGACATTCACGAGAGACAAGACACACATAGCAAGAGGGGAGTCTGTCCACTAGGATTGAAATGGATAGATGCTTCCACCCCCTGGTCGATGATAAGCGCCGTCTGCGCCATGTTTGACATAGAACGTGATATGAGTTGCTGCCCAAGTGTGAAGGCGGGCGAGGGTGCCGAGTTCATGCAGATCGGGAGCACATGTCTTCGCCGATCAAAGACCCCAGAAGCCCCGTGTGCAGATGAGACCAGTCTTAGCCTCAGTCTTGGAGGGGGGGAAAGGATATTAGGTATTGGGTTATTGGGGGCCAAACCAAAATCAAAGGGAGGAGGGGCCGGGTCTGAGTGGATGAGATCCTCTTTGTTTCTGTTCCATGAATGTATGAAGTATGGAGCATATGTATGCAACCATGAATAATCCCAGGAGGGAGGTTCCTGGGATATTTTGGAAACTGTACAAGTGTCAAAATGCATAACCGCCGGTATGTCAGGATGTGACGATCCACGAACACGAACACCCAGCAGGGCCAGGCTCAAACAGGGGGCACAAAGTAGAAACACGGCGTGTCTCAGGCAGATGATTCTGATACGCCGGGCCCCGGCAGTGGTGCAGGAAGTGTTTGAGCGCGGCTCCACTCAAACTCTGGACTCCAGAACGACCAGGCCATGCGGTGTACTCCGTACTTGGTACTTGGTACTCCATACTGGGGGGGGAGTAGAGGTGTTTGGGCGGTTCTAGGCTGGTTGGTTTAACTGAGTTAGCCTTGAAAGGATGAGTGGATGTTGGTAGTCCATAGGGCGTTGGTGTTGGTGTTAGTGGAGGAAGTTATGGTTCAGCGGAAAGTGGAAGGTACAGAGTACTTCCACTACTTCCACCCCTGCTGAACATCTTCTCTCTCTCTTACTCCTCCTCCTCCCCCCCCTCTCTCTTCGGCCTTTGTCTTAATTTCCCCCCCTTCTGGGTCCAGAACCCATTCGGAGAAAGTTCTGCCGGTCCATTTCTCTCGCTTGTTCTCTGGACTTGGAACTTTGTTCCTTCTTACTCTCTCTCTCTTTCTCCCTCTCCCTCTACTCCGTTACTCCCCTCCACCTTTTCCCTCGGACTATCGAAGTGCCTAATCCCTTAACGCCGGGATCTGTGCACGTCGCTGTCGCTACTATTGATGCTCCACATTTGAGGTCGGAGGCTATTCCCGCCGATCCCACGACCTGCGAAGAAATATACGATAGGTGATAGGTATACTTCGGCTTGATCCAGAGTATCTCGTTCCGTCCAGCTCATCGTCAAAGCATCCCTATCATATCATATCACATCACATCACATCACATCATCATGTCGACCGCAGTTGCGCCCGCGACGGCAGCATCTCTGTCCTCGCCACATGTCACCCGCGATCCTAGTCCAAAGAATTGCCCGACCTTGGCTCCTCCTCCCCACCGGGCGCGGCGAATTCCTCCCCATCACGACTGTCTACCACCTCCCAGGATGGTCCGCGAAGAGGCACCCCTGAGAACAAAGACCCGGCCTCCCCGTAAGTTGGATAATGAGAATCCAGAATCTGGTTGATGATTATTAACTCACAGCTGTTACAGATCAGGTAGCGCAGGTCCGAAGATCACCGTCAAAAAAGAACCGCCATCCTCGCCGCGCATGCAGAGTGGTCGCCCTCGCCCTCGCAAGCTCGACCTTTCAACCAGTCTCCCTTCCTCGAGTAACTTGTCCGTTCGACCACCCAATGGGCCTATGACTGCCCGTGACGGTGTCACTATGCAGGACGTCGGACTGGCATGTCTGTCACCCGGATTTCAGACACATGATCCTGCAATGAGAGAGCAGCTCCAACGGAGTCTCTCGGTGCGCGAACAGCAACGGTCAATTATTGAAGCACGGCTGCAAATGTCAGCCAAGGATGAAGGTCCCGATGGCATCAGGCCATCTGCGCACGAGTTCTTGGGACCCAAGAGCTCGAAGCGACGGCCGCCGCCTGGCTTGTCCATTGTCCCTCCGTCGGCATCGCAATTTGCCAACGAACGGGTGATTCAATCCGCCCCGCTGAACCAGACCTTCACTGGTCGGCACCAGCCTCAGCCTTTGACTCGCCATGTCGTGAACCAGAGTCCGACTCTGGGCTCAACTTCGCACATGCACCAACTTCCAGCCGCACAGACCAACAACCGCCTTCCTCCTCTGTCCGATGTGTTCGGTTCTGATGCTCTGGGTCGAGACAGAGAAGCAACCCGCCCAGATGCGAACCGCCCGAGTGTCTACTTAAACGCTTCTAGCACCAACTCTTCCCAATCAAATCTGGCACCGATGCCTTCCCCCGGCCTGCCCCCCCAACCACCAGTCACAAACTCCCCATCGATCACGCGAGTATCGCTCGGCCGAAGAAGCCGTGCAAGAAATGACCGGCGGGCGCGATGAACTGTTGCCACGGATCGTACACTATGGAGGCCACCAGCCACCCACTCCGCCATCTCCTCACGCATTCCATGCTGCCCCCAAGACGGCTCCTTTGGTTAGCGAAAGCATGGTCCACCATCCGCCTCAGGTCCCTATGATGCAATTCGCCGATACCACTGCACGCCGTCGCCCCCGGAGCGAGTACGAGCAAGATAATGGAAGCCCACCGCTTGGACATGGGCCTGAGCCTCAGCACCGGCCCAACCCTGCAGCTCACGCTAGCTCGACACCCTACGGCCCCTTTGGCGCCGGTCGAGACTCGCCGGAAACCCAACGGAGAAAGAAAGAGGAATTCCTGGGCCTATGCGCACGGGCTTGGGATCTCTTCCACTCTTGAACGAATCAGTTGCTCTGCTCTAAAAAAGAACTTGCTTGTCAATGCAAGCTCTCTTGATATGTGTCGATAATAAATGCTTGGAGGCGATACCCTCTTCTCCAGGCACGTTTCTTATTCAGTACAGCCGGTTTCCCGCTACGTCCGGGCGGCTCATGTCCCAGCAAATCTTTTTTTACACCTGCTGGTCGGGACTCTTGTTCATTCCTGGTTGATTGAACCAAGTGGTTTCCGTTCTTTTTTCTTCTTTATATGACCAGTCATGTTTATATTATCCTCAACCTCAGGTACGACAGTTTTTTGATTTGAGCTCCACACTCGCTCAATGGGGGGAAAATTTCTTTGCTTGGGATTTTTTGGCATCTCCTTTTCGCAATGGGAGTTTGGGGGCGTTGCTTGGCTCCTTTTACAATATACCTTTTCTGGATGTTTTCTTTTTTCTTTTCTGCTTTACGGGTTCTAGCATTGTGAATGGGTATCGATCGATTTTTCTCTTGCACTGATGAGATGCTGGATTGGTTTAATATGGCTTGGGCTAAGGTTGGACTTGGGCTTGCGTCTGTCCCACCAGACTGAGTGCCTGCACCAAATGTAATTTCACCCCTAATATGTCACGCATTCAAGACGATCTTTCCTGATAAATATTGTAATTCCCAAACGACCTTTAATACTTGGACGTGGAATCTCCCCTGTCCATACTTCGTAGATTACAGTCATAGATGCACCCTGCAGGACGTTGCAAGCGGCAGGCGGTGAGCCTCTATCGATAACCCACTTTTTTTCTTTCGCGGCCGACGATCCAGAAATCCCAGTCAATCTTAAGAATCGCAAAGAGCATTTCGTTCTTTCTATCTCGCAATTGGACAGCTTTGACCCGATCACAAATTCCCCGAGTCAAACCGCCACGCACTCTCAACCAACTCAGCAACCACCAGTCCATTCACAACGCCATCCGACGAGTCAAGCTTCATAACCACCAATCCCCTCCCCGCGACCTCGAAACGAAATACCCTCGAATACCACCATGCCTGCCTCCGTCCACGCCGAAGAGCCGCAAGAGGTCGACCAGTCCATGCTCGACGCTGAGCCTGAGGTCGACCCCATCATGCTAGAGGAGAAGCGCGTCATCGTGGTTCGTATACATTCCACCGACAGGACTGAGAACCTTTCTTCTCTCGCTCTGCTCTACTTTCTACCCGAGAAAATATATTTATATTGACCGTGTTCGTTTCCAGCTCCCCGGTTCCTCTGAAACATCCGCCTCGTTTCAGTTCGAAAATGAAGGCCACACCATGGGCAATGCCTTGCGATACGCCATTATGAAGAAGTGAGTCAAAGTCAAGCCGGAAGCTAAGCTGTTCTGCTCTGTTCTGTTCTTCCGCGGCATAGCAAGCTATGCCCCCCTGGGAGGGCTTTCTTGTCGTGGCCCTTTTTTATTATAACGCCCCGAGACTAATACGTTACAGTCCCGCCGTCGAGTTCTGCGGATATACCATCCCCCACCCCTCCGACCCAAAAATGCACCTCCGCATCCAGACAACTGGTAAGTCTGAGTATAAGTTTACGCACGACGCTTGCGTTTTCAAGTCCTTCGGGGCGTTCTTTCTCGGCAGCTAACGAACTTCTGCAGATAACACGACCGCACTGGAAGCGTTGGAAAAGGGCTTCAGCGACCTGATGGACCTCTGCGACGTTGTTACGGAGAAATTCACCGATGCGAGGGATCAATTTAATGAGGAGAATGCCAATCGCATGCAATCTTGATTTTGATTGATGTGTGCGGGATCTCGAAGTGAACCTTTTGCATTTTGTTTCGGGGCGTTTGGGTTTGAGCTTCATACAATTGTTTGCTTTTTTTTTTGTCTGGATTGTGGCTTGGCTGGAGACTGGCTAGCTGGGACAGTAGGGGATGTATGTATGTATGTATGTATGTTTGTTTGTTGAGGATAGCGAGAGTTGCATAGGATATTTCCAACTTGAATGGTCATGTCTCTGCCCAAGTATTGAAGCGGTTCGTTTATAGAATAGATGTATTCGGGTTACATAGGAGGGTTAAGAGTAAATCATAGTATGCTTTCTAATTAAGAATTACTTGAGGTAGGGGTAAGAATTCTAGTGCCTCAAAGAGTTTATATGGTTTATTCTAGATGTTGGGGCTACTTAGCCCTAACACACCCCTGCAGAACTTGAGCGCTATCGGAGGGAAGTGATCCATGGATGACAAAGCTGAACGAGAGAATACAAGGATCGGAGATCTATTCACTTAAAGACGAGCGAGTGACTAGGTTAAATACATGAAAAAGGCAGAAAATAAACCAACAGAAGTAGAGGCATATGCGCAGGATCTGCAGATGCTGAGCCCCATCAACACGGGTTCGATGAGATGGCCTCTACACGAGCGGGGCTTATAAGCAAGATCGACTAATGGCGTATACTATTTGATGGAGTCATGTGTGAATATTGACTGTAAACCGCAGTGATATGACTCCAACGGCTTGACAGAGGTGAGCCATGAGATGCCTATTTCTGAAGAGCCAAGTTAATATTTAAATTCCAATTAATTCCATGGGAGCAGAATGAAATACTAACATACCTATCTAGTATAGTTTCATACCCCGAGCGACGGAAACGGGCGAATGGCCGTCGATATTGTAGCATTGCTTGGAGTGGAAGTAGTCCCCATCGTAGGAGTATGTGTCGTAGAGAAATGAGTTCGCACTGCAGCTGGGCTGGCTGTAGAATGCAATTCTCTGCCCGTTACTCTTTCCCCATCCATTTTCCTTGTAAGACTGGAAGGCTTGGGTTTTGGTAGAGCAGGCTGCATTGTTGTCGACCTTGACGTCCTGGACTGTGCCTGTGCAGTCACGACCGCTGTAGGTCAAGACATTGACTGCAAGGCTGCCTTGAATGCAGAGGGCGGCGGCGGTGGTGAGGATCTTGGACAAATGCATTCTAAAGATGTTGAAGTACCGACAAGCTTGAAGCTTTTCTTGAACGTGAATATAGAATCGGAGGAATGATTTCAACGATGTTGGGATTTGTTTGGCTTTGGTGAAGAAAGGAATTTTCTTTATTGAGATGAATGTTGGTTTATATAGTATCTACAGTCATGGCACTTTCATCTTACAGGGCTCTAGATTATACTACTAGTACTATCAAGTTATCATAGCCTACTATTCACTCTTCAGGGCGTATTCAGCCTCCAAAGCGTATTTAGCTGAAAGAGCGTATTAGGCTTACCGGGCACATTTAGCTTATAGGGCGTATTGGTATTATAGAGCGTATTTAGCCTAAATCTCTATGTTCACAGCAAGGAAGCTGATGTCAGACGCTCCTATATCCACATGTCTAAGTAGAGGCCATCAATCGGTATTCGAGGATGCTAGTACTTGCGTGGGTCTAATTTGTCAGGTAATGTTGCTGACCTGTAGGTGTTATGATCCATTTTATCGACTCAGAAGGTTTAATTATGAAGCCATATCATATAATTCTCCCTCTCCTGCCATTTGGGAATATCTCTCCTACCGCACCGACCTCACCATCGTCCCTGGCTTCGCCGTCGAGCTTCTCTTCACGAATCCCGTTACCCGTTCTGAAGGCGAAAATGCAAGAAATAGTACCTGTGCGCTTAGTTTATCGCTTTTTCGTTTTCAATCCTATCGCTCCACTCAATGACACTTATTGCTAAATTTTCACCTGTAATGGCAACGTAGCCGTAAATAGAATGAAAGTCGGTCGGCGCAATTGGCTAATAGAGCTTCAAGTCTGCGGCGCAATCCAAATGACCAATTAGATAACACTTACAGGTCAGCAACATTACCTGACAAGATAGACCCACCCAAGTACTAGCATAGGGTCCTCAAATGCTGATTAAATATTTGGTCAAAATGAATGTAGACAGGGCCCGTATACGTTCATAGCAAGTACTCTGTCTATAACCGGAGAACCTAATCACCAAAGAGATGCGCAATGTTCGAAGAGGTATTCCTTTATCGATACTCTCGTCCAATTCTTTAGGGATTGTCCACAAAACTACTACGTACTTCAGACACAAGACAACTACGAAGATCAATACGTCCCCACTGGCAGTACAAAAATCGCCAAGAAAAAAGATAAAAGATTCGGCGACACTACTCAGACAATATTTACACATCATGTCTTCGCCGATGGGACAGCTCCACCGGCTATCATGCCATAAGCTGGCGATAAAGGGAAAAAAAAAGTAAAGGGAAGAGGGGTGGGGGTATGGAATGGTCTTTTCAATTGCGGCCCTCCAGGAAGCCGGAGACGAAGTTGGGGGGTAGTCGGGCACCGGGGTCCTCCTCTGGGCGGAAGTACTTCATGACGTGGGAGAGTTGCTTCCAGTAGTTGAGGGTTTCCTGTTTAGCGATTAGTATTGGGTCTCGAGCAGAGCGGGGTGAAATTCGCAATGGCGATAGGAATCCATGTGATGGTTGAATGCAGCGGAATTGACGTAGGGTGTATGGGGATCAGGCTCCTTGTTCCTATCCAACCATCCAATGCCGCGTGTGATATTGTATTGCCTGTCCAACGAATGGATTCCTATCGCTCGCGATGCCGGGACTAACCTGGAACTCAGCATGGCTCTGGAAGAGCAGCACGTCAACGGCGGGGAGCTGGCTAACGTAGCGGTGCTTCTCGAACTCCTGGCGGACCTTGGTGCGGATGGCGGATACGGGCATGTTCAGAGAGTACATGGTCTGGATCTCGGGGGACTGTGGGCATATAACCAAGTTAGCTTGACCGGCATCATTGGATATTCCCGGCATTCCTGGTTCTTGGAAAGCGTATCGACCACCTCTCTGGTCTATTTGAAAGTATCAAGGGACCAGATAAAGTGGCTTTTTAAAACGTAACAAGGACAGGGCGGGTATCGGGTCGGGGGATATCAGGGTAGACTGACCGCGCGCAGCCACTCCCGGTAGGTCTTGAGAACGCGGAACTTGGCATCGGACCAGTTAACGGCTAAACGACGAGAAAGAGATATATTAGTTATGCTGTAAAAGGCGAGCAAGGCTCAATTGCAGGTCAACGCCGGGTGGCAGTCGGAACACCTCGGGCGATGAAGGAGGGGGTCGAGGACGTACAGGAGCGCGTCCGCTGCGCGAGGTAGGTAGGGTTGATAGTCATGGTGAGAGATTGGTGTCCACTTGGTCCGAAGATCAGGGAAAAGAGGGGAGAATTGGAGGTTCACGGCGAAGCTCTGATGGTGGAGGTTTCGCAGGTGAGGTTTGGGTGGGTGGAACGGGGCGGTCTTGTCACCGCCTGCCTGATTAAAAATTTCTTTCTCGATTTCGGCGCAACGTTGATTTGCCTCGTTCTTTTTCTCTGATAAACATTTCCTTAAGAATTGCTCCTTTACGGCCGGATTTACTTCTTGGTCTTTCTACTAGCGTCACAGACCTCCTGGATATCCTGACCGACAACCCCACGGTCTACCAATAGCCCTCGATCGCCCCAAAATTTCCACCGGCGCATTTTTCCGCTCTCCGCCAACAAATTCCAATCCACTTGAACCTTCGCATATTACGATATGGCGCCCACGAAAGGGTCGTCTAAGGGAGGGCCGTCTAAAGGTGCCTCTGATGGAGGTAGCAAGGGCTCCAAGACTTCCACAGTCTCCGGCGGCTCGCGTGTGAGCAAGTCCAAGAGCAACGTCAAGCGTCCTCCTCCCAAGGAAATGAAGAAGAAGGCGCGCACCGAGCAGGCAAATCTCCAGAAGAAGAAGAAGAGAGTCTACACAGATGCAGAGCTGGATCTGCCCAAGTTGAACGCTATCACTCCTGTTGGTGTGGTGAAGCCCAAGGGCAAGAAGAAGGGCAAGGTTTTTGTTGATGATCAGGTACGTTTACTATGGCTTTGAGTGACCCAATTGGGTGTAATTCCAATCATCTGTGATACTAATTTTCTTTTTCTATTCAGGAGGGCATGATGACCATCCTCGCCATGGTGAATGCGGAGAAGGAGGGACAAATTGAGTCCAAGATGATGAAGGCCCGCCAATTGGAGGAAATTCGGGAAGCAAAGAGAAAGGAGGCCGAGGCCCGCTTGACAGAGAAGAAGGACAAGTTGGAGGCTGTCAAGGCTGATATTCGACAGAAGAAGAGAGAGAAGAGTGGCAAGGGCAACTCCGACGACCGAAAGTCTGCGCCCTCATCGGGCAAGTCCTCCGCCAAGGGAAAGCGGAAGAGTGTTTCATTTGCTTGAACAAGATCACAAAAGCGGCTACTGTCTATACCATCTTCATGTATCTAGACCGGGGTTTGGCGTTCTGACCGGGTTATGTCTAATTCTCAAATTCTTTCCAAAAACTTATTGTGAATAGCACTGTCGACCATGTTGGCGGAGCCTGATTCGATTATGGATTACGGGCTTTTATTGACGAATTATTCGAAATAGCATTGCGTTTTTTTTTAAGAATGATTGGATTGAAGTTCTTCTGAAACACACATCCTAAGATAGAAAATTTCGCGGCTCATCTATCGCTGGTCATAAACTACATATAAAATTACTGCCGGATAAACCCTTAACAAACACCATTGCATCACATTTCATCCATCACATCACATCAAGAATAAGCTCATCGCAACAGCTAATCCCGTCAATCCGCCCATGATGCGGAGCTCTGGCTTGAGAGAGGGACCATCGTTGCCCCAGAAGTCATCCCACTTGTCCTTCACGTTATCACCGATATCCTCAGCCTTGTCAAAGATGCTACGGCCGTCATCGTCATCGTAGCGACAGTGGTCATCGTCGTCATCATCGCAGCAACCATAACGGCTGTTTCTCTTCCGGCATTCTTTATCCGAAGGACATCCTCCGGAGAAATCGTTGGGACAACAGCTGTAAGATTCCGGGAAGCAGGCATTTCCGCACTTGACTTGGCTGCTTGAACACTCGACATCGTCGTCGTCTGAATCGGGTCGAGGGGAGCGAGCCAGGACATGTGCAGGGCTCACGCGTCCTTGGGAGGGACTTAGATTGTTCTCGCGGCGGAGAATGTTCGAATTGGAATCGACAGCGATAGTTGGGCTGGCCAGGGCGGACATTGGGGCCAGCAGAAGAGCTCCGAGATAAATAGAGAAGCGCATCTTGTAGTTTCGTTCGAAGTTTTGAGTTGAATAAGGTTCCAAGTTCTTGTAGATCAAAATTATAAAGTATAGAGGAAAGTTGTATAGATCTGTAAATATGAGATCGAGAACGGTGAAGGTAATTGAAGATGATAATAACACAAAAGCCCAACCTAGGACACTCCTTATATACAATCAACAATTAACCTCAGGACCCTGCATCGATCTCACCTCTCAGCTGTGATATCGGTGGCTGAGGGTGTAGATCGGGCCGTCATGCCGCAACGGGAATCACCCTGCGCGGCAGGGCTGAGCATAATGACACTGGACCCTTTGCCAAGAAAAGGCCACTCGCCAAGAGGTCAACACCGCTACAACTGAACTGGAACCGCTGCTATACGAACCGTTGTTTGGGGGCTTAAAGTGTAGATCTGGTGCTAAGACCAGAAAGGGAATCACCCAGCGCTTTTTTGGCCCCTTCGCCAAGAACCCACGCCACTCGCCAAGTCCAACACCGCTACTGTCAACGCTCGTATGCGTATGCAGAGAAGCAGCAAGGTTGATTTACTTGTGAGAAAATAGTTCTCAATTATTATGGATGTGTTCCATGAGCCAGCTTACTTTTTGGCTCCCATTTTTAGCCTTCTGCTGATCGGTAGTTTACTCTCGGAGCATGGCCAAGTGAGCAATATTGGGATGGACAGCAATTCCGAAAGGATATTGCACGCTCTGACTAGAACTTGAAGGGAATACCGAGAATCTCTCATGATTACGAACCACATGTTAGCGGGAGCAAAAGGTAGAATCAGATATGATGCATCATGACTTCTTTGACCCCCATGTCATCAGCATATGCATATCAGTATTGCTGCCTTGAAATCGTACCCAAAGTTCGGACCTTTGATTTTGGAGGATCACACCTGCGTTTTCCTTCCCATCGGCCGCCGGGAGGCTTGATATTGAGCAAAAGGCTGGGTTTGGAGGCCAGCCAAGCTAAAGTACAAGGAACATGCAAAAAGCAAAAAGATGTGACCAGACCCGGGCTCGATCCGAGGACCTCATCGGTGTTAACGATGCGTCATAACCAACTAGACTATCCGGCCGACTTGTTATGACAGCTGCTCCATTTTTGACCATATCAAGCTGAATTGAGATATTATGCCCAAGACTCAAACTTCATAGTTTCAATCCAGGCTGTAACAACAAGGTCTATCATGATAAAGCAAATATAAAACATTACTTCCCATAGTATACATACAGTGCTTTAAAAAAAGCATGTTCATCTCCTATTTCTCCGCATCAATGCCATATTCATCAGTTTCTGGCCAGTACACACATTTACGGGCTTAAAAAACTCCCAAAGAATAATCCAAAGGCATCGGCCTTACGGCCCATGCACAGGAGACATGCAAAAAGCAAAAAGTGACCAGACCCGGGCTCGATCCGAGGACCTCATCGGTGTTAACGATGCGTCATAACCAACTAGACTATCCGGCCGCTTGATGATGACAAATCATGTGACTGTATACAAGTTCGCTGCCTCGAGCCCTAGGCATCCTTGCATAATGAGATTCTCTACTTCTCCTTCCTGCATCTGACTGGCACGTGTCATTCGAAAGAACTCCGCAAACATAAATCATACTGCCTTTTGTCCTCCACTTTTTTCTCAATGAAATCAAAGGCGTTGAAAATCTAATAAGGCATAGTGATTATCCAAAAGTTTGAGTCACCATGGCTGTTAGAAAATTGTGGTTGGATATGATCGTAGAAAATACTGAAAAGCGCTGTAGGGCTGTTCAATGCGAGAGAGTACCAGAATGTTCCGCGATCCTAGCTTCGCTGTAGTACAGAATGAGGTTTGGGCGAGGAAATCGTTATTTCTTTTGATTCTTCCTCTATGAACTCTTTGTGAAGAGCTCCGTACTTTTCTGAACTGATCGAGTCGGTTGCTTGGTCACTCGACCAGTGGGGAGGGTGAATTATCTCTAGAGGCTGCGAGTATGCCCATTCTAGATCGATGAAGTATGTGATGTTCCACTCATAATCAACAAAGATGTTGCTTTGATGAATGTCAGTGAACGTGAGAAATAAGGGCCCGCGCAAAAGCTCTCGGGAAAAGTAACAAGACCAAATACTCCGCATGACCATCAAAGCTGATGTTTGATAAAATCCATCCTCAAGATGGTTTATTGAGTTTGGTTTATGGCATAGACGGCTGTCGTGAAAGGATATAATATCATGGATGTAGGAATCAGCAGATGTGTAAGTGGTATTCCTTGGAATATCGACAGGTATTTGCTCATTTTCTAGCTGCTGGAGCTGAAGGGTGAGCGGCCGATTTTCTAACTTCACACAATCTTTCTCATCTAAGATAAAGGAGCCAGTTTTGGGTAGTAGCGTGCGGGCGAGCGCGAGAAGAGTGCGAGAGAGGCCACGAAAAAGAGTTTTGCGTAGTCGGGGGCCATGACGACCTTCTCCCCATGATTCGGAGAGCTTCTTGCCTCGAGATGGCTCAATATACTCAATCGGAATATATCCTGTCCTTAAAGAAATGGGTCCTTTGTACTTGATCTGAACATATTGAGAAGGGATAGCACAGCCAAACCAACCTAGAACTAGTCGCCGTAGTTTCTCTACTGAGCGTGGAATAAAATTTAGGTTATCAAGAGCAGTTAACTATTAAATGAGTTAAATTTGGTAAAATTAATCTGAAGATAGTGGTCCATACAGCTGTACCTGAAGCCAGTCCAATTCCATAAATTTGGGATCGTAATATCCGGGCAATTTGCCTGGAGCCACGCGTAAGTCCCAGCTTTACAAAGTATTTTCTCATCAGAGTTTCCGGGATTGGCAGCATTTCCAACTCGATATGGGAAGGGAAACCGCATGATGACTCTTTTCGGGGATATTCCGGCCTGGCCATGAATATCAAGTGGAATGCAAACATTGAATCTGCCACACATCCACTGTCCAGGGTCTGTGATATCGCATTCTGCTAGAGAATTTAAGCCAAGCTGTTGAGTGACAATCGATCGAATAGAGTCACGGTTGTTGTATAAATAAGAAGGATATCTTATCCTCTGACCGTAGTAGTCCAATTCATGGAGAATATTTCGGTCACTTCCGTTCGTAGCTAAATATGTGGTACTGCCACGAAGAAGGCGACGACAGTTTGAGGCGATTTTTCTTACGTCATGAGCTTCAGCCATGATGAGTCGTTGCTTTCAGACAAAATGATATCCAGGAGAAGCGGATTGTTGATAGATTGTAAGGGTTAATGCTTCGGATAAGCCGCCGTCCCGACCCCTGCAGTGAATGAGCCGCAGCGGCTGCACGCATACATTGAAACGGAGACTCATCCACGTCCCAATTCTGGCAGTAAAAAATTAAGATAATAACATTAACATAAAAGGCAAAAAGAGGCAAAAAGAAATGTGACCAGACCCGGGCTCGATCCGAGGACCTCATCGGTGTTAACGATGCGTCATAACCAACTAGACTATCCGGCCATTGTTGATTTTAGCGAAAATATTTGGCTACACGATTCAAATTAATACTGAGGTCGTTATCACGAAAATAAGATACCTGTGAGGAAACCAGACTTGCCTCAACCTCGACATGCCCATTCAAATCAACTAAGCTCGCTTTTACTATTCACCGAGCTTGCGATTCAATGTCTTAAATCTGTGGCAGATTTTGACTTTTCTCGATTTCTTAAGTTTCTGCCGAGAACTTTTCGATTTGAGCAAAGTTGAATCAGGACTACGTCAAGGCGCCTTTCTCTATGTCAACTTTGGATTTATCAATTCGGTGATTCTCTCCCTCATCCTATCATTATCGGCATTTATTATAGCTGCATAGGCCGATTCTTATGGAATCGTTGCAGATTATGTTCCTCCACTTGAGTATCGTGACTATCTTGGCTCGGTACGAATCACTATACCACATGGTTGTACGACCTTTGATGCGGGGTTGAAGTTTACCGAACTGAATTCAGAAGAACAATAATCCCGGCTGTGGTATAATTTGAAAGGGATCTATGCGAAAGCCGAATACCTAGGTACTCCATGAGAAGATATACCCCTTTAAATTCTTTTTTTGGGGTAGTTAGCTCGCACTTCGGAAGCTGGACAATCATATAAGCAGCTACACAGATTTGGTTCTAAATCTAGAGTACCATTCCAGATTAAATGTCAGACCATCAGCACAAATCGTGCCCATAAACAATAGGTCTACTTCATTATATGCACAGGGACATTCTCGCGGAGACAAATGACATACGTACGCAATGTTCTAAGGATACTCTAATATCCTGAAGTCTCTCCCCAGAAGCCCTGTCACCTTGGAAGCCTTGGGTTTCTAGAGGTCCGCTTCTCATCTGTTCGCAAGGTGTCACTCTTTAGAAATTCCTTTGAATGGACAGTCTAACAAAGAGAATGAGCTTAATTTTGTTGCTTGTAATATTGCAGGAACCACCACATGTGCCCATTGCGGGTTTCGAACCTTTTCATATAGATTTTAGTAGCCAGGGTACACAGATTCACAGTAAGAATCAAAGCTACGTGGCCGAATCCACCGCTCATTCGCACATATAAGCTCTCACTTTCATGGTCACGGAACATGCTTAACAGCTCAATTCAGCGGTGGTGACAGTTCTAAGAAGAAAGCCATGAATGTGTTATCTTCTACGCATGGTTTATACAAAAAGTTTCCAAGTCAGGTATTGAAGCTAAATGAGTATTATGATGGATCCCAAGACTATTCGTTCCTATAATTGGATTATATCTACGATCTCGGTGGCTAATATGCTTCTTGGTTTGATTGAGTTGAGCTTCTTTCCGCCGCCTCAATTGCTTCAATGTAGCGTGCGGCCGTGAATTAAAAATACTAGTATCAATCGACGATTTCAGCCAACTGGATATTATGAGAAAGTTCTGCGCAATGCATCATGCAACCAATCAAGAGAAAAAGAATTTCCAGCCTGACATTAATCCTATCCATGGATATTTGTATATTTTGTGTTTAAACCCCAGCCCAGCTCGACTCATTACACTTGGGGGCAATCTTCAAGCGTATGTCGAGAGGGAGGAAGCACCCCCTGGACAGAAGTAAATTCATGGCTGGCCTCACATCAGCTTCTCTGTCTGTCGAGAGTTCAAAGGTCATATGGCTGTTCCAAGGTTAGTCTATCTTAATCATCTACTATTGACCGCCTCGTCTGCAGCTACACTAGGTAAGAAGAGTTCAAAAGTTCTGCCGTGGCAAAAATGCATGGGGGAAATGGGAGCTTTCTCGGCGCCCTCATCACTAAATTGGAACTCGTGGGATGCGCGCCTGTCATTGCCCAAAGGATTATTTGAACAGCGCGACTTTCGAGAATTTAAGAGCCAATTGAAGCCCCGATGAGAAACTTAGTTCCGATCTAAGCAGTCTTGGAGAAATGACAAATTTGGACGGAGAAGCGGTCAAAAAAGGGAGAATGGCTGGAGGAATTGTACAGTCGCAAACTCCAAAAAGATCCGGGCTTATTTGTCTTTAGGTAATAGCGGCAAAAGTGAGGCCTTTGATCATCAAGTTGGCCGGATAGTCTAGTTGGTTATGACGCATCGTTAACACCGATGAGGTCCTCGGATCGAGCCCGGGTCTGGTCACATCTCTTTTTGCCTTTTGTGTATATGTTATAATTTTTTTTTTTACTGCCAGAATTGGTAGAGTTGGGTTCAGTCCCGTCAGACGAGCCCTGGAGTTCCTTTAGGTGATTGACTCCTCGTTTTAAACTTCTGAGTGCGGTAGCAGATCTGCGATTTTTATTTCCCCATAATGTTAGCAATACAGATACGCTAGCATCAATCTCATAACCATTCGGGTCATATGCAGTTCCTCCCATACCCTTCTGAGCTCCGAAATCCAAAAGAAGCTGAACAATTTCCCCGTTGCCACAAACAGCCGCAATGAAGAGCAGAGTTCCAGAAATGCCTTTTTCTAGGTATCCGAGCGCCTCGATATCTGCGTTTCTTTCGAGTAGCATTCGGATGATCTCTGTGTAGTCCCCACTAGCGTTGTCACCATACCTCCCCCAAGCAGCGGCAACCAATGGTGTGCACATCTGTCCATTTATAAGCCCAACCGCGTTCACCTCAATGCCTGTCTCCAGTATCAGAGATACAATGTAGGTTTCATGTAAAGTTCTTGGAAGGGATCTGAGCTGCTCGCGAAGGGTGTGAAGATCCAGGGAGTTAGTGCGGTTTCGGTATCTTCTTCTCTACGACTGGTAAAAATGAACTGTACAGCATCGTTCTGCCCCAACGTCTGAAGCCTCTTGAGGAGCTCGGCTCTTTCGCCACACTCATCGAGAGCGTCAATTATTATAAAGCACTTTCCATGTTTTTTACCATTCCTTGGAATGTTGTGAACAGTGTGCTCAAAAGCGGTTGCTTTTCTTTTGTGAAAGAGTCAAAAAGACGATCCAGCTCCCTTTGGCAATCAGCGGATTTTGCATACAGCTGAAATATGAGCGAGCGTACAATCTTTTCCACAGACTGCTTGCTTGCATCGTTGCTATTGCAGAAGAAATAGAGGACAGAGTGTGAAAGGCCTTCTGAAAAATGATCAACGACTGTTGCGCAGATAATAGTCTTACCGCTTCCTGGAATTCCATTCAGCCAGATGTATCGTCTCCCATGCTTCCATTGCTCCAATATCCGGCTACCAAGAAATCAAGATTCTGTTCCGTCATGTTGCTTTCCGGGCGCGTGTTGGAGATCAGTCGAAACGTCTATAGGCGAGGGCCATGATCGTAGACTAGTCATACTATTTTCTGATTGCAAATTTTGGATGCCCTTCTGGATGACTTTTATATCTTAACTAACTTCATTCGTGTTAGTTTCCATCTTTAAATATTCAGAAGGTCTACTAACTGGACTTCATTGCTTCGGCAGCTGTCGGTGTGACCTGGAGTTCCCTCGAAGGAACATAGCCAAGTAGCTCCTTAGCATAGCAGGCCGCGGTCGCGGAAGCATACTTCTACCAGCGATAATTTTTATGTGCATCAGCGTAGTCCGAAGTTCCTCTGATAACAAGACAGGGAAAGTTCATCATCAATCCCGCCGCTTCCATTTCCAGGCAAATGATATCCTTTGCGACATCAACCAGGATTTGATCCCTTCTTTGCGCGTCTTTAACAAGGACGTTGCCTGATCCAATAGTTCCTTAATGGACTTGTGGCTCATCATCAGGGCGCTTCTTGCGCTGAACCCCCGCTCAGCAGTTTCACAAACACTGCAGTCATCGCCTGGCTGGTGGTAGGATGACGATTTGAACAGACGATCATTCTCGGACCCCTGATAAACATAACCATCTATCGACTGTGTCACTTTTGGCGGTAAATCCTGGAGAAATTCAGAGATGCGAGAATCATCTATAATATGCTCAGCCTCAATATGCGTCACGGCGTTAAGTAACACTTGAGGTGGTAGACCTAGACAGTCCTTACGATCCCATCCGCCAGCCGTGGCCTTCCCTATATCATACTGAATAACTCCTCCGTGTGTTCCACTGGGCTTGCTTACGACGACATCACCTAGTCGCAAATCACTGTTCTGGCCGTGAGATAGGCCCACCAATCCCGACCAGAAGACCGATTCGAATTTGAGGTAAAGAAGCAAGAAGACCCGATGTTGTTATAGCGGCAGAGGTTATACCATAGACACCCGGGGCAAGAGACGCAATTACAACATTATGCTCGTCAATTCGACCCCAGCTGTAGGAATTCTTATCCGATTCGTGCTGAATAAAACCGGTGGGTTTTGTATGGCGCTCATCAAGCATTCAAACAGCCGCTGCACGTTCGATAGCTAGGGCTGAAATTCATCCCACCGTATACAGATCGGGACTGCTCAGTTACTTTTTAGGTGGCATGTTGGGTAAAGTCTTGAGTATTGCGAAGCAAAGGCGCTTGGTGTGGTATTCGGATATTCTGGAGCGCGGTAGCAGTTGTTCATATCCGAATCTGAAGCCTCTATACAGAGCCGTGTGTGATTTGATGCCTGCAAGCTCAACAAGACAACTTAGAGGCTATCGGAACTTTCAGTAAAACGATAAAGTCAATGGATTCCAAAGGAGGGGCTCCGTGTACCTATTTATCGGCTGCCTAGGGGCGCTTCATGGGGAATTGCTCAATGGTCATGATCTTGGCTCCCGGCCCCGCTATGGCCTGCTAGAAACCCGAAGAGTCTTTGGCAGGGGCCAGCGAGACAACATAAGCCCACATATCATGTTGTTTGGAGCCTCCAGTTCCTCGTTTTCTTTTTCCTACCTAGGTAGCATATATATTAGCCACTTAAACACAAAGCCAACGCCAAATTCCCCTGGATCACATCGCTCTTAATTTCGAGAAAATCAAATGAGACTTCTCAACAACTTTGATAGATATGCGAGATTTTTTTTTCTACGGTTTTCCCCTTTTCCCTTCGTGCAATTTCGTTTTCCCTTTACGGGTTTGTAGATATGGCTGCGGAGGAATTGGGAAATGGAGTCTTGGATGTGACGGAGGCATACAAGATAAAGCCTAGCACTTGTGTGACTGCCAGGATGCCACCAGTATATTTAATTATGATTGCGAGATAGCGAGATGCAAAAATTCAAGCTTTGGACTGCAGTGATCACTGCGTTCTATCAAGAGAGGCAAGGGATCCACCTAGGGCAAAAGCAAAAAGAAATGTGACCAGACCCGGGCTCGATCCGAGGACCTCATCGGTGTTAACGATGCGTCATAACCAACTAGACTATCCGGCCATTGATGAATAACGTCGCGTTTTATGGCTATAAGAAGAAAAACGAGATTACAGCCAAAAGACCGCTAAGACCGCTCCGAAGCTGTAATCAAATCCCTAAAAGATGGCAAACTGACCGTAAGATAGTCATTTCATAAACAAAGCAAACCTTGGAATATAATCCTCCAGTTCAAAGGCATGTGCATTCTGTCCGAGTCTCTGCCCGCAGCTAATATGCTGCCAACTTATTGAGCCTTCCAGTGAACTTGAATTGAACGGTTGATTAACAGGAATATATATATACCTAGATATCCAGGCCCGGGCGTCCAGGGCCAAGCTCGCGGTACTATAACCTTGGAACTTGAAATTAAACCTCCATTAAGTTCCAGGAATCTCCAACCCTACCCATGTGGAGGTCTGGAACCTCTAGAGCCGATAATCCAGAAGCCGGAACTAACACCAGAACTACTATTTGTCATGGTCTTATATTCCAAGGTTGTTAGATAACAAAGGAAATAAAGGTTCAAATCTGCCTTTTTTTGGATGGTTCACACACTCGAGTTTTTCTTCTACAATGGACGGTATATATGTTTCTATGTGGGTAAGCTCTGAGAGCAGAATAATGCCTAACAAATAGATTGTAAGTGAACTAGAGGCTGGAGCTATTGTGGTGGTCATGCTATAGCCTGCAGAGGTGACGCTCGCTACGGAAACTTTAAACACACGTCAAATATTCCAAGGCTATGGACAATCCAGACGAGCACAGCAATTGCCACTCCAGTAGCTTCTTTTAGCCTGGGGGAGCGTTTTAGTCAAGAGGAGTACAGTCTTACCTCCGGTTTTATCAAGTGGAAGGCCTTGGCAAAGTTGCATGTGCGGATTTGGGTAAGCTAATGCGCTTATATCTCGTCCCTCCTTCTTTTGAGATGTCCAGATCAAGGTTAAACTACTGGTGCGATGGAATACAATGGAATGAGAAGAGAGCTTCGGTTATATTAGACTGTGTACCGGATTACATCTTCGTTGCCAGTGTGTTCAGCGAACTTGGCATTGGACACAAAACCTTCATGGGAAGGACCTTTCTGGTCAATTGAGGCTGGCCTGACTTTTGAGGTAAGGGTCTCCTGGCAGATAAGCCTAAAACTGTTAGGCGTAGCACCTGACCACGCAAGTGACTCAGGTATAGCCCTGCTCACAGGCCCTTATTTTGCATCATATATCACGCGAGTTATAGTTAGTTCAAAGCAAAGCAAGATAACTCTTATACTTATGGAGTGGACAATAGATTTCAAATGAAATTCCCGGGGAAAATGATAGATCCAGCGGGTAGATTTATGTCGGTCTCATTGTGATTTACACGGCGTACTCGACTTCAAAAAAATCAGCAGAAAATATTCACAAAAGGCAAAAAGAGATGTGACCAGACCCGGAGTGTTATCGGCCTTTCTTGAATGAATTTTGAAGATAGTATCCTCAATCAGTAACATGTCCAATCCCAGGAGTGACAAAGAGAGTCACTTTTTCTAATCAATGGCAATAATACAAAAATATACTAGTAGTACTAGTGGATTTGAAGTATATTGGAGGTGTGAGAGTCCCACGAGGTCTGCCCATAACTTGAATGCCACTGGCAGGGTCTTGCAGCACTGCCACCAGCACTGCTTGCCACCGTAACCCACACTGAGACGCAAGAACTGAAACAGCTTCCATTGAACCGGTGATTTGTTCAGGTGGTTACAGACGGTGCCGCCTCGAGATAAAGTAATATCCAATTCAATCGACTTTAGAGCGAAAGGTTTGACAAAAATGTAGATACGTGGAAGTGGCAAACTTTTCAGTTCTAGTAGAATCTGCCATTATATTGGACGTGAAAAGCCCACTCAAACCAGAGGCGTAGTGGATAATCTATTTTATCGACCAGTAGTTACCTCGGCGGTCTTTCTGGTACGGTATGTGAGATCGTAACTCCACGTGAATTACGTTTTGGATCATATAGCCAGAAACGGAACTGCAAATACATCAAGCGGCCGGATAGTCTAGTTGGTTATGACGCATCGTTAACACCGATGAGGTCCTCGGATCGAGCCCGGGTCTGGTCACATCTTTTTTCTTTTTTTCTTTTTTTGCGTATCTCTTTGCTCCTGCTATTTTTACTGCAGCTCTGCTATATCAGGCTTTAATTTTTGGACCGCCATATGGCGCTAATTGAGCGAGCATCGTCTCAATCCCGCTGCATGGACCTCGGGATTCGTAATGGTAGCAAACGATTTATATTCAACAGACACATTCTTATGATGATAAACAAGCGCTGTCTATTATTTATGAAATGTAAATCTATCAATCTATGGAAAAGAGCCCCGCCGAACCGGGCTGTCTAGCAGCTCAAGTCTGGCTTCATGTACATCCCCATCTATTTCTGGAACTTCATATCCAGCTTCCGCAGCACAGGATGGAACTCAGGCCGAGGAGCCGCATCGACATCCTTGCCAGGACCAGGGTGGCTGGCAATCTGACCCGGCAGCTTTGCAGGGTTTTCAACAACACCAGGGATATTAGTGTCTATTTCCCGAGCCATCTTATTCAAGAAATTATTGACCGGCTTCACGAACCACCGAGCGCCTCCGAACTCAAACCATCCCAAGTGGCCGCCCCATGATGTAGTAACCATGACACCGTATGGTGTTTGGGCCATTTCTTGGAATGGGAGGGCGTCGTATGAAGCAATCTGGGAATTGTTAGTATAGCACTTTTTTCAGCCAGGGGGGTTTGGAGCTGAGGTTTCTTACGGGATCATCTTCGGCCTGGACACAAAGGAACGGAATTCGGATGTTGAGCATAGCGTCTGTTGAGGAGGCGTCGCGGTAGTATGCGCCTTCGGTCGGGTATCCCCAAGTAGGACACTGTAGGTGGCTGAATGATGCAATGTTAGTAAAGACATGTTCATGTCAGTACGCAGAGATCGCGTGTGTAAGCTTTCTTACCGGTCGAATTCGTGCAGATAGGTGATGCTCATCACAGCCTCAGGGTCGATGCGGGGGTTCTTTGAAATTTCCTCGATGTGTCTGGTGGTAGTAGTGTGAGTGGCAATCTCATGACACCAAGGGCTCATTGAAAACGAAAACTCACGATTTGAAGAGTTTCTTCATGTTAGTGCCCATCGTTTTGCTGTACGCTTCCCGACCGAGGAAGGTCGACTGCAAATTAGCCGATCCAATATCCAAGTTCCAAGGGCTTGCGCAGATCACAGCTGCCTTCAACTGGCAGTCTTCGCCCTCTTCTCCGAGGTACTATACAACATCATCCGAGTTAGTCGAAGCAAATAATTTGTTGACATGCTTTTCTTGGAGTCGGCGAACGTACATTAGCGAGAATATTCGCACCGAGCGAGAATCCGATACCAAATAGGGGGCGATTAGGGAAGTTCTTCCTGAGCCATTTCACGGATTGGCGGACGTCCCATGTTGCGCGGGCATTGTACAGCACTCCAGTGCTAATCTTTGTTTGGGCGCAGCCTCGCGAGTTAACCACACATGCCTCCCAAGCGCCATCTTCCACGAGAGGGGCAAGAATATGACGCAGATAGACTTCATGAGAACCACCACTCAACCCGTGGAGAAGAACCAGCATAGGCTTTGTGTCATCAGATGGCAGAGTAGAAAGCTCTTCTTCAGAGTAGAAAGATGTACGCGGTGGGAGACCGTCGGGTTGGGTATACTTTCTCGCCTGGTCGGTGAGTTCCCCGCTTGGGGGCATGTCGTACGGCCTCACAGCAAAATCAATGGCATACGAGCCGGCAAACATGGGCGTTTCCGACTCGAACATCTTGCGCTTATAGTAAACGGGGACATTGTCGTGCTTCAAGGTCGTCCAGACCGTTTGCAAATGACCATTGAAGAGGAATGGGTTCAGGTTGCATGATTCTGGAGTCGCGTCCCGGCAGATATCCACCAGGGATGTCTGCTCCTTTGTGCCGGACTTGGAGACTTTGGTCAAGAGTAGTCGGTTATCCTTGGCGTGGTAGAAGGAAACGCGACCCGAGGGACGAAGCCATGAAAGAAGCCCCATAGCGACCAGCCCTGATAAGAGCAATGATATGGGGAAGGTAGCGAGTAGGTCTGATGCGATCGCCGACATTAGGGTGTATCTCATGCAATAAATGGAAGATACTATGCAAAAGGCAAGCGCGAACGGTAATGCAACACGAGATGTAAGGAATTCGACGGTATTAGTCGAGAGATTGGAATAAATCGCAAATCTCGAATTGCCAAATTGGCGAATCTTGGAACTGTTCCAAATTCGAAATGGACCTCGGCTCAAATCTGGATGACTCAGCATGTTGATGCCTGGCTCCTGTGGAGGTTGATGCCTTGGTACCTTAGTGCCTGAGTGCCTGAACCTTGAGGGGTTCCACTGTTCCACTCGGAGAGCTCCTTTACTTGAATCTTGACCACTTCACATCTTCTACTTCAGCTCGGCTTTACCCGATGGAGTTGAGAAACTTCATTGACCCCCTCTTCTTCGCTCTGGGATTTCTCTTCAACATCCTGTCTCAGCTTCTATCTTACCTTCTCTCCTTGCTGAGCCTCCTGGTCTCCCCCTTATTATACATCACCCATGGTCTACTCTCCATAGCATTGTGGCCCTTACGAGTATTGCTCAAATTCGAGGTATGAAGCGACACTGATGGAATCCTCGATATTTCATTTGCATCTTTTTATTTTCCATTTTTTGTATAATGATCAACTGACCCATCCCTAGGCCTTCATTCTCTTCATCACTGGAGCCGTGTTTACCGGAGTCATTGTAGGGCTATGCCTTTATTTCACCGGCGATGCCCTGACTCAGCTCCTACACCTGTATCCCTCACCTCAAACATCTGATTCCAGAGAGCTTGTCCCTCCCAAAGAAGAGCCTTATGACTGGGAAGCCAAGATAAAGAACGAGCGCTTCTTGTCCTCAACAATCCTGGAGGAAGAAGAGACCAGCTAGGTCTCGGAATGATGTAATGAATATAATATTTCACGGCACATGAAAGCACTAGACTGCTATTTTCTTGAATTTCCGGGCATTACATGTCACTTGGCAGAGCAGCACTATACACGGTCCTAGTTGTCATATATCTAAGACCATCTGTGTCATAAAGCTGCTACTAATAATCAAAAATATTTTGGGGAATGCATTCTCTCATATGTTAGTTCATAAAATAGATGTTTATGTTGATATCAACTGTGATATACGGATGTTATTCACGTGACCTGCGATAAACAATGCGGCAGGGGCGGTGGATTGAAGATAACTTTGTAACAACGCCGAGTGAAGACTAAAATCCATCCAGACTTGATTTTCCATCTTTTCTTCTTTTTCAGATGGCAAGAGCATTCCATCTCCCTTTGGTCGAAGTTGCCAGTTGATGCCAAACTGACGCCGGCGCGTATCTCGCACTGCGTCATTTGCAACCCCGGAAATCAACATCCTGTCATCTACCCGTACTGTCAACTTCATCTCATCCAAGCACTTACTTTTAGCCAAACTCCGACCATCAACATGGCCTCTGAAAACTCAGAGGATGCCATGATCGCGGCAGCAATCAAAGCTTCGCTCAAAGAGACTAAAAAGCACGTTGTGGACTTGACAAAAGAGTCCGATGACGAGTCAGATGTGCACGTCGTTTTTCCCAAATCAAACTCGGTGGTCGGCTCAGATACTGACAATGAAGCCGACACAAATGCTGAAGAGGATGATTCCGATCTCAAACGTGCTATCGCACTGTCACTGGCCAATACATCGCCTCAGGCCAACAAATCCCCTCCTAAACATTCGCCTCAGCGTCAGGACACAGGCGCTCAAAGTTCTTCCAGTATTCAGCCAGCAACCCACGGGATATTTGGCCTCGATCGCAAGCAAATGGAGCAAGAACGCCTCATGCGTCTGAGCAAACGCAAGGCCTCGGAAGTCGATGCCTCACCCGAGCGTGCCCCCAAGGCCGCTAGGACTTCTCCTTCGCCTGGAGTTGACATTCTGGGCTCCCATCAGATCTTGACGGCTGTATCATCTCAAGTTGCCTCCGATGAAAAGGGAAAGCGCCCATTGAACCGCAATCAGAGGCTGGGCTCGCCTGGCTATGAAGTCGTCAACGTCAAATATCTCTCTCCAAAACCCGAGGCTCAAACAGCTCCAACTCAACCTGCCCCGACTGTCAACACCCAACGCAGCGCGCCACCGACAGTCAATTTCCAGCTCCCTTCCAGAGAAGGAATTCAGTGGCCAGCTGGGATAGTGAAGAAAACGCGCTTGGCCAACTCCCAACGCAAGCACGACGACATCTCGATCGAAGAAGTGCTGCAGAAAGATGACTTGGAACTCGCCGTTCTCAGTTCATTCTTATGGGATATGGAATGGATTCTTGGGAAACTCAACACAAAGAAGACTAGGGTTCTGCTTGTGGTTCACGCCCCAAATGAAGAGGTAAGCGAAACAAACCGACCCCCCCCCTTTCTAGCGACATGAATGGGAGATTATTAACTTTGCAAATAGCGCCCGATGTATGAGGCAGATGCTGCAGGCATCCCCAATCTTCGATTTTGTTTCCCTTCACTGGATGGCCAGATCAATATCATGCACTCTAAATTGATGCTGCTTTTTCACACCGAATATCTTCGAATCGTCGTTCCCACTGCCAATTTGATTCAAGTCGACTGGGGCGTGCACAATTTGATGGAAAATGTCAGTTCCATTGCCCCGAAAAGATGAGCGCCGTGGGATACTAATATGACCAGACTGTTTTCATCATAGATCTACCTCTGAAATCAAAGACGACTGGCGGGAAGAGCTTATCTGATGACACCAACGACGATACCTACACGCAATTCTACAACGATCTCGTCATTTTTCTCAAGGCCAGCTCATATCCACAAGGGGTTATTGAAAAGTTGGCAAAGTTTGACTTTAAAAAAACTGCGCGATACGCCTTTGTACATTCAATGTGAGTTGCGCGTCTAGTTGCTCTGTTGTCGAAAGATTCACCTTTTAATTCTCCCTTGCAGTGGTGGATCTCACACCAACGAAACCTGGAGATGGACCGGATATACGGGGCTAGGCCGTGCCGTGTCAAATTTAGGCCTACGAACACAATCGCCAGTCAACGTTGATTTCATAGTAAGTTACAGTATTGTCAGATATCTGCTGGACAAAACTCCTTTCTAACCATCTCAATAGACATCTTCTCTTGGCGCACTCAACGAAGATCTTCTTCGCGGAATTTATCTCGCTTGCAAAGGTAACACCGCCTGTCCATTTTAACATGATTTGATTCAATACTAAATCCTCTCAGGCGATGATGGATGTACAGACTATCAATTCCGCAACACAAAGCCAGCTGCAAAAGCAAATAGCCCCTTACTAAGGCCCTGCGAGGAATGGAAAGATCGGTTCCGAGTCTTCTTCCCCTCCCAGGAAACCGTGAAGGCTGTAGCCCAAGCAGCAGGTCGTCGACCACAGGATATTGGGGGGACGGTTTGCTTCGGCTCGAAGTACTGGAATAGTCCTAAATTACCAAAGCATGTCTTGAAGGATTGTCAGAGCCAGCGTGATGTTCTCATGCATAACAAGGTTTGTTGGCCACAGTTCCGAATATTATCTGACATTTGTATCTTTATACTCTGGGTCTAATGCACTGCTAATGTCCATTTATCTTAGATTGCTTTTGTCAGACCTTCGGAACCAATTCACCTCCCAGATGGCTCTGATTGCAGCGGATGGGCTTACGTTGGAAGTGCCAATCTCTCGGAATCTGCCTGGTAAGTGGGAAGAAGCATGGCTGGACTATCATGGACTATCTCTTTCCTTTCTTGGAGTTTCTGGGTTTACTAACACTTATGTCTAAGGGGTCGTCTTGTTAAGGACCGCACTACTGGCGAGCCGAAACTCAATTGTCGGAACTGGGAATGTGGCGTTCTGGTTCCGGTTACTGGCGAAACATCCACCACCAATACAACAATGACCGCTTCGAACAGCTCGGGATCTGGCTCAGAGCTCAATTTATTCAATGGCACAATTCCCGTCCCAATGAAACTACCCGCAGAGAGCCTGCGGGCTGGACGGGAGCCATGGTTCTTCATGGGTTGAGCTGAACTAAGAGAATTCTGTGAGCCGACGACATTGTAAGATGAGTTGATATTGACATGGAATTTGAACGGAAAGTCTATCCTCTCTCTTTGAATGTGTCTTAGATTAATTGTGAAGCTCAAAGAATCAATTTGTTCATGGCCTATCATTCAGCCTCAGGCAAATTATCCCCCGGACCCAACGGAGGCCGACTAGCCGCCATATTACACTGTCTAAAAAGACGAACTTCATCTTCCTTAAACGACCCCACAATAGAATGCATCAAGCCATGATTATTAAAAAGCACCAAATCCCCCTCCTTCCAATCATGTGCATAAACAAGCTGCGGCTCAATCGCCCTTCTCTGCAGTCCGTAAAGCCGCTCTCGAATCTCAGCCAGATCGTCCAGAACGTCCCCATTCTCGAGATGAATTTTCCGCACACAGGTCGGGTACACCATCATTGCCAGTTTGTTCGTGATGGGATTCTTCCACGCCATTGGATACGTCTTTATCTTCGATTCTTCGAAGGGTGGTAATTCGTTCTCGGACAGTTCGAGTCCTTCGGAGATTATGCCCAGGCCGTTGGAGCGGGATTTCGCCTTGCTCATCCAGATGTAGGGGTGTGGTGCGTACTCGACTTTGCTGGTGCGGACAAAGTGCTTCTCTTCCTCTGTGAGCAATTCGTAAAGACGATAGCCGCTGAAGAAAGCCGTTGTTCCGAGCGGGACGTCGAGGGTTGTATCTGTTTCGTCATCGTAGCGAAGTGTTTGGCGGCGATCACTGGGGACTTGTACCGCTAGCAAGGAGGTTACCAATGGGGGGTCGAGATTATACATGGCCGAGTCGATATGCCAGCGATAGAAATGTGTGAAGTCGGCATCTTCGGCAGGTGGGATCGGTTTCTTGTGGAATGCTTTGTGGTGGGGATGTTTCAGGTTTAGGTTGGATAGGCCTTCGTATTCGGCGACTTGGCCACTTCCAATGACCTGCACTTGAGGCTGGTTGGGGATTGTAGTTAAATCTGCGTGTAGGACGCTGCGCTTGTCGATGGATTTGCCGTGGCTGTAGAGGCCGGCGGATGGGTCGAAGCGTCGGGTGAGTTCGTATTGGGCGCGTGGGGTGAGGTTTTTTTGGTCTTTTATCACTACTACTTGGTTTTCGTAGAGGCATTTGCGGAGGATGATGAAGTCGGAATCTTTGAAGTTATGGAGTTAGTGCGTGCATCGAGATTATGTGCTGATCTATAACAATTTGAACTCACCACTCAGGTCCTCGATATTCAATCCGCTTAGTTCGGCTCCGAAGTCTACTTGAGACTCCGTCGTCTTAGGTAGAGGGCTAAGATCCACGGCCATTTTGTCTATTTCCGAAGAGCAGTTTCTCGGGATGCAGATAGATTATTGTCATTGAATTTTTAGATATCTGGTGTCTTTATACATGGCCAACCTCCGCGGACTTTATGAAGCCGATCATTGATGCGGGTGACTTGTGGAAACTCATCCTAGTTAAACTGTTTACTCGCGATGTTTCGTGTTTCTTCAAGTTAAAAATCCAACTGTATACCTTAGATAAGATATCTGTACAATCTATTCGCGATGATGCGGTCGAGATCTCCCCCAAAGAGGAAGTGGGTGAATTTCCGAACTCACCCGCTCCGCCTCCATAGCATCGATCTATAAGAATGCAATAACAATAACATAGTAAAAGAGAAGCAATTTCCACAGAAGAAACATTGGATTATCTCTATAATTTCTCTTTCACATATCACAATATCCAAAATGCCAGAACCCACCGGCCTAAAATTCGAAACCCTGCCCGATGAAATCAGACAAAGCTCAGCAATCGGCGCCCAAATCCAACTCCCCACAGGAATGCCCATCTTGGAACCCGAAAACTTGACAGAAACAGACAAAAAGACTCTCCAACAAGCCCTCTTCGAGAATCAGGTGATCGTCATCCGGAAACAAAAAGGGATCGACGCCACCGTTCTCCCCAAACTCGCAAAGATCTTCGACAAAAGTGCATCTGACATTCACTCCGCCGGCGAAAAAGCCGTCAGTGACCCGAAGAATATCCTCTCGGCGTACAAAGCTGGGAGACATCCTAAAGCTCCGCAAGTGGGAATTATTGGGTCAGGGAAGTTTCAGGATTATGAGGGTTTGAAGGAGATTGAGGTCGTTCACTTGGTTAGTATTTTCGTCTTTACTTCGCAGGTCATCACATTGAAATTCACAATACTAAACGAAATATGATACTTAGGACCATACTTTATTCCACGAGTCTCCCCTCACTAAAGAAGAGCTCGATGATGGATACACCCGCCCATACAGATGGCACATGGACACACCATTCTACGAGCGCCTGCCTGGCGAAGTGACGATCCTGCACTCAATCCGCATTCCAAACGTTCCGGATCAAAAGATCAAGTTCCCAGATGGAAAAGAGAAGCAAATTGGAGCTGGAGCAACAGCCTGTGAGTGGAAATTGCCCCTCACTTCATCTATGTCAAATTTTCCAACACGGGGCTGATCTCTCTCGAATAATTTAGTTTTCTCTGGCGCTCGGGCTTTCGCTCTTTTGAGTCCCGATGAGCAGGAATTTGCTCTTAACACCACCGTTACATATGCGCCTCAGGCCTATGAGTATATCAGGCAGTGTAAAGCCTCTGAGGATGGCCTTACTATTCCCACCATGGGACGTGAAGTGGCTGTTGAGGAATTGTCGGAATGGAGTTGGGATAAAGTGGCCGAACACCCTGTAAGTGCTCACACCTCCAAAGAACAAAACTAGATTACAGTGAGCTGACCACGGCCATTCCTGATCTTGCAGATGGTCTGGAGAAATCCCCTTAACCCAGAAAGACCATTCCTTCAAGTCCACGGCTGTTGCGTCTACAAACTCAGCACCCGAAACCCCACCACCGGAGAAATCACGATCATGAACGACGTGGAACAAGTCCGAAATAAGATCTACAGCATGCAGCGCAAAATCTATGCCGCGGAGAATATCTACGCGCATCGCTGGGAAGAGGGTGATTTGGTCATATTTCATAATCGCGGTGTCATGCATAGTATAACTGGGCAGTTGGCTAAGTATAAGGAGGAAGAGGATAAGAAGAGGATGCTTTGGCAATGTACGATGACGAGTACGAGTGCTCCGAAGCCATTCCGGGAGTATGAGGGGGTGAATGATACAGGGTATGTGAAGGCCTGAAATTAAGTACCTATAAAACAAGTTTTTCTCCTGGCGCATTCCCTTTGTAATTTTATGCTCAGCTTCTTGCTGCTTAAGCTATGTACCTGCATATTTCTTATTTCAAAGCTTCAAAGTTCCATTTTGCAAGGTATAATCATGGCTTCTCATGCATAGCTGTCGAATCGGCCTCCAAGATTGGATTACTTCCATCGGCTTCAAGGACAGGCTGCGAGGCATCGGCCTCCATAATTTGTCTAGAAGAGTCGGCCTCTGGGAGAAATTTGCGGGAATCTGTCTCGACTGAGCCCAGAAGCCTCGTATGGGTGACAGAAGGGTCGTCTTCCTGTTCAATGGCAACCTGCGATGGGAACCTCCAGAAACACAAGCCAACTCCAAGGTAAGTACCGGTCGCGAAGAAAAACTGGACACCCTCACGGACAGTGATAGCTATCGTGGTTGGTGGGATGACAGTTGGAAGATATGCGGTGATACTCCAAACTGCCCAAAGGCCATTCAGGCCGAAGAAAAGGGATCCCGAGATCACTGCGAAATACGTGGACATCTAAAAATAGTTTGCATATCAGCAGAAGCTTCCGAAAGCCAATGATTAGGATTCTTTCTTCTTCAACTTACCCTCATATGCGATGCTCGAGTAGAAACTTGGATCCCCATGAAGATAAATGCACCCAGAATCTCCCATGAGGCGACCCAGAAGATAATCCATCTTACAGTTAAAATATTATTCCAAGCCCGGGTTGAATGTAACACCTGACGTATGATTTGGTCTCCATCTCGTCGCATAAATTGTATTCTGCTGATGGTAGCGTAAAGATCCCAGCACCAATCCACGATAGACAGTGCCGTAAATAGGCCCAGCACCACCCAATGGAATATTCGCACGCGAGGCCACATTTTTATTTGGACAAGTGATTGCTCTCCGTAGGCGTGAATCATCTCAAAGAAAGTGTAGAACAATAGGTTGACGGCTATCAGCATCAAGGCCTGGGCGATCAGCGCAGCGATGTCGGATTTAGCCGTCATCTTGACACCGCCGAGGATCATGCAATTGTAAACACCAAGGCAGAACCCAGATCTGTAAGGGTTGAGTTGTGTCAGTACAATCGCTGGCTCTCTCTCTAAGTGCAATGTACAACCTACTTACCCAGAAAATGATAGCAGAGAGGCCAAAACGGCCTTGAAAGGCAATGACCTGAGAGCATCACCTTTTCTCCTGTTCAGCACAATGTGGCCAATAAACAAGGCAATCAAGACTAGAACAGTCAAGAGTTCAAAGATTGCCATGCAAAGGTGATAAATATCCATGGCGAAGGTTCGTCCCTCTGGCCGGGATGATTAGAGTGGATTTGATTATTAAAACAATATTTGCATGCGTAGGCGAAAAGAATCACAAAGCGACTGAGTACTAGTACAGAACGCTTCAAAGAAAGGCCACGACAAGCACGCGAAAGATGTTAAAGACGGGGAAGACGGGGACCGACCAAGGCCCTGTATTCCCCACAACAAAGCCCGAAGCCTGCACTATAAGCAAAACGGCCCCTGCTGAGTGGTCCATAGTAAATACGGCCCCCGCCAAGTAGACAAGAATAAATACGGCCCCCGCCAAGAGCAGGATCGCATAAACACCCAATTAACTTGTCGAGCCCACATATTTAGTCGACGATCCACGCTTGGCACGCGGAAACTGCCACGTTCGGTGTGTTTGTGCGAGAACACTGGCAGCTGTGACATCGTGCGGCTCGTTAGTATATCACGGTGAGAGGCCGGGTCATTAGAAAGGGGAGAAACGGTATATATAGTATCAGCAGCCTATGAATCAGTAACATGGTACACTTTAGACATCATGCGGGTATATTTTGACTGTGCTCGCTCAATGGGGTGTGAATTTGGCCGACGTCTTGAAGCCTATCGCTGCTGTGTGTCCTGTTTGTCAGTTGAGGCCATCGTATTCAGAAAATTAATGAGTCGATTATGAGGTAGAATATGTACCACGTTTGCCAGGAGCAACTTTCTACTACTACTTGATAATCTTCTGTATTTTCTTCGAGTGTGCTTGTAGTAGCTCAAGTTCCGACCCACGCAGATGAATGATTATAGCCGAAAGACCAATATATATGATGTAGTAGCTTCATTAGGCCAGTCTTGAGCTTCCAGTGCAAGTGTAATCGTTATTTCCTGTATATTTGTTTACTAACATGTGTATCGGTTCTCTCAGACTATACAGATAGTCTCTCGGCAGGACCTAGCCCTACTATAATAGCTACTATTGTATGCTATACCTCACGAGAGCTTCCTCTACTAGATCGACAGTATCTTAGTACAGATATCCCTTATATATAACTAGTTCTAGCCGGCAATATACGTTGGTTGCTCTCCACTACTCGCTAAGTTAGGGGGAGTCCTTCGAGACCCGCACTTGGGTGCTATTTTGGGTAACAACTAGGATTGGCCAAATAGATGGCCATGCAAACGTAAATTACGCCTTGGGCTAGAAACGCAATTCTACTACTCCGTAGTTGCGGATGATGTGCAGATTTCCTGTTGGTACTGTTGGTACGCAGGAGCATCGAGTGACGTGTCAATTCCACCTTGTCCATTTCTCCGAAGATACGCATGTGCTGCGCCCCAATCACAAGGTCCCATTTGTGCCTACATATTCGGAGGTCAGATTTAGTCATTCTAAACTTGAACCCCTCCTTTCGGACCAAAAAAAAAAACCTTCAATTCAATTCAATTCAATCCAATCCAGTTGCAGGAATGGCTAGTCAAACCCCGGATTTTTTCTTCGCTCCCACATGGGACTACCCGCCTCCCCCACCGGGCCCATCCAACTGGGCAATCTGATTACTTCGCTGCAGAAACCCGAACAGCCCCTCTTTACTGCAGCCTTACCGACTGAGTCGGAGATATTTTCATCTGATAAGCATGATGCCACTTTCTCGCGCGAGCGCATGCGGGCGGGGAAGTTTGGAATCCTCACTCAGTTTCTCTCGGTCCTTGGGTTTGGGATTGATATCGAGGGAGGGTTAGAAAAAAGGTTCGTATTATGTACACCGCGGTGGACTATGCAATTATTCTTTTTTTAATGCACACTGCCCGCACCCTATATACATGGTGGAAGAGAAAGTCCTGATTTAATGTAGTGACGAGGAGACCTTCCGCTTCGAGACCATCACCACTACACAATTTGTGCCTCGTCCCGCCTACGTCCAGGAAAAATGTATCGATGCATCACCCGTGGTACAAAGGTGGTTGGAGCGTTCTCGCTATAGAAAGCCGCTGTATCTCATCGTTGGATTGAAGATTGTCCACGGGGCAAAGACGGGCCGGTCGCAGACAGGGCGGGGGATCAGCGGCAATATCGAAGCCACGGTGGATGGGACTGTTTGGAGCGGTGGCGCAGTTCCTATATCTGGGGGACCCAAGATTGGAGCCACCCATTCGAGGAAGGCTGGTGTCCACTGGGAGGATGGTGGGGATTTTGTCCTCGCGTTCCGCGTGAAGAAAGTCAAGGTGTCGAGGAAGACGAATGAGGCCCGGGAGGCGGAGGATTATAAGAAGGGTGCTATGCTGGGAAATGAGCCCGATATGGAGGAAGAGCCTAAGGCAAATCTCATTCTTGAGGAGGAAGAGTTGGTTGTTCAAGATGGTGATGGGGGTTGGACAAAAATGCAACTGGAAGAAGGGGACGAGCTGATAACGGTGGGTGTGCCGCGATCCGGCGGTGCAGAAAGTCTTCAATAACTATTGTCGAAGTATATCACGCAATGTGTAGTTAATAAAGTCCTGATCCTTGCCGAAAATGTTATCTGAATACAGACTCAAGGCAATAAAATGGTAATCATCGCGAGCCCGAGACTCCAGGCTTTTCTCAGCGATCTTGCGAAGAACGGCTTTCATTTTTGACTGCCGTTGCAACAGGTGCGCATTATCGGGAATGTATAAACGAGCATATTGCAGCAGAAAACCCGCAATACTGACCGCGATAGGGGTGGCATACGATGTCCCCGATTTATGTTTGAGCCCGGATGGCGGATCACAGTATCGCATTGGCCAAGCTGACTCCACAGCCTCGCCAACTGTAGCCAGGTTTAGTGCATCCGCAAGGGCAGTAGGGCTGAAAGATGATCGATTCCCGTTCGCGTCGGTTGAATTGATACAGATCACATTCTCATCGCGTGCCGGGTAGGCCCTATCCAGGTTGGCCCCGCTGTTTGAAGCCGCGGCAAAGAGAAGGATGTGGGCTGAGTATGCGTTATGAATGGCACGCTCCAACTCTTCATAGCCATCGACATCCCGGGATCGAAACCCAAAAGACATAGAAACGATGTCAACCTTCCATTCATTTACCGCATAGTCGAGGGCCTGTGATGGTCAGTGAAATGCCATTAGTAAGAGAACGGACCGATATTACCTTGGCAATGATACCAGGGCCAACCGGCTTCCCGTCGGATATCTTCGCAATATAAATTTCTGCATCGGGGCAATATTCCAGTAGCAAGCTCGTGGTAAAAGTTCCATGTCCATTGTAATCGTCGACCAGCTGAGGAAATTTCTCATTGGTCCAATTGAATCGACCTTTAATTTGCTCAATGCATGCATCCACATCTGGGTGTGTCTGATCGACTCCAGTATCGAAAATAGCAATTTTAACTGGTGTTTGGGGTGGTCGTTTTATGTACTTTTCGTAGACATCCTTGAACCTTTGACGCCAGTTCCGGTAATTGGTACATCTGGTTCAGCATCCCAAAATTTAGCTAGGCATTCAGCCGGTAAAGGTTAATTGGGAGGACTCACGCTTCCGCCGAGTGCCCTTCCGAGATTGTTTCATCGTCAAAAAAAGCCATGCTTGCATATTGAAATGGAATCAAACTCCCTGGTTGGGGCGCAGCCATCATAGAGGAAATAGGGTGAACATGCGGCATAGTCGGCGATGCGACAAAACCTTGGAGAGATGGCGAAGCGCTCCGCTGTTGCTGATATTGATCCATAAGATGATCGTGGCTTGACAATGGTCTATTTGATTGCGTAAATGGTATTTGGACGGAGATTTCAGAAGAATGGGTAGGGGCTGGGTGATTTTGGATGGCTTGGCCCCAACTAGCAAGATCTAGACTCTGCGCAATAGAATCCAATTGATCAAGGGGAATGTGACTGAATGCCTGGTTTAACTCATCTTCCAAGGGGCCAACAATCTCGTGATATATTGTGGACTTCAATGTGTGATCACTCAACCGGGTGCCATTGCTATCCTCCCACACCTTAGGGTCCAGGCATTTTTTGACGGCGTAGTGAAATTGGGAATTCTCCGGGATCTCGTTTTTGCATTGTTCAAAAACCAACTCCGCATCTATAGACCTCGTTCGATCGTTCAGGAGCACACCGTACTTCTCGGCTAATTGCTCGAACGGCATTGTGAGATATAACTCCATTAATACAATCCCCAGTGTCACCAGATGTGGGCACTGGTGGATCATAATGTCGTCCGGGTCTAAGTCGTTGGTATCGAGATCATCGGGATCAAAATCGTCTGGGTCAAAATTATCTGGATCAAAGTTATGTGGATCCGAGACAGGATTGCTTCGAGAGGGAACTTTGACATTCATTGCTAGCTCAGTTTGGAGGAACGGCTTGAGAGGAATCGCGGACGAGGTCGTATGGAAGAACAAAATGTTCGAAGGACTCCAAGATGGTGTGAGCCAGGGAGTCTCGTGAAGGTACAAAACAGCATACCCGAGCATCACGGCCAGGATACGTTTTGTCTTGTCGGTCAGAGACCTATGCTGATCTTGAATAAAAGTTTGCAATGATACCGGTTCCTTGGCCTCATCCACTGCAAAGGAACACTTTTCAGATCGCAATTTCCACAGTCGTCCATCCTCCCCGACTCTTAATTTCAGGCGATCAAACGGCTGCCTCTTTTTGATGGGCTCACATAGATTCTTGATCTTCATGGCAGGGATCTTCGAGCCATGTGCGGCTTTTTCGGTTTGACCAAATCTAATTCCGGCACTCTTAGCAAAACAAACATCTGCCTCATGCCATTGCTCTTGCATATTTGATAGAAATATGTCGAATCCGCAGTCGTGATCTCGCTCCTTTTCGATTTTCCGTGAACTTCGAAAGGTGCCCAGACAAAGTCGAACATTAAAGTCATGCATAGGCTGGCATGTACAGTCCTTCGACTCCACCAGGGCTTGAAATAGAGACTGGGAAGCATTCAGAACCACGTATGAAGGATCTCCTCTGGTTTTCACTCTGCTGGGCATATCTTCTCGGGTCCACAGACTGGGGTCGTCGGGGTATTGGCTCTTAATGTCATCTTCCCAGTTTTCGAAGAACTCAATCAGCTCCTCCTGTTGCCCAAGATCCCCTGCAAGCCCAACCAATTGTGTTATGCGCTTCAAGTCCATCAAATTACCCTCGCGCTGAGTCCGGCTCCATCTGTCGCTTAGAATCGCAAGTCGGGGGAAACCAGTGGTCGGGGCCTCCAGTCGTGTTTCCAAGATTTTCACGGAGACAGTGGCCTCAAGCCGAAGCAATATCCCCGTGACCAGGGTGTTATCATCTCCGATGAATTCTTTGATGCGGCTGATGTGGTCGTGGATCATTAGGCAATGGGCCATTACGCTGCTGTAGAAATGCTTGGAGTCTCGGGTCGCGCCATGTTTGCGGAGATATTTGGCGATTTCACGAAACATCTCCGACGCCTGCAGCAGTAGTCCCACATTTTTACTGACGGTCATGATCCCTCCGATTTCCCAGGATCACTGGCAGGAGTGGGGGACATTTGAAGAAGGAGTGTGATTACGCCTGGTCTAAGCTCTATGGACACCCCCCGCTTACGTGGGTCGGGCCGGTGTTGCCCCTCTTGTTCCAGTCTTGCATTATCTCGCATCGTCGCCTTCTCAAAAATTCGATCATTTGGGCCTCGGTCAATCAAATGCATGATCTTTTTTTTGTTTTCTTTGAAAGGCCGTAGTCATCAATATGACACTAGAGCCTGATAATGCCCTGTCTATTGCAGATGCAGCTGGCCAGTGCCTCAATCGTTTCCAGCAATGCTTGCAGCACTCGGCGCTAATCTCATCCCAGGAGACAGCCCTAGTGGAGGACCAACTTGCAAGATTTTCTCTCTGGGCTGCTGGTATTGGCGTTTTTGTTGGAGGGCGCGCTTCGCTGGATCACCGTCTCAGGGAAGCACAGGAGGTGCATGATGTGATTACCGGGCTCCTGGAAGCACTGGAAGATCAAGTCGAAGCCTGTCAGTTCTATGGATATTTATGGTGCTGATATTACGAACGAATGAAACATGCTGAGCTATTTGATAGGGTTGGACTCTCTGGAGTCAATCACCAGAACCGCAGCACCAGAGACCGCTCCCGAACCAGAAAGAAAAGCGATACCCCGCCTGAGGCGCGCCGTTGCCGATCAAATAGCGCTCCTTCATAGGCTGTCGAACACGATTCGAAGAGCAAGCAGCGAGACGCAAAATGCCAAAGTGTCCATGGCGTCTCCAATTCAGGATGAGGAGGGCAACGATGTGGAAGCGTGCCTGGAGGTTGTGTTTGCAAATTACATCCGCGATAAGTTCTGCAACATGGACACGAAACTCATGGGGCGAATGGTCACCGCTATGATACTCCGCCGAAAACGAATCTCATATAAGGCATCTCGCTTCAACCATGGTGCGTTGAAAATCACACCAGCAACCACTCTACCGAAAGCGATAACGCCGCCCACCGCGCCGATGAATCCAGCTCAACAGACAGAGAAATCACAGACTGAGAAACCACAGACGGAGAAATCCGATACGAGGAAATTACAGACCGAGAGATCACAGACTGGATTCAGCGCAACCACGTTAGCGGTCGAAAAATTTAGAAGGGCATCTGCCTCTTCCGCAGTTTCCGCGGCGAAGACAATAGCACTGAGCAGCCACGAAGAACTACCATTCCCGGCGGCACCTCTTGGGCGAGTGAGACAGAGATACAAAAAAATGCGAAAAGCGCGAGAGGAAGAGTACAGAATCCACCTCCAGTATTTGTCCGACAAATTCGACGTCCAACAATCACCTACCGCCATTGATGACTTGAAAAACAAGGCTAAAGCGGATTTGAAGCAAGACTTACATAAATACTGGGATTCATGCGTCGAAGCGACTGGAGAAATAACATGCCCATTCTGCTTCTATGCTATTCCGGCACGGGAGATGCAGAATGAAGCAAAGTGGAAGTAAGTCTCGCCAGCCATGTCATGCCCTACAGGGTCTTTTCTTCCTCGTTTGATCTGTAGTGATTCTGACTACAAATTCCTAGAGCGCATGTCCGGAATGACTTGGATGCATATGTTTGCCTCTTTGACGAATGTGACACTCCAAATCAGCTATACAGTCACAATGAACAGTGGCTGAAACATATGGAGGTCCATGCATTGCGCTGGCGCTGCAACTCGAAATCCCACGGACTGCTGATTTTTCACACACGAGATCTCTACATAGAGCATATGCAACAAGCTCATCGGGGGACTTTCAGTGAAGTTCAGCTCCGGGTGCTAGCTGACAGGAATGCACGAGCTGTTGACCCACTTCTCGAGTCATGTCCATTCTGTGGCTCAACCGACACTCCGCAAGGGGGCACGATAATGGAGCATATTGTTGGCCATTTGAGGTTTCTTGCTCTAAAGTCACTACCGCCTTACCAGGATGAAGGGTCGGAAGAGTCGGATGGCGGCAGCGCTACCTCACAAGCATCGAAACCCCGTAACAGGAGCACCATAGACAACGATCCGGATAGATTTACACTCCTTAAATTTGAAGATAGGGGCAGCGATACAGTCAATGAGGGTCGCGGTGTTGAACAAGACAACACTTCGAGTGATGGATACAGCAGTTTGGCTTCGGAGCGTCCAGTTGGCCTTGCCAACATGGCGTCGTTACCCAATCTCGCTAGCTCAAGTCCAATTGAGGAATGGGACAATTTCATTCTTGGTCCTCCAACTGGAAGCAATAACTCACAAGAAAGCGCAAGGCAATTTGAATGGGGATTTGTGACAACTAGTATGGAAAAATATGCGGCTGTCGATGACCCAGTGCTTGAAGAATTTTCTAGCAAACGACCTCATCCTCATCCGCTATCCATGGATCGATCTCAGGAAGAGTCCAACACAAATGATACGGCTAAAGGTCATATGCATAGTATACATGACATCCAAGCAAACAAAGCAGTCGTTCCGATAAATGAGACACCTCAACAGCCCCATCCGATGCCGGCACCACAGCCAGTGGATATGCCAGCCCCAGGATATGAAGCTCTTCAGCCATCTGAGACACCACCAGAGAAGACACCATTTGACACTACAGAGCAGTTATTCTATCCCACGCTACCGGTGCAGAAAACGCCTCCATCGTGGCCAGTACAAACTGCAGAGGAAACCCGGCGGGACTCGGCAAAATCCGAGACTGATAGGCTATCGGACGCTAACTCTGCATTAAGAGCCCATCAACAGAGCGATGGAAATCTCGGCGACCTCGAATCAAGTAGCAAGAAGCCTCTGAGATCTGAAAAATCAGAATTTACACAAGGGGAGGATCGGCCTGGGTCACCCAGCTCACTCCTGTCCATTCCGGACGTATCAGAAAGTGACAGCATTAGTCAATCACCGTCGCCACTACATGTCCCCGTGGCAGACGCATCGGAAATTGACAAAATAAGTCCACCACCATCGCCACTACATGGTGATTCTTCCAAAGCAGGCCATAAGGATATTACTTCTATGCAGCTTTCCGGGGAGGTTAGTGGCGTCTCTGATGCTCCCGCTACTAAACCCCTACCCGAAGCCACCCCTGGTCCAGCCCAGGAACTCGGGTCTATTCTGGCCGACAGCACATCAGTGGGACAAGTTCACAGATCACCCTCGAACGTCCCCAAAGGGAATGCCATCGATGACTCCGTTCTGGATGACATGATCTCACGACTTCTCAGTCTTATCGATACCTCGACTAAAAAGGGCCGTAAACGCCTATTTAGCCTCGCCAGCACCACAGCAAAGAAAAGCCCCTGCATTAACAGCAGCGAGATTGAAATGATATGTACTGCCTCTCGGGAGTTATTTCTTTCGCAACCCACGCTCTTAGACCTCAAAGCACCCGTGAAGGTCGTCGGTGATATCCATGGCCAATTCGCCGACCTAATCCGCCTATTCCAACTCTGTGGCTTCCCACCCGCAACCAACTACCTCTTCCTCGGCGACTACGTGGACCGCGGGAAAAATAACCTCGAAACCATCCTCCTCTTACTCTGTTATAAACTGCGCTATCCGGAGAATTTCTTCCTGCTACGCGGTAACCACGAATGCGCAGGCATAACCCGAATCTACGGCTTCTACGATGAATGCAAGCGCAGAACAAACGTCAAGACCTGGAAGAAATTCGTCGAAGTCTTTAATTGCATGCCTATCGCTGCTCTAATCGCTAGTAAGATTTTCTGCGTGCACGGTGGTCTATCGCCTGACTTGGTCGATATGGGGCAAATTCGCCAGATCACTCGGCCCTGTGATGTCCCGGATTCGGGCCTACTGACCGACCTGCTCTGGAGTGATCCTGAGGATACGGAAGAGGACTGGGGGGAAAATGATCGGGGCGTGAGCTATCTCTTTGGCAAGAAGGTTATTACCAATTTTTTGCAGCGCCATGATATTGATCTTATCTGTCGGGCTCACCAGGTTGTTGAGGATGGGTATGAGTTTTACCAGGATCGTCTTTTGGTGACAATTTTCTCGGCTCCGAATGTAAGTCCTAGTCCCCCGCTCTGATATTGCGACTTTTCCATGTAATTGGAATAGGCTTGCCTGTGGCATCTGTAGCTGACTACTTGCAGTATTGCGGCGAGTTTGATAACTGGGGTGGAATTATGTGCGTATCGGATGAATTACTTTGTAGCTTCGAGTTACTGAAGCCGTTGAATTCGGGGGATCCCCCTCCTCCTCCTCCTAAATCCACGACCGCCGTGGAGGAGGACCTTGCAATCAATAAATTATTGCAGGACTCTACAATCGATGATTTTCTGCAGAGTGATGGTTAAGGTTTGGACATACAACACTTACCTTTGAAGGGACATACATTGTCGGACCTTTACGATTTAGAATTAGAAATTAGAATCAGAATCCGATATTATGAACAATTCATTTCTGTCTCGTTGAATCTAGATAAGAATTTATAGTACTTTTAGGCGCTTCTTTTGATGAATCTGAGCGACCAAATCGCTGCAATCGAGCCGCAATGCAAAAGGCAGAATTATACTGCACACCTTTGCATGACACACGCTCCATGTAAATGCACATTAGATAGGGCATAGATGACAAAGAGAAGAAGAAAAGAAAAGAGAGAGAGGATATAAGAAGGAAAAGAAAAAGGAAGGAAGGTAGTGAGAATGAAGTCAATCCAGGTCAAGAATTATTGCATCGAATCATCCTTCTTGCCCTTAAACAGACCCTTGACCCGATCAATGACCAACCCAAATACACCAAACAGGTATCCGAGCCCGAAGCTCCAACCCCGCACACGAACTGTGTAGATGAAGAAGTAAACAAGCGCCCAGTTGATAATGACAAAGGCCAGGAAAATGCCGAAGCAGCGCCACTTGTCGTCTTCGTGGACGTTCAGGTTGGCCATGTACTCCGCGCCCGTCTTGTAGGGACAATACTGGCAGTTCTCTGTGGCGGACCCGTTGACCAGGTATCCGACCTTTGCGAGGTTGTCGACGAAGTTGCCTGCGTATTCTTGGCAGGTTGAGCCGGGCGGCGGGTTGAAGTGGGTGGCTTCCAGGTCGGCGCAGTCGATTTGGACGGCTGGGAGGATTGCGGAGAGAACGCCGCGCAGCCACCAGGTGACTGGGTTGACGTAGTACATCCAGTATTTCCAGAAGACGGGGTAGTCGGCGTAGGGGCGGACGATACCGTTGAACAGGTTGACCATGACGAAGAAGAAGGGTAGGACGTTTGAGATGACGGTGAAGGAGGGTGCGAAGGCGCAGATCCATTGGCCCCAGGATGCTTGGAAGAGGAAGAAGAGCATGGACATGAGGAATACGTAGCCTGCGGTTGAAGAGTCGGTGGGGAGTCCGACGGGGTAGTACCATAGTAGCCAGTAGACGAGGCCGGTCACGATGGCGGCGGGGATTTCGCAGACGACGTTGGCGGTGCAGAAGGCTACCCAGCCGTAGATGCGGGAGGGGTATTCACGGGCTTCCCAGAGGGCGCGGTTGATGTAGAATTTCGGGACGACCGAGTTCAGGATGATGGGTGGGATGAGAATGATGACGAAGGCTGAGAACATGCGGTCTTGCATGCTGGCCACGGTGTTGGGGAGCATGTAAAAGGTGAAGCCGTTGAAGATACCGATGATGACACTGACGAAGAGCTTTCCGTAGTAGTATGAGGGATCACGCCAGTACTGGAGGAACATGCGCTTGGTGAGAAGCTCGATTTGGACCGGGGTTGGGGCTGCGAATTCGTGCTGCGAGCCGCCGCTCTCTTCGATGGGGAGTTTGCTGCGTTCTGCTCTGATACGTTCAATCTCTGCGAGCATTTCGCGGTTTTCGTTGGAGGTGCGCCATTCTTCGTTCCAGTCGACTTGTTTGCCATCGCGCTGGGTTGCCTTTGCGGCTGTTTCCAGGACGAATTCAGCCACGTTCTTTGAAGGTGGGCACTTGAATCCGCGATCAGCGAAGTACTTGATGACTGCTGAGCCATCTTTGCCGACAGGGCCGAAATAGAATGTGTTTCCACCGGGGTTGAGGGCGAGAATCATGTCGAATTGCTGGATCAGCATAGAAGAGGGCTGGTGAATAGTGCAGACGATGGCCTGGCCAGCTTGAGACAACTTTTTGAGGAAGCGCACGATCGAGAAAGCGGCTTGGCTGTCGAGACCACTGGTCGGCTCATCGAGGAACAGAAGAAGGCTGGGTTTGGCAGCCAGCTCGACACCAATGGTGACTCGCTTCTTCTGCTCGACATTCAAAGATCCGATGATGGCGTCCTGGATGTCGTTAAGCTCCAAGAGGTCAATAATCCGGTTGACGTAGTCGATCTTTTCCTGGCGTGGAGTCTCGCGGTCCTGTCGGAGGATGGCAGAAAACTCGAAGGCTTCACGAATGGTCGAGGTGTTGTCATGTAGATCCATTTGCTCACAGAAACCGGTTCCGCGCTGGAAATCGGCTCCCAGGGGGTGTCCATCAACAAGCATGTCGCCCTTGACAATACCCATCTTCTGTCGCTGAGCAAGAGTGTTGAGCAGGGTAGTCTTACCAGCACCAGAGGCACCCATCAGAGCAATCATGACGCCAGGCTTGGCATAACCATTAACATTGTTGAGAAGCTTCCTGGTTCCATTACCGTAGGGAACAGTATACTCGACATCAGACCAGGTGAAGCATCGCTCGCTCGAAGACAATCGGTTGAAGGCAGCATTGTCGGAGGAAGAAGTTGCTTCACCACGGGCAATGGCAGCATTGTCGTTTGTGTTGGCAACCTTTTCCTCGTCATTTGACTCTCCAGCTTGGGCAGTGACCTGCTTAGCACGCTTGGACTTCTTGAAAACGAGAGCGCCGCCGCCACCACCAACAAAGGAAAGGAACTCAGCAGCCCAGATAGTGACCAGGAGATAGAGGACAGTGAAGGCAATCACAACGCCAAAGTTGCGCCAAAGGTGACTGCGAGTGAATCCGAAATTTGCGGTCAGATATTCTTGTCCTGTCACGACTGGGTTGCCTGCCGAAGAGCCGGTCAAGGCACATCCCTGGTACCTGGGATCGACGCCAGGACCCTGGGGAACCAGTTGTTCAGGTGCACATTGCATGACACGGTCAGAGAATTCATTAGTCAAGACTGCCTCATAAGCGTACGAGATAGGGTTGACGTAGAACAGCCATCCGAACCAGATCGAATCCGAGATCAGAGTTTGCTTGGGAATGACATAACCAACGAAGAGAATCAAGAGGTTAAGTCCAATACCTGCAAAGCGAACGGCGTCATCGATAGTCGGCGAGAGAGCGGCGAACATCCGATATAGCGAAGTGATGCAGAAGGTGTTGGTGTAGACGAATAGGAAGTAGATGAAGAACTTGGATGCAGTAACATCCAAGCCAGCCATGAAGTAGACGATGATAGTGAACGGAACGACCATACAGAAGATAGCCGGGAAATCCACCACCACTCGGGCGATCGAGACAGCAGACGGACGGTAAAAGGCGTAGTCTTTGTGTCGGGCGACAATACCTCTTCCCGAGACAGCGGGCATCAGTTCAGTCAACTGCAGCCAGCCGAGGAAAAGAATCGAAAAGAAGAGGGCACCTCCTCGCGAGAAAGCGCCACTGGTATCCATGGATTCTCCGTAGAACAGAGATGAGACGATGAGACCGTTGGAGATGATGATAAAGTACTTGGTGTAGAGCGAAGTCTTGTCGCCCCAGAGCAGCCAGAACTCACGCTTCACGCAAGCCATGACTTGACGTGCCAGAGAGACGGTGTAGGGGGGACTTCTTGGACACAGTCTTACTCTTTGACTGAGCGACGGTCGTCTGGAAGCGGCGAGTATCTTCCCGCTCCGTCTCCTCGAGGCGCTTCTCATAGCTGGAAACATCGTCCGAGATGTACTTGAAGGAGCTGCTATTCTTGAACACTTGCTCAAGCTCCTCGGCCGTCTTCGGAGTGGAGGCTTCACGGCCAGCCTGGAATTGACGAGCATTCGGGTCGCACAGGGAAGTCAGGAAGTCGGCAGTGGTCGACTGCTCGGGGCAGTGGAATCCAAGATCGATGAAATACTGACGTGCTTGGTTCGCAGGGCCCTGGTAAAGCATGCGTCCCGCATCGATGACCATGACCTTGTCCATAAGTTCATAGATACTCTCACCAGCTTGGTAGAGAGTGACGAAGGTAGTCCGCTTGCTGACGTCGGTCATAATACGAAGCGATTTAGCGTAGTCGAGGGCAGTGCTGGCATCCAGACCACGGGTCGAGTTATCCCAACAGACGACCGAAGACTTGGTGGCTAGAGTTTCGGCGATACTGACACGCTTTCGCTCGCCACCAGACACACCACGGACATACTCGTTACCAACTTGAGTGTTCTTGGTGTGGCTGATACCAAACATCTTCAGCAAGGCATCAATGATGACGGGAATGCTTTCGCGATCATGCTTGCGAGTCTTGTTGATGAGCGAGAACTTCAGGGTCTGCCAGACCGTGAGTGTAGGGAAATGCTGATCATCCTCAGGGTTATAGTTGACTTCGCCACGGAAATAACGGTTCTGATCCTCGGCCGATATACCACCATAACTGACCTCACCATCGACACCAGCAAAGGCACCACGATCGTTGGCAATCGCCTTGAGGAAAGTAGTACATCCAGCGCCAGGGCGACCCAGAACAAGCATCATCTCACCCTCACGAACAGCGCCGTTAAAATCATGAATCAGATCGCGAATGGGGGGGCTTCTTGCCAACGCGCAACACTGGCGCGAAGCTGCAGATAACGTTATATAGATCGGGACCAAAAGTACCAATCACCGCATGTGGGAGCGTACGCACAAACGAGGCGCCAGTCTCAACACCCTTGACGGTCAAGTTTTTGAAAACAACGCCAATCTGCTTCGCTGGTTCTCCAGCAGTGGTACGGCGTTCCAAATGCCCACCCACCAAGAAACTGCTAAGATCGAAGTCGGCATCGACCTCGGTCTCGGAAGAGGCCCTGTCCAGAGCCTTCTCCTCATCTTTGCGACTGGCGCGAGACTTGCGACGGCTCATGCTTTTGGCGGTGGTTGAACGAGTACGGTGCAGGCTGAGACGGGTCAATTCCCGGCGCATTTCCTCCAGGTCCTCCAGGGCACCACGGCGGGAGACTGGGTCGCCGCCCTCCTGTTCTCCCCATCGTCCCTCGACACTGGCATGGGAAGAGATGGTTGAACTCGCGGTGGATGTGGGATCGATGGGGGCTTCGGTGGCGTGGTTAACATCTTCGGTGGCAGTCGATTCGTAGTGGTTCGACGAATCGTTGACGGTGGAGGATTGAGTATAAGATTGATGAGACTCCTGAACAGAGTGCTGATGCGACTCCACGGCGCGATGGTCTTCCATCTTGCCGGTGAGAGAGGAACTACTCGCCAGCCTCAACTGAGTAGAGGTAGATATTAGGAGTGTATTGGGGATGGGTCTGTGAGTATATGTACAGAGTTGGCAAGGGAATTGCCCAAAAAGAAAGGAAAAGGAGAATGAAAGAGAGAGAAAAGGTTAGGGCAACAATTAGAAAGAGTGGAGAGAAGGGAGAGAAAGCCGTTTAAGCATGACGATGGGCGTGCTGGAGAGCTTTTAACGCAAACCTCATTGCAAACGCCATTAAATCCGGACCCACGAATATATCGGATTTGTAAGAAAGTATAGCCCCAAAGATCGGTAATGCAAAGACTCATGATGGCTCATAATTCGACGAAAAAAAAGGGAGTCCACCGAATTCGAAGCTATAGTGGAGACATCTCCACCATGAGTCAAGGTGAGTCGCTGAGAACGTTCGTCTGGAATTGTCTGTGGCGGGTCTAAGCGCAATCAGCAGAAAATTTTCGGTCGGAGATACCACCTTGAAACCAATTTAATCCCGGCATTGAGCCGGTTGCTGGTCAGCATCGAAATGAATAGTTAGATTTAATTGGTTCTGAAAAAGTTCCACCCTCGTGGCAGCTCGCGCGGAATCTTGAATTCCTCGTCGGGCACCAGATTGGTTAATAATACCCTAGTAGGTACTCCACTCCAGATCCTTCCTTACGGGAAAACCCCCCTAGGGAATATATATTCCGGTGGAAGACAGATTCTGAGAGTAATGTGCCCCACTGGTAGGCGGGGCTTGGCGAGCGTTCATGAATCAGCCCTGATCCTCGGCGACTTTTATGTTAGGGTTCTGCATGAGATCTCTCCGATTTCATCCCACGCCGCTTACTAGTAGGGTTCAAGTTGATCGACATTTATAATCAACATACTAGCTGTATTCTTGGTTTAGCTTCAAAGGTTACTAATCCTGTGAACTCAGTGCTCCATAGAGTTATAGAGTCTGTCCAGAGTACGGAGTTCGGAGTACCGGGACCCTTTGCGTTCAGTTCATCCGGATCTTAGCTTATAAATATAAGGTACCGGGATACCCGAGCCTAGCACTAGTACATCTACCGAATATAGGATAAGCGTAATTATATATCTGTAACTTGGGCTAGATACCTAGGTAAGCCAATCACTGTCAAAATCGCACAGTTGGTGCCAAGCACATGCTTGACGCACGTTCGACACTCGAGCCCCGTCAGCCCGGCTAAATATGCAGTGCAGTGGGCAGCCTGCAGCGGGTGGCATCCCCAGAATGGAAAACGGAATGTTAATTACTAGTATTTAGTATGGGCAAGAAATTCTGTAAATTTTAGATAGATGCGCAGTGAAAAGTACTGAATGCTAGGGATAACGAATGGGAGCATTGACTCCGATGCAAGATGTCTACTATACAGAGAGCGTGTCAGCTATCCAGGATAATCCTGGAAACTGACAGGTCAACTCAATCCAATTCAGGATACAAGTTTATTCAAGGCTTGCGACCCGCCTGGGCGATTCTTTTTTGGATCTCTTCCTTGGTTAGGATCTTCACTGCGTTGTTGGAGAAGACGTAGCTCAGACCAGACCAGAGAGTGGTGCCGGCGACCAGATATCTAGACAATTAGCACAGCACAAAAATAAAGTAAAAAAAAAAATGAATGAAAAATAAATGCAGAAAAAAGTGCAAAAGCAAAAATAAAACATACAACAGCAGGGATTCGCATGTGGTCACCCACCATACTACTAACCTGCCGGCGTGTGGCTTAAGTACGGCTGAGCGGACGGGAAGCCCTGTTCTCCACACCCTGTGGTCGTATGTACCAACTGGACCACCAGAACAGACTAAACCCGCCACTGCAACCCAATATCCACACCAAAACGTAAATGGAGAAAGGCGAGGGAACGAGGGAAAGGCAAGGGGAGAAAGGAAGCAATACTCACTGGAATCCAGTCATAGCCTCGCTCAAATGCCAGGCAGTAATAACCGTCTCCGGAACCACAGGCAGGGCAATCGCACTACCCACCAACACAAGCTGCAGCGCCGTGTTGATCTTGGAGATTTCCGTAGGCTTGACCTCCGCCGATGGCAGGGAGAAATCCCAATATCGGGCCATGGTCTTGGGTTCCGGCAGAGATATCCATCGATAATAAATTGCCGAGATGGCGAGGCCAACATCACGACCGAGAATAATCACAGCCAGCCATACTGTTATGACATTTAGCATTCGTTCCATTATCGAATATCATCACCAGCTTCCAGTAAAATGACCCTTGGAAATCATCGACACAACCAAAACCAAGATCAACACTTACCAGGAAGAGACCCGTTCACCGCCAAACAGGCCACGCCAATCGTCATCAGCAGCTTATCGGCCATCGGGTCGATAATTGTCCCCACTACCGTCTGCAGCTGCCACTTCCGCGCAATCCAACCATCGACCAGATCCGTGATGCCTGCATATGCAAACAGTGACAATGCAGCTGCATGGTAGTCGTGGACGAGCAGATACCCCACCACGGGCGCGGCGACTAATCGCGAGAAGGTGAGAATGTTGGGAATGGTGTAAATGTTTTCATGCGATTTAGTAGCCAGCGGGATTTTGGATAAGATGCGTTTGGTGGTAGAAAGAGGTCTGTGTCTTTAGTTAGCTGGCGTGGCTCCCCCTTTTCAAAAGAACCTTTGGCAATAACCAACTTTTCCGAGCCTGTTTCTTTTTCATCCTTGGGTGGTTGCGATGCGTTCCATCTTTTATTTGATGCGCAAATTGTCGTCTTTGCTGAGACGAGACTCTGGTGTCGCAAGTTTCTGGATGCTCAAGGTTAGACGGGGAAGTATTCTAAAGTACAGGGACATGACCTACCTGGTTTGAAGTAGGGCTAGTCCAGGTGATCGAGTCAACGTGGAGATGCATTTGGAATGCAGTGTACCCATGCGCAGAGACAATTGTCCTTGGGGGTGGATTGGAAACTGGTTGCCGATGCCGAGCATCCGAGAACCCTGGCACGCTCGGACGGGCAGCATACGGGCAACACCTGCAGACAACATGGTGGTACAAGACAAAAGAAATAAAAGAAGATGACGGTCAGTTAGGTAACTCAATGAATGCGAAACGAAAGAAAAAATGCAGCGATTAGGTGCAGCGATTCAACGCATGCCCTGGTGGTGATGGATGCTGGGGTGCAGCTAGCAGCAGTGCCGAACAGTTATCTCAAGATATGCGCGAGACTGATATCAGACAGCAAAGACAAGCGAAAGAGTCAAGTTGGTTCCCACAGATGTAAACATCGGCTGTCGTATAGTACAGCTATGGTGCTGTGATAAATGTCAGCGAGATTGCAGGGCATTTGGCGAGAGCGAAAAGCCTGGGAAGGATGAATTTCTTACGGCCCAACAGACAAGTCCCAGGCAAGTCCTCGACTGTCTTCTGAGAGGATGCAATGCACTTGAATACTTGGAAGATCTGATGGATCTCGTGACGAGTTGCTGGAGTTGATGTCGAAATCGGCGCGGATGATAGTTGACCCATTCCGGTCCCGGGGATGATGCGGGGGCGGTGAGGGACCCTCCGCTCAGCTGGCTAGAATCTGCCGAACATGCGCCGGGGTATACCTCAATCTTGTCCAACTCTACTCTATTTCATCTACTACCTTAATTCACCTGTACTGATCATTCTCTAGCCATGGTTATTGGCTTCGATCCACGGATTATATCCGATACCACCATCTCAGAGCAGAACAGGCAGACAGACATAGTTATGAGTCACCCAGGCTGTTCATGTTCACTGCCTATCTCATCTGACGGCTCTATAACACATGACAACCCGCCTGATGGCTAGCATCATCCTGATGATGCGGCAAAAATTTGAAAGCATATTTATGAATTGCTGAGATCTCTTAATCTTGAACTTTGACTAACTTCCAGCACTCACTCTTTTGGAAATGCAGCTGTGAATGGCAAGCTGCATTCGTTGTCCAAAGACCAGATGGAGAACAATCAAACCTTTGGACGAGGGGACAGTAACCGTGGCCACTGGAAAACTGCCCAACATGAACACATCACTACCTATCAACAGAGGCCGGGACCGGAGCAAAAATCTCACTTCGTCACCCCCCAAACAGCCACCGCAGCCCCAACCGCCACCAACCATCCCCGGCAAGGAGAAGAAAGACGAGAAAGAGGAGGACGAAGAAGTACCACCCGATATGAACAAATCAAACCCCCGTTTGCTAGTCAACAGAGAGAGTATCTACGAACGCCAGCTTCCAGGTGATGCATATATCACAGTCTACGTCCAGCGACTGCAACACGGCTATTACTCCAGCACAGCAGTCTCCGACACCGAGGCCGAACATGTCGATTTCCTAGCCCTTAGTTTTGTATTTCATTCCCCTCACACTCTCTCCCACCGATTTAAATCCGCCACGATCCGCACTTCTATCCAAGGAACCGACCAGCTAGCAACAGATGCGACATCAAGCCCCAAATGCCGTCCTAATAGAAACCCACGCATCTTGATGCATGCACCTCACCTAATCTACGGCACTGTTTCACCCGAGACAATGGAATGGACCTTCAGTCTCGCCGGCTCGATCGGTATATCCGAGACTCCGCTCAGCGCCAACCTAATCCCTTCCGGCAGCGTCAATAGTCGGTATCGTCGGTACGAAATGATGCGTATCCAAGGCTCAGCGCGCACTCTGAAGAGCCCGCGGGGTCCGCAATTCGATATCGAGGCTGGTGAGGTGGTCTGGTCTCTTGAAGAGAACAATCTTCAGCGCTCGGGTCTGCCGCGCGAGTTTACATTCGTCATGTTGATTCAGAAGCCGTCTTCCAAGTCTCGGATCAAGCTGTCTCTTGAAATTGACCCGGTCATACAATCCTGGTGGGGAAACTACCCAAACTGGTCACTGAATCTGCCTTCCTATCGACCAGTAAAACGTCGCGACGTTGATTTCAACAAGGAAGTCGGGCAACGGTTCGAGCCGCTCGACACGGAACGCGGCTTCAATTTCGCCGCCCTTGTCAGCAGATTCGATGATTATATCGCTTTACCAGGAAGGAAATTCAGCCGGAGGGTATGTTAGATTGACTCCCATCCCATCCCATCCCATCTTTTGAACCTGGTGTCTCACAAATCGAGAATACGAAAAAAGCGCGAACAAGCAAAAGGATAAACGCTAACCCTGCCACAGATAGAGATACCAAAGGAGGCAGACCTCCCCGAACGTCAAGGCTATCCACAATCCTATCCCGGCCAATATGGTTCCATAAACCCGATGCAGGGAGCGCAGCAGGGAACCCAGGGAACCCAATCGCAAGGCATGCAGGGTATCCTAAACATAGAGCAAAAATACCAGCTAAACAACCCACAACCATTCGCATTTTCGTCCCCAACAAACATGCCTTCCATCGGCATTGAAACACAGCCGAACAATCTAAACCTATCCCTCGGTCCAACTCACGGCGTGGCAATCATGAATCTATCCGCACTGCGCTCGGCAATGGTCTCGCCGCGTGCGCGCGGGAACGAGATGTGCAGTACTACCACTGCTACTGCTACGACCAGTAGTACGGCTACCACTACCGCCGCCACGAGCACGACGCTTACGAAAAGAACCTCGGTGGACGATGACGATGACAATGATGACGGAACTGGAACTGGAACTGGCCCCGGTGAGTGGCCCTGGCCCTGGCCCTATCCACCCGAAACTGGCCCCGGAGTTGAAATTGAGACTATTCGCTCCAGGATGCTCCGGACAGTACACTGGACCTCCGCGGCGGAGAACGGGGGTTCTGAGAACGACGGTTCGGAATCGCGCGAGAGCCGCGTTATGAATATGGAGAATCGCCCGCTTACACCGTCGTGTCTGTTGCTTGAGGAGGGAGGGGAGGGTACTACTCATACTCAGTGAGGTGGATGGGATGGGGGTTTCTTTGGATGGGTTAGATTTAGGGCGGGGGCTTCTTTCTTTTTGGTTTGTCTTGTTCGCTTCTTTCTTGGCATAGCGTAGCGGGCGTTGCTAAGGTTACTCTTTCCCTGTTCCTTTCGGGGTTGTTTTACTTGTTGGTTTTGGCTGATAAATAGTAGTCGAGATATTATACCCATCAACTTGAGTGTTTCGTTTTATTTGAGTTAGCCTTCTACATCAATGGGTTTCTAGGTATACTCCCCCAGCCCAAGTTTACCTATCCGTAAAGACTCGAAAGAGGACTCATCCCACCCAGAATTAAAGACAAAATTCACAATGCTCCGCCTACCCTTACTAACTCTACCCATTAAAAATTTAAATTCCAAGTTAATCTCAAATTCAATCCAATGCCAAGCCAATCCAAGCAAAGAATAAGAATAACCTTAACCTCAAGTTCCGAAACCTTACGATCCCCATATTTTTTTATTTTCGATTTTAGGTTCGAGTACAACCCACTCCACTCTCGAAGCCAGGGCGTCGGGAATACTAATGTTTGAGCTTGAGCTTAATCGTTTGCCAAGGTTCTCCGCGTCGCTTCGGGAATCGGGGCGAGGGTACTATTATCTATTGCTGGTAGGTGCTCAGGTGGTGTATGGATCTATCTGATGTTGTGGATGAGGAGGCGGAGTTGAGGGTTATTTTATCTAGATTGGAGGATAGTTTGATTTTCTTCCAGGTTTGCTCTCTTATGTATGTATTTTCTTTCCGTTGCTTGGGCTGTAATCGAAAGGACGAGATTTGTTTCTTGAATGGAGGGGAAATTTGTCACTTGAGGTACTAGTACCAAACCTCTGGCTAACTACAGGATGCCAACTTGAACTTGAAGCCTGACTCAAGCCCGGCTCGAAATCGAAGTCGAAGTCGAAATTGATTTCAGACTAGGGATACAGATATAGAACGAGGTGAAGTGGAAGCCTTAGAATAATCGAAGAACCATCGTTTCAAGAAGAAAGTTTTCTTTTGTGTACTGGGTACTGGGGAGATAGTAGTTGCTGCATCACATCGTGGAGGGTAAAAAGAAGATAGCTGACAAAAACAAAACGCCGCCCAGGGTTATTCCCGATAAAACAGAGAGCCGACACACAAGGGGAACAGAAAGAGGCAAATGAACAGAATCCTTATAGACAGACATGAGTACACCGGGGAAAGAAACAGGAACGGAATAGCGGGGGAGGGGGATCGATGATGAAGGGACGATGGCGATGATTCTGTCTCTCTCTCTCTATCTCTCTCTTTGCCAAATCGAGCGGGGCCGAATTTTAGTTCCGTCCAGACCAGATAACAGTCCAGAGAAGATAGAGTAGAGAAAAAGAGGGAATCATAAGACAGGAAATAGATGTGATAAAGCGAAGACGCACACCGCATAATGCACATGTTGCACACGCGGACCACCCAGAAACAGAGCAAACACAAAGCCAGATGAGGCGAGGGGTTCTATCATAGCAAAAGAATAGTCGTAGCAACAGAAGGAAAGCGAAAAAAGGGATTATAAGGGAGAAAGGGGGGAAACGCAGATAAAAAAAAATAGAACAGAACAGAAACAGAAGAAAAAAAAATAGCCACCACGACTCCTCCCGCTCCGAACTATACCAATCAATCAAAATCAAAATCAAAATCAAAATCAAGCCGGATCGAACCGAACGCGACCCCGCGATTGAGATGGTAGTGGGAAGAGTGAAATCCCTAAAGCAGAGAACCACTCTATGTATTTAAACCCTCCGGAAAAGAAACGTGCCATCCATAATGCCATAGCCAACACCGGTAGCCAGAAAAAAAAGAAGCGAAAAGCGAAAAGCGGAAAGCTCAGGTCAAGGGACCACATGGGAAATTTCAGATTTGTGGCTGGGCGGGCGCAGTTGTCGTCCACGTTGATAGAGGCTGAGCGGTCGCGTAATGTGCGTGATTCACTGGGGCGGTTGGACCCATGTAATACTGCGAGCGATCCGGCGCATAGTAACTCTGCTGGTGCATGGGATTTGATTCGCGGCGCGGGACACTCGGGTCGAGAGGGCCGATTCCACGATCCATTTGGTGGTGTTGGTGGTGGGGGTGAGAATGCGATGAATCCAGTTGACCGGGGATACTGAAGCTGCCGCGGGAGTAGGTGGCTGGGGTCGAAGGATCCATGGGAGAAGTTGCGTCTGTGGCGACGCTGCGGGAGGATATGGAGGAGTTGCGGTAGGCGGAGGGGGAGTGGTCGGATGTTGAGCGATTGCGATCACTCATCGAGCTTGGGATTGCGGTGTTGAGGGCTCCTGGGATGGATGACGAGAGTGCCGAGTGGCTCATTGAGTCCATACTGCCGCCGTACGGGCCTGCGCGAAAGGCGTGGTAGTCTTCCACCTTGGGAGTTATGGATACCCCGGTGGGTGAGGGGAGGTATGGGTTCGGTGCTTGTTGTGTTGGCATCGACGCTCCCATGGAGTAACCGGCGATCGGACCGGATTGAGGAGGATGTGTTGCGGGGTAAGGGTTGGCGGCGTGCATCGAATAGAAATCTGCGGATGGGTTGGGCATTCCATAAGCTGGTGGCGCCATGATCTGTTGGGGTCGGTAACCGTAGAGTGCGGCGTGGGAAGGATCATGGGAGGACTCCATGGCACTGGTCTCGAGGTCGTCGATTGGGGCGCGGAAGCTTTGTTTCTGAGTGAGGTCAACACGAGGTCGAATAAAGCGCAGTGAGTCGACTATGGATGGTGGGTTGAGTGCGCCGCGCATCACATCCTCGACGCTATAATAGGAGACCAAGTGGTGGGTGATGCCCATGACGGTGACGGACATGGTCTTCTTGACCAGACCAGAGTCTTTGAAACCGTAAGAATCGACCAGCGATCCGACGAGGGCGCGTTCCAGCTCGGACTGATGTGTGCGCTCTCCAAAGGGACCCGGGGGTGAGGTGGGTGAGTAGGCTGAGCCTGTTGAGCCGTTGCTGTCATGTCGGGGATAAGGTTCACCGGGCCTGGTGGAAGGCACCGGTCGTCGATTGGCCTTCTTCATCGCGCGCTTCTTCTCACCAGGGGGAAAAGGTTTCTCTAGTTCGCGATAGACAAGGAAGTTCCCCAAGATGCGACTTGGAGACCAGGTGACACCGTCGGTCCAACGTTTGATTCCCGAGGAATTCTCTTCATAGATAAAGACACTCCCCGAGCGCACAAGATGGGAGCGCTCACGGTCATGTGGGCGACGAGGAACATGATGCAAGACGCCGGTCAGACAAGCCTCGAACAGGATGAGGGCATCTTGGGTGGTGGCCACATAGCCGGTGAATGTGGGCTCCAGCACGGCGGCGGTGCCGTTCACCATGATGAGATTGAGACAACGGGGGAGGGGTGGTAAGAGAAGTCAAAAGAGAAAGAATGTGGAGTGCCCAGGTGGTGGAGGTGGATGAGGGGGGGGGAGGGGGAAGTGGGAAGTGTAGGTGGGAAGTGAAGGGAGGTGATGAGGAAGTGAAGTGGTAGAGGGTGTGTTGTGTGAAGCAGTTCCCAGGTACCCCGGATTGCAGCGGTCGCGATCACCAAAAGAGGGCGTAGACCGGACTCCAAGACCAAGACTAAGACCAAGACTAAGACCAGAGACTAAGAAAAAAAAGGAACAAATCAAAAAATAAAATAAGCTAAGGAGATCGACCAGGGTATGGAGAAGGAAGAGCGGATGCGGTGGTTTTGAGTTAACCCCTCCTCTGGAGGAATTCCAGGGATCGACCAGTCAGCACGGACCCAAGGAGCGAGTGAAAAGGTTGCACCGATCTCTGGAGATGGGATCTACTGGTTCCACGGATTGCTCCACTGTAGTCGGAGGGTTGTGGAGTGGTTGTAGATATGGTTGGATGGAGGATAAAGGGAGTGGGGAGGGAGAGGTGGTGAGGGAGAGGGAGAGAGTGTGAGGGTGTTGATAGATATTGGATAGGGAGTAGGAGTAGAAGTAGGAGGAGGAGGAGGTATACGGGGGTATGGTATATAGTAGGGAGTACTAGTAGTAGTAGGGTATTACATAGGGAGAGAGAGAGAGAGAGAGAGAGATTATACATGGAGACACGCTAATGTACGAGTAGGCAGACCCAAAAAGAGGAGCGGAGACCTGGTTACCCTCCGATATAGATGGTAGGTAGGGTATTAGGGTAATGGAATATAGAATAGGATAGAATAGACCAAGTATACTAAATAGAATTAATAGAATAAATCTAGAGCACTGTGCAGAGTACTCTGTGCAGAGTACTCTATTACGCATAGCGATACAGCATACCTACGTAAGTCAGTGTAAGTGTAATGGTCATCGATTGTGGGGAAGGAAAGAAGGAACGGAACCAACTTCACTCCGTCTCTGACTCAGCATTCTTTCCCTTTCCCTTCCACTCTTTCTATTCCACGGTTTCCATAAATTGTACTCTGTAGTAACGAGTATGACTACAGAATACTGTCTACGGAGTATTGCGGAGTACTACGGAGTACGAGTACTATCAGTGAGTACGGAGACTCCGTGTGCATACACAACGGCGAATCCACCAACTATTGAAATCGCCTCCACTAAAATTGGGGCAATGATCACCGAGATCTGGAGGCCTGACCATGTTGGGTATCATATCTTAGTCAGTATAGTATCAGTATCAGTACTCCGCTGATACTGCGTAGTGATACTGATCCTGCTTGCACTCCCATGGTATGTCTACAGTATAACCACTCTTCACACTTACACTTTCCAAGGCAAGAGGGTCCCGTACCTGACTGGGGCTCATTGAATCCTGGCAAAGTTACGCGGGAGATCCCCAGCAGATCCAGCTCTGGGTACGGATACCATCCATTTACATTAACATTTACCTCACCATATTAGCATTAGCATTAACACTAATATTAACATTAACATTACGGAGTACTAGTATCAGCTGAATCCTGGTTCCCCAGTCCCCGTCCCAGTTCCAGTTCCAGTTCCAGTTCCAGTTTTAGTCC